TGATAGGAGCGGAAGATCAGCCATTTGTTACAGTTTGTAGTGGGGAAGACTAATTAGGAGAGAATTAGGAGCAGTATTCCATGTGAGAAATTACTAGAGCATAAACAAGTTCCTTGGCAATGTCTTGCACAAGAAAGGTGAAGGACACAGGCAATATTTTTAAGGTGGAATCAATAGATTTTAGCAACAGACTGGGTATGTGGCACTGAGGTGAAGCCAGGATCAAAAATAACACCAAGACAGCAAGCTTGTAAGTATGGCCTGATGCAGGTGCTACTACTTTCTCTGAATTTTAAAGAATGAATAATTGACTAAACTGAAAAGAACACTATAGCATTAGGAATACATATACTGTATGTTTTCTTAATGCTACATTCTTATTTTTCCTATTTAAGTGCCTTCCTATGTGTCTATAAGGGTTTGAAAAGTAAGTTTTACTTACCTTTCAGTCCATGCAATGCCATTCCATGTCCTGTCGCGCTCCACCTTTTTGTCTGCGATCATTAAAGGACCACTCTAGGCACCCAGACCACTTCAGCTTAATGAAGTGGTCTGGGTGCCAGGTCCAGCTAGGGTTAACCCATTTTTTCATAAACATAGCAGTTTCAGAGAATGGTTAAGCCTTCCCTTATTTCCTCTAGTGGCTGTCTCATTGACATTGATTTTCACAGTGAGAGCACGCAAGCATCCATAGGAAAGCATTATGAATGCTTTCCTATGTGATCGGCTGAATGCGTGCAGCTCTTGCCGCGCGTGCACATTCAGCCGACGGGGAGGAGAAGAGGAGGATCGGAGGAGGAGAGCTCTCCGCCCAGCGCTGGAAAAAGGTAAGTTTTAACCCCTTTCCCCTTTCCAGAGCCGGGTGGGAGGGGGTCCCTGAGGGTGGGAGCACCCTCAGGGCACTATAGTGCCAGGAAAACGAGTATGTTTTCCTGGCACTATAGTGGTCCTTTAAGATTAATAAGGACACAGTGTGCATGCGTGGCAAAATGCAGTGCTGCTCCAATCAAATGCTCTCTAGGAGACTTATTTGATCTATAATAGACATTAGACCCTGTGAAAGTGCCTCTAGTGGCTGTTTAGAAGACAGCCACAGCAGGTGTGTTAACCTTGCGATGTACACATGGAAGTTTCTACAAAACTGTAATGTTTTACATTGCAGAACTAAAACTACAGGGTCAACGCACAAAAACCACTTCATTAAGATGTATTCATTCATTTAATTTTCAAAATATAAAGAGAGCAAGAATCTTGTCTTGGTTTTCTGCAATAATATGTGGACTTACTTTTATTTGGTTGTAGTTTTATATCATGTAAACAAAAGTTTGTCTGGATACATCAGATAAAAAAACAACAACAATTCTTTATTTTCCCCTTATGTTCAAGTAGAAATTGTAGCCGTATTTGTCCAGTTTTTACATTTCCCCCTTATGCATATCTTAAGACATGTATCTCATAACTGGCATTGATTACCTAACAATAGCTTGCGGGAATAGCACGAGGTGTAATAGCATCTACACATTTTGAGCAAAAAGACTATTATTTCATGGGAAACAATCTTCTAAAATGCTGAAAAAAACTCAGTGACTGCCTTTATTCTATATAGCAGTGAATGCAGCAAGCAAGTGTTAACATGTATGCTTTCTTGGACTCAGGTCATAAAACAAAAATGTGCTATGCCAGAATGGTAATAATAGATCCTTGTTCTTTTGTCCTAGGAGTTAGTTCAAAGCTTAGTCAAGAAGGGAAGACAAGAAAGAAAAAAATTAAACTTTTGTAGTTTATGAGGAATAAGTGGGATAACAATTTTGTTGTTCAAAGCACTTACAACTTTTAGTTTCTTTTATCACTATAAATACACACATATTAAACTACAGATTCTGTTTAGAACAATCAAATAAGATATACAGTGGCGTACATACAGGGCCCGTCACTCCAGGGGGCCCCTTCGACCGGGTGCCCGCCGCCATGTGTTGCAGCCCTGGCTCTTGTGGTAAAACCGCTGGGGCCCTGGATTTCTAGGTGGCCCGTTCATCGCTGCGGTGCATTAACAGCGTGACCGGGCCCCCTGAGATGACATCAGACACTGGGAGGAAGTGACTGCCCCCAGCAACCACAAGAAGAGAGGAGGGAGTCAGAGTGGGAACTCTGACTCCCATCAGGCTGAGCCACCACTGGACCCCAGGGAAGTCACCCTCCTGCATCTAAAAGATAGGAAACAGGAGGGTGACTAAAATATATTGTATATGTTTCTCTGTGTGTGTCTGTGTGTGTGTGTATGTCTGTGCATGTATATGTTTGTATTTGTGTGTGTCTGTATATATGTGTGTATGTATGTATGTGTCTCTATATATGTGTCTCTGTGTGTGTTTGTACGTGTATGTGTGTACAGTGGCATACATACAGGGGTCGCAGCTGCGATCAGGCCTGTCACTCCAGGGGGCCCAGCCACCCTGCGGACCCCTGTGACCGGGTGCCCGCCACCATGTGTTGCGGCCCGCGCAGTGTAACCACCGAGAAGGGGGCCCCACAGATCAGTTTTCGCACAGAGGCCCCATGGATCGTGTGTACGCCACTGAAGATATAATATATATATATATGTATGTATGTATGTATGTATATAGTGGTTATAGTGTAATTGACACTACAAAATAAAGAAAAACATGTAAAATGCTTTGTGAGCCCGGTTTGTTGTCTGCACATATACAGATTTACGTACTGCTTTACATGACAGGCCTCAAAATGTTGAAGAAACCAGTTTTTAAAACAATTAAATGTATTTGTGCTATAAGTAGCAAAACGTGTGCCCTAACCTTTAGTACCCGCTTTGCTACCTCAAATTGCAATGAGAAGATATTGTATTTCTTACAGTAGGTAAAAAAAAGAATAATTTTTTAAGTGAATTTTTTTTTTTTTTTTTTACTGTATCCCTACCTAACATTATTAAAGAGATTGTGTCATGTGGTAGAATGTTGAAAGAATTGGCAGAAAATTGTTGACAACTATAAAAAGTTAAAATGGTAAAACAAAAATATGGAAAAGAAAGTTGTGAAGAAAATGTGAATCGATTAGCAATACCTTCTTCTTCAGTTACTCCAAATAGAATCTAGGATTAGCAGATCCAGGAAGAAATAATTATAAAAAATGAGGAGTAGTGTATTTTTAAGATTTTGACTTGTGATCAGAATCTTTCAGCAGCCGATTGCATCAGCTTTTGGCAACGTACACTGTACAGGTATGGTATTATAATGCCTCATAGTCATCTTTGTTTCATTAATGCCATATCAAGGTGGGTCTATTTGATGGCCTAGGGTGCTTTGTAGCAAATATTACAATATTTATAGTTTGAATACTGAGAAAGACTGTTATTGTTTCTTGTGGGGGAGAGGGAATGGGCGCTTGGGAGATCTGGAGAAAGGAAGGAAGTCTGATTTTTAACAATAGCTGGAAACAGACAAGAAAATGGAAACTGGCAACAAGCAGGCAGAATACAACAGCACAGCTGTAAGAGTGTGAGGGCATAATCGAAATGAGTGGATGGGACTCAGCCCAACCCTACACTTGATTTCTTCTTATTTAGATTGTATCACTGATAGCTTGACCACAGTCATTGTTTTAAACAAGTCAACTTCTACACAGAAACATGGGAACACTCTGAATGCTTTCACTGTGGCGCTAATATATATTAACCCTTGCAATGAATGCTCTAACATATCTATTCTGTGTTGAGAGTCTATTCCTGTTTTTAGCCAACATTTCAAACCAGTCTTCAAATGCATAGAATGAAAGCTGATAGAGACAAAAATGACATATGTATTTGTGGTCATGGCTGTATCATAGCCAATAGTAAGTAGACATGTGTAAATATAAATTAGGAGTGTGTGAAAGCTGGTTGTGGTGTGCCAAAACTGACATTGGCAGGCCTGTAAAATAAAGAGGGCCCACCTCGGAAAAGAATAAAGTAGAAAAATGGAGAAAGAAAAGAGAGAAGAGAAAGAGATGTGTGAAAAGAGGGAGTAAGGAGTAAGCAGAACAACGACCAGGTAACGGGATGGATTAGGAAGGAGATTCCCTTAAAAAGGGAATAAAGCCCCTCTTACAATTTCAGTCTACACCTGTAGATGTTTGGTCATGGCATTAAGACCGTATCATAGCCAATAGCAAGTAGACATGTGTAAAAGTAAATTAGGAATGTGTGAAAGTCGGTTGTGGTGTACCCAAACCGACGTATCAACAGACCTGTAATATAAAGAGGGCACAAATAGAGAATATCAAGCTCGACTCTGTCAATTAATACATTTTATATGTATAAAAAATAGATAAAGTCCTTGTACTCAGGCTAAAATAACAATTAAATGCTGTCCGCCTGTCCAAAATGCAAGTTTGTGCAATGAAATATATAAAGCACTCACAGTCTTATGAATGTTTAATTCCCTTTACTGAATAGTCATAATTTCCAGAAAGGTGATGGATGGTTCAGTCCCTAACAGGGACTTTCATCAGGATCAGGATTGCTGTTTTTTAATCATAATGGAAGTTGTGACTATTTAAAGGAACTTCGTTGAAGTGGTCTGGGTGCTGTGTCACTTTTGCACTTAGCACTGCAATGTAAGACATTGCAGTTCCAGAGAACTGCAATGTTTACATTGCAGCACTAAGTCTGCCCTCAGTGGCTGAACAGCCACTAGAGGGCTTCTGGAATCATAACGGACTTTTGGTCTGTCATCTGACGGTGGACATCGTCATTCTATGCATGCGCTCTAGACCCCGCTCGTCACGGGACTGAGGAGGGGGTGGAGCCTCGACAAAGCACTGAGGGACATTGGTGCAGGGATCAGGCAAGTAAATAAAGGGTTTTTAACCCTTTATTTACCGGGTAGGAGGGGTGAGAGGGAGGGGGGGGGGCAGAGGGATTGGTAGTGCCAAGAATACAGCCTTATATTCCTGGCACTACAGTATCCCTTTAATAAAGGGAATTACCCATTCAATGTGAGAAGACTGTGAGCGTAGCCAAGCTTTATTTATTTCACTCTCTCTCTCTCTCTCTCTCTCTCTATATATATATATATAGAGAGAGAGAGAGAGTGAAATAAATAAAACTTGGCTACATCGTAGCTCCCTCTGTGCTGATCAAATTTTTTCCAGCACCGAGGCTCCCTCTGTGCTGCTCACATCTCCTCCTTTTGAAATGTTATGGTGGGGGCATGGCCTCCTCCAGCAATGCCCACTCCAACAGGGCCAGATTAAGAGCCCAGGGCCTGGAGGTGACAATTATGATGGGCCTAATTACAGAATCTTATCGCCCAAAAACACTAAAACAACCATACCTCCCAAGCGTCGTGTATCTAATGGAGATGGTGTTGGAGGGAAAGGATGCAGCTATACGAAAACACATACTCTATGCTAATCTCTCTCTAATTTATGCTTTCATCTTTCAAGTAAATCCTTACCCCCTAATAGCAGTGTCCAGTGAAGCAGGAAGTCAGTGGGCGGGTAAAAGGGTGTGCCACTGACGCAAATCACTTGACTAGACCTGCCAAAAGGGGTGAACATGCCCAAAAAGGGGGCATTTTTGTCCAAAGAATTGGAAGGCCAGCCTGGCATGTATGCATGTCAGGCTGCCTGCCAATTATGCAGGCTGTCCAACTAAGGGCATACTATGCAGGCAGCATCCTGAGCTTGACATAAATGCATCAAATGATGCGCCTACTCCACACATTCTAAGGACTGTCCCTTAGCACTCACAAGTGCTCCCACTGTCTCCCAGTGTCTCAGTCTCGCAAGTCACCCAGTGTCTTAGTGTCCTTATGTATCACAGTGTCAGTGTCCCCATGTCACCCAGTCCCATAGTCTCCCAGTGTCCCCATGTCTCAGTGTGTCCCCATGTCACTAGGATACTAGGGGACACAGAGACCTGGGGACACTGGGAGACATGGGGCACTAGGACACTTGGGGACACTGGGAGACATGGGGGCACTTGTGAATACAGACATGGGGACACTGGGAGACATGGGGACACAGACTTTTGGGGATACTGGGAGAAATGGGGACAATAGGGACACAGAGACATGGGGACACAGACACTGGGAGACATGGGGACACTGAAACATTTGGGGACACTAAGACACTAGGAACATTGAGAGACATGGGAACACAGACACTGGGAGACTAGGGGACACTAGGAGACACTAGGGACACTTGTGGAAGGAGACATGGGGACACAGACATTTGGGGACACAGACATAGGGACAGACACTGGGAGACTTGGGGACACTGGAAGACATAGGGACACTGAGGACACTGGCTGGGAGACATGGGGACACTGGGAGACATGGGGACTCTGAGTCACTAGGGACACTGAGAGACATGGGGACACAGACACTGGGAGACTAGGGGAAACTGTGAGCCATGTGGACACTGAGCCACTAGGGACACTGGCTGGGGAACATAGGGACACTGGGAGACATGAGGACACTGTGTCCCTAGTGTCTCAATGTCCCAATGTCTCAGTGTCTCCCAATGTCCACAGTGTCCCCATGTGTCTCAGCATCCCCATGTCTCAGTGTCCCCTAGTGTCTGTGTCCCCATGTTTTCCAGTGTCCACAAGTATCTCAGTGTCCCCAGGTCTCCCAGTGTCCCCTAGTGACTGTGTTCCCTAGTGTCACAGTGTCCCCATGTCTCCCTGCTGCCTTTCCCACCATCGCTCACTTACCTGAGCTGCTGTCTGGACTCTCTGTGCTGTGTAGCTGCTCCCCCACGGATCAGTGAGTAGTAGAGAGAGGCGGGGATATTCTGTAACCTCCTATCCCTGCCTCTCTCCACACACAGTGACCCCTACTTGCCGGTGCTGGTATTGCAGAGTAATCTCCATTTATATTGAAAAAAATACCTGCATTTGTATTGCTGGTATTAATGCAATACCTGCACAGCCAGGCAACCTCAAATACCGGCTGTGCCAGTAAAATACCAGTCAGGTGGCAAACCTAAGTAGTGTGTGTAAAAAAAAAAAGGGCCTATTCCATGGGCCTGGTGCTGCAGCTCCATCAGCCCCTATGTTAATTCGGCCCTGCACTCCAATGTTCCTCATAGAGAAGGATTGGAAACCTGATGAACATGCACAGTGAGCACAGCACGCATTGTATTCACTGCTTCCCTATGGGCTTCAATATCATGTGACCAAGTTTTATTTGGTCAGTGCCACGGATGTGCCTCTGGAGGCTGTAAGTATGACAGCCACTAGAGGTGGATTTAATCCTGCAATGTAATCATTGCAGTTTATGCAGGGTGAAAAGATCAAGGCCACTGCTCCAGACCACTTTGTTTAGTCTAGGTGACAAGTGTCCCTTCGAAGTTATTTTTATATTTATAGTGATTCTAAGCATCATAACCACTACAGCCTGCAATAATTTGCCATTTTGCCTGGGTCCTGCTGGATGGTGGGGATCCTCTAATGGCTGGTGATGCACAATTAATTTATCAGGGTTATTTATAATTTATTTGAGGAATTGACAGCTGAGTTGCAAATGTTATTCTAAGATAACCAAAATGTAAAAATTCTTCAGTTCAACTGTTTTCCGATTTTGGCTATTTCCCTATAAATTGCAACACCTTGGACACTCATTGTGAATAACCCAAATAATGTATAAAAATGGAATAGCAATACAATGACTGCAGAAATAATTACTGTCCCTCCCTTACTATTTCATATGTTATCACACTATAGCGTTTTACAAGCTGGGCCTCAAATTGTGACAGCTCCTCTATTAACTGCAAAGCATGTAAATGTACTAAATAATATATTAATTGCCACAATTATTTAAATTAAAGAGAGAAGCGGAAATATATATTAGTATTGTTAGTCTTCAATGCAAAGGTGTTTGATTATTTAACAATTTAAAAAAAAATAAAAATATCGGTGTTTTTAAACATTTTAATATTTCTGTCATTTCTTTTAATAACTATAGCTAAATCTTAAAGGGACACTCCACTGCCCAAATACAAAATAAAACTCGCAGTTAAGTTAATATACCCGAAATGAAAACTTGTATGTATTTAATTATATATTTTTCATTGGGATAAATCTAAAATCAGCTTGAAAAACAAGCAGTTCTCTTGTCTGCAGCTTTTGCAAGCCCTCCCCTTCTAACTCCGACCAGACTTTCTGTGGCTGTCCAATCACAGACTTCACAATGCAGCTCAATGAGAAGTCTTTGTAAGTCAGGTGCTGTGGGCAATTACTGCCTCTTGAGGTCAACTGCATTGAGCTAACAAAACCAGGAATTAACATTACATGTTGTCTGCTTGAAAGCCAAGGGGGTGTAACCAGGTTAATTTATAAAAGTGTCAATTTCTATTGAAAACCTGCACTTTTTGAAAAATGAAAAAAAGAGGACACCTTCTACACACACAAAGCTTTTTAGCAATCTAAAGTTGTTTATGGGTCTGGAGTGACACTTTAAGCAAACAGGCAATAGAAGAACTGTTGTTGTGGTACATAATATTTTGTCATTAGAGGATAATAAAATTGATTAAGGTATATTTAAGATTTTTAAAATGGTAACAGCCGAACAACATATGATTCTTTTATTCTTGCATAGTTTATGGTGCAAGCATTTCCCCAGTCTGCTGTGCCTGGCTTTAGATGCAGCAGTCTGCAAAACAATTCTGCAGCTTTAAAGGGACAATCCACTGCCCAAATATTAACCCCATAAGGAATGAGGCAATTGTACAAGTTCTGATCAAAACAAAACGTATACAAAACCTGGAATTTGTGCTACATGTCTGTTCAACCATAATTCACCTATTTCATATTACGTACCCCCACACTTATCATATATCATTTTGTTAAGGAGAAACAGGGTTTTCATTTCAATTTAAATGTTTATATAAGAAACATAATTTAATATGAGTAATATGTAAAAATAAATTGGGAATTTTAGTTCTGCATTGCATTTTAACTGCGAATGTCATAGTACTGTTAGCTTTTATGGCAATAAAAGACACATATTTGTATTCAGTGATGTCTAACGAGTACAACAGTACCCCCCATGAACAGGTATTATGGAAAGTTACAGGGTCAAACATAACATGTTACATTTTTTCAGAGCCGACTTGGATGGCTCTAAGTTTGTAAGTACCCCATCATGGTTTATTATCCTCCTTTAAAGATCAACGGTACTGCACCATATTTGTTCTGTTTCATTTCAATAGAACATCAGAAGCACTGAGATTCAAGAAGGGTGAGGGTCGCCTTTACTGAACCCCAAGAGCGCTGAAATTGAGCTATTATATTATAGCTCTTAAAAGTGTGAGTGGGATTTTACCCTTTCGATTCTATTACTATATTTTATTATACGGTATACACTATGTCCGTTCCGTTTTTCTCTTATGTTTTTTAGAAACACAAATTGGGAAGATTTATTTAATTTTAAAAGACTCTGTAAGGTACCGCCTTTTTATCCTCATTTTTATATATATTCAAACATAGCGCTACATCTACCCTCTATTTTTCAATATATATATATATATATATATATATATATTTGCAGTTATTTTTAATTTATTCATATATATATTTATATATAGAATAATCTAAGTCTAAGTCTATTTTGTAACACACACACACATATATATATATGTTAATATCAAAATACAGTTAGAATGAAATTGCATATTTATATATAATTTATTTAAATGTTTTTTTATTTTATTTAAATATTATTTATTTTATTTATTTATTATTCTAATTATTTCCAAGGCTCCTGCACTCCAACTATAACAAAATAAATACCTGGTGCTCTGGTCACATAAAGTATACCGTATTTTTCGCTCCATAAGACACACTTTTTTTCCCCTCAAAAGTGAGGGGAAATGTCTGTGCGTCTTATGGAGCGAATGTGAAGATTTACTTACCTGTCTTGGAGCGTGGGCCGGCTTCACAGCGCGCTCCGCGGTCCAGGAACTTCTATTTCAGGTTCCGGTTTCCGGCGGGACTGAAAGGAAGTGCACACTCACTGTGCACACTTCCTTTCAGTCCCGCCGGAAACCGGAACCTGAAATAGAAGTTCCTGGACCGCGGAGCGCGCTGTGAAGCCGGCCCACGCTCCAAGACAGGTAAGTAATTATGGGACAAGGGGAGGGGGAGACACTATGGGACAAGGGGAGGGGGGAGACACTATGGGACAAGGGGAGACACTATGGGACAAGGGGAGGGGGACACTATGGGAGAAAGGGAGGGGAGACACTATGGGACAAGGGGAGGGGGGGACACTATGGGACAAGGGGAGGGGGAGACACTATGGGACAAGGGCAGGGGGGGACACTATGGGAGGGAAAGTGCACTATGGGACAATGGGAGGGGGGGACACTATGGGATCAGAACACTAATGGACAAGGGGAGGAGGGGTTAAAGAACACTATGGGACAGGGTAGGAGGGGTTAACAATCACTATGGGACAGGGGAGGAGGGGTTAACAATCACTATGGGACAGAGGAAAGGGGGGTTAAAGATCATTATGGGACAGGGGAGAAAAAAAAATATTCTGAACAAACTGTCCCATAGTAAGAAACACTATGGAACAGTTTGTTCAGAATATTTTTTTTTCTGGGTTTCCTCCTCTAAAAACTAGGTGCGTCTTATGGTGAGGTGCGTCTTATGGGGCGAAAAATACGGTAAATAATGAAAAAAATACCGGCACTCCAGCATTTGGTAAAAAAAAGAGAAATTAGTTCTTCTTTATTCGTACAGTTCCAGTCAACGTTTCAGCTCTAGCACAGAGCTTTCATCAGGACATCTATTTCAAATGTGTTTTTCAGGAAGCTTACTTTGCTGTCATTCCTTTCTACTTTGCTTAGCATGCAGTAAAGGTTCAATTTTATTTTTATTTATCCCTTCCCAAGATTTAAAATGTTATGTCTGCTTATTCCCTATTTTTGACAAATGTATATTTATGAGGTGTAAAAAATAAAAATTTTCTACACCTCTTTATCCTGAAACTGGGCGCCTCCATTTTGGCTCTTTTCCAATCATTGTTGTAACTTTTGTGCTTTTCTCCTGGCATTCGGCATAAAAAGACTCTTTAACCCCATACCCTCTACTTTATTCTGATTTGTCATGATGTATTGATTTCTGCACTAATTGGAAAGTATAAAAGAAGATAGAAACAGTTATCAGTTAGAAATATCTAGGTGAAGTCTGTTAAATCTGATCTAAACACGAGAGATCTAAACACTGTGATACACCAAACAAGTCATGCAATGACGTGTTAAAGATATAAAAAAAACCTCTTGAACATTTAAAAAAAATAATGGAAAATATTTATTTTCTGTGGCATAGATTTTCTTATGATAATATACCCTGGGGTTTTTACATAATAATATTATATATTCTTATGACAATACATGAATTAATGTGTGTGATTATTTTACATGTCTTCCATTACCATATGCTTCCCTGCCCCCAGTCTCCCAGTGTTTTAAAGGAGTGTATACCGCTATTGGTTAGGGATGTCTCCTATTTGTGCAATGGTTTTGGCTTCCCAGGTTGGATATATGGTCCAAAGCAAGATGAGAGATTTGACATTTATAACCTAGTGGCAGCTGGTATTATAGTCACCCAGACCACTTCATTCAGGGCGGGACTGGGGAAAAAATTTGGCCTGGGAATTTTTTAATCACAGCTGCCAACTAAGAAGGGAGCAGGGCAGAGAGGGTGTGTTTTGTCATCACCAATGACAAGCACGTCCTCTCTCAAAGTGATCATGTTGGTTCAATGCTCTTCCAGGGCAGACCATGTGCAGAGCACTGCTGAAGAGCTCTAGCACGAGAAAAAGGCCCTGTATTTGTTCTGCACAGTGCAAGCAAATATAATAACATGCTTGTGCTGTGTTTCCTTGCAACTTGTCTCTGGTGTCTCTATAAATGGGATGCCAGGAAAGAGTATTGTGCATGTGTTTGGAGACTGCTTGTGGGATTGCGTTTGTGTAGAGTGAGAATATTATATTTTTGCAAGTATGCATCCAATTGCTGTTTAAACATCTGTACATAGTCTGATAAAGCCACTTCTTCAGGCAAAGAATTCCACATCCTTATTGGAAAACAAACCTTTCTTAGCCTTAGACTAAATCTAATTCCTTCCAGTCTAAATGCGTGACCCTGTGTCCTATGTATAGTCCTGTTTATGAATAGATTTCCAGACAATGGTTTGTATGGGCCTCGAATATATTTGTGTAAACCTATCATATCTCCTCTAAAGCACCGGTTTTCTAAGCTAAAGAGTGAAGCAGATCTATTCGGAGAGTTGGGCTTGAACTCAATAGTAAAGTATTTAAAGTATAAAAAAAAAAAAAAAAGGTCTGGAAATGTGTAGTCACAATTAAAGGACCACTATAGTACCAGGAAAACATACTGGTTTTCCTGGCACTATAGTGCCCTGAGGGTGCCCCCACCCTCAGGGACCCCCTCCCGCCCGGCTCTGGAAAGGGGAAAGGGGATTAAACTTACCTTTTTCCAGCGCTGGGCAGAGAGCTCTCCTCCTTCTCTCCTCCTCTGTTCCGCCCCGTCGGCTGAATGCGCACGCGCGGCAAGAGCTGCGCGCGCATTCAGTCGGTCGCATAGGAAAGCATTTAGAATGCTTTCCTATGGACGCTGGCGTGCTCTCACTGTGAAAATCACAGTGAGAAGCACGCAAGCGCCTCTAGTGGCTGTCAATGAGACAGCCACTAGAGGCTTTGAGGAAAGGCTTAACCCATTAATAAACATAGCAGTTTCTCTGAAACTGCTATGTTTATTAAAAAATGGGTTAACCCTAGCTGGACCTGGCACCCAGACCACTTCATTAAGCTGAAGTGGTCTGGGTGCCTAGAGTGGTCCTTTAAACCAAATTCATAAAGCGAGCAAATTATATATTGTAAACCAAAATGTGCATTAATCACTCTAGAAATTGTGAATATGTTTATTTACAGCAGCTATGTCACCTTCTGGGGTCTATGCAAGTTTTGAAAACTGGTGACATTGCTGCTTTGTTAATTGTCGTCATAACTAAAACATTATTTTTATTAATTTTGTAGCCCACCTCTGCACTTTTTCTAGTGACATAATATCCTCCTTTAGAGCAGGTGCCCAACATTGCACAGCATATTCAAGGTGTGGTCTTACCAGTGATTTATAAAGAGGCAAAATTATATTATCATCCTGAGAATTAATGCCCTTTTTCATACATGACAATACATTACTGGCCTTAGCCACTGCTAATTGAACGTTGTTGCCTAGATTGTTGTCTATAACAGCCCAGTTATTCAGTTATCTTAGTCCAGTTATTCCCAACTACACTTTGTGGTATCTCCCATTTTGACTTTAGCAGGTCCAACCCATATTCTATGCAGATATTTTGGTAGGAGGAAGACATTCCCATACCAACACCTATATACTGAGAGAGAGAAAGTATGAGAGACAGATCATGTGCATATGTTCTTCCTTTTTTCCCTTTGGCTATGTGCAGTTTTGACTTCTGCTTTATAGATTTTGCAGACCACTAACAGTTTTGTTGCATTATACTGTTTCCTAACACATTATGAGTTAAATTTAAAATATACTGTAGAGAGAAGTTCTAAAATTGACTCTTTTGCACATACACAATTGGAAAATTCATGAGCTTGCTAATTGTATTACTTTTACATGTACTATTCTACAAAAATTGATTATTTTATATAGCAACTTTCTTAAGAAATTATCAATGGTGCTCATTACAAAATAAAGCAACTTTCTTAAGAATGTATCTATGGTGCTCATTACAAAATAAAAGCAAATGCTCAAGCAAGTCTTATTTTCTTTTTCTACCTAGGTTTGCCCTGGTATGCTATCAAAATGAACACTTCGCACTTTATTCTGTAGGCACATTAGAATTTTGACCGTAGTGGTCATGTCGTCAATTGGCGATGAAGAGTTGGACATTGGTAACTGGCTCTCAGCTATCCATTTGGAGAGGTACCAAGAAAACTTTAAGAAGCATGGCTATCGCATAGTTAAAGATATTCTATCACTTGATAATGAGGTACTTCAACAAATTGGTGTTAGTGCAACAGGCCACAGAAAGCGAATCATAAGTCGATTACGACATGTTTCAGGAGAAGCATGGTCACAGTCTAGTTCATTCAGTATGGAGAGGGAAGATTTTTTGGAGGTTACCAGTAAAGATGATGACAATGGCATGCTTAATAAAGTCATATTAACAGTAACTAATGAAGAACAAAGCCCTGGCGAAAGCAAGCCCATTTCAGAACCAAATCTAAAGCCTGTGCCAAAACCCAGAACAGTGTTTAATAAAAATTCTACAGCAGTAATTAAAGACTATTTTGTTGTACCATCAACAATATCACCAGTCACTTCACCAACTTGTTTCGAAAACCATACAAGTAGCGCAGGAATCTTTTTTATACAGGAAGGTTTTCATTCAATAGGAAGTAGACTGGATTCAGGGAATTGTAATTATTTTGCTGGCGTACAGCCAGAAGGGGCGGGATTGGAGACTGGGACATCTTTGTATTCATCCGCTGGGGCTGGGAAACCTTTTCATCCCCTTCCACATCGTTCAATGCGTCAGAGTAAGGATACATCTCAACCAGGCTCAACAGACCACAGAAGCATGCTGCAAATGGAAGCGGATACAATGCAGTGTTCACCACTATCAAACTTGTCTTCCTTTGCTGGAAATGAAGAGGAAGTTACCTCCTTTTTAACTAGTCCTACTCTTCCACAGGAAACTCTAACAATGATATCCAATGAAATTTATTCTGGTTTTAGTCCTGAGAATGGAGCTCTCAACAGATCTACAGATATAGAAACATACAGAAGCAATATGAATCTAAAAACTGACACAGTAATACAAGAGGCATCCTCCACATCAGACAGCATAAAGTAAGTGTGTTTCTAAAAATTGATATTGCATTTGTGATACGTTTCAATCTACATTATATAGATCAATACCTTTCATAACTGAGAATAATTATCTACAGCGACAATACAGTTAATTTTTACAGGGAAATATATCTAAACTGTGTTGCAGCTGACTAGTTTGTATTTTATACATTAATTGTGTCTAAAGAAACTGCCAGCATATTCCATAAACAATGACTATTTTGTAAAGATTAAAAATGAATCGAGAACCCACACTTAAAAGTTCTTACAATATATAATTAAATAAAATAGCTTTTAGGTTTTGGAGAAGAATTATATCTTTCAATTTCAAATGTTTTGTAGTGCTAGTAAAAAATATCTGCTTTTTTTACCCCTAAATAGTAGACATAGCCATACAACGTATGTTTGTATCAAACATAACAACACCAACAAATCTATGTCACAATTTTGCTTAAATATTCGCCAATATTTTATATATATATATATATTTTTTTATTTTTTATTTTTTTTTTTTAAAGTAATTAATCATTGCTGTTTTTGTGCTAGTAAGAAAAGATTGAATATGTTAACCTTGAAATGCCTGACCATTTTCCCACAAATGTTATTTTTGTCCATATCAAGTGTGGAGGTTTCTTAATACTGGGCAGGAAGAGGTTAATATAATAGTACTATAGAAGTTGTAAGGACGGGAACAGTGAGTTCTTACAGATAAGTACATTGAGGGAGCCAAGGATGGAAGTCTTAGATAGTTTCCTGGAGCCATTGGTAGAGGGAAGGGCGGAGGTTACTTTACAGCTGCATTGAAACAATTGTAGGAAGTCTTGACCTTGCTGAAATCATATTAATGGCTTTACATAACTTTTTAAAGGCAAAAGCTACACCCAAGTAATGCCTGCTTCTGGGAGCAATACTGCCATTGATATTTCTGTACTGAATTAATAGAAGGAAGCTTACTTTTTCAATTACTTGCAAGCATAATTGGTTTCGTGGTCTCGAACAGTGTGGATGCATATTATTGCTTTACAGTGACTATCAATTATACCTGTAGATCACTACAGAGGAGGAATTCTGCATCTCTAAAACCATCTCAAATGAAGAACGCATCTTCGCCGACATCAGGGTGGATAAGAGAGGGATTTTCACCAAGGCCTGCACCGATAGGAAACTCTGCTTCTCCTAGAGCACCACGGACGCGGAATAGTCCCACAATGAGACCAGTGCCAGTAGGTAACAATGCTCATCTAACATCAAATCAAGGAAAGAACTTTCTGCCACCCACAAGTTATAGTACTCCTATTACATACACAGCGGTATCTTTAAGGCCAACACCAGTAGGAGATTCCGGCTCACCACGACTTTCACGAGTAATACAAACAACTTTCCCACGACCCACACCAATAGGGCATTCTGCATCACCAAGACTACCCCGTTTGAAAAATTCTTCATTACTGACTTTAGACAGTACTAAAAATGATGTTCTTCTAGGAACACCAGGAGCTAATGTTACATCATCAAAATTTGTGAAAAAGAAACAGTCAGCATCAAGACAGGAAACAACAGGAAACACGTCACTGCACAGGCAAATTCCAGTCATGAGAAGTACACTACAGAGACCCACACCAAATGAAAGAAAAAATTCAATTGGTCCCCAGGACATTTTAAATGAAAGTTCAACTAGACCAACTCCAGTTGGGAATGCTGGTACAGGTAATATATGTGTGCAGAAGTCAAATATGATGAGGTATACAATTCCACCAAAGCTACCTGTTTCAAAAAGTGCAATTTCAACATGTTCATCACATTTAAAAAATGTTATGCCTCCAAAAATGGATGAAGCAGAGAAATACTCCTTAAGTAGTGGAGTGGTTTCTGATAATTATATTTCAAAGAGGCCACCTCCAATGGGAATATCACCATCTTCAACTCTGCAGAAGTCTTCTACTGGGACATGTTCACTAAAAACTCCTACATCGCGGACAGCATTAATCAAGAGCTCACTGAAACCCAAAGTTAATTTAGGGAAACTTGGTTTATCAAATAAAGGATCTTCAGAAACATCTTCTGTACCTAAAATAAAATCCCCTCTTATTGAACCAAAGACTAGATGTATATTGAATGCTGCCACTCAAAAATTAAAAGGCACAAAACATGATCCCTCTGTCAGGTCAGTAGAATTGGAGCAAAGTCCATCAGAAAGGACAAAACAAATAGGAAATAAGCTCTCACCAAAGCAAAAAACAGTAGAAAAATATGATTTATCAATCCGAAAATCAGCAGGAAGTGTAACATTCCAAAGGCCGAAGCAAACGGGAATTGGTGTACAGTCAAAATGTAGGGATGTGTCACGAAACTCACAAGGCAATGTTTTGCTTTCTGGGCCAGTGGGAAATGTGGCCATTGCAAAACCTGCAAATAATACTCCTTCACCCTTGTCTAAAGTAATTAAGACCATTCCTTCTGCAAGACCAAAACAAAAGGATATTGCTCTACCAGCAAAAACTCAGACAGTACAGAACACTATTTCAATGAAAGTGCAAAGCATGGCAAATACTAATTCTGTAGCATCTAAACCAAAAGGAGCAGTCCCTACAGACAATGGGAAACCAACAAGGAGAGCAGTCCCTACAACACAAAAAACAACTGCCAGTCAGCTCTTACCAAGGTTGCCATTCATGCAGAAAAAATCACCACCTAAAGCAGAGCTGATGAAAAAATCTCTTTGTAGAGCAGGTGATAATGAATATTTATTCTGTGCTCCAGGACGAAAGAATGTTCGTTCAGAAAGTGTTGCTCATCAAGAGGACAAACATCTAACACAAACTCTGGAAGACTTTTCTCCATTGTCTGCGGTAGCGGATGTAATTGACTTGGACAAAGTATATGGTCAGTCCTGGGATGCAAATTTAACAGAGAAATCTTTAGAATCAGCACTGATTAGGGCAAATTCCACTGCATTCAAACCAATACAGAATGAACACTTAGTGCTTGTAAGGCCTAGGCTTAGAGGACCTCATTTAAATAACTCTGCCATTGAACAGCAGCTCTGGACTTCCAAAACAAACGAAGGATAGTAAAATTAATTCGATTTTAATTTGATGGGCCTTAAATTTGGTATATAACACAAGATATTAAACCAAACAATAATTGCCAATCTTTTTGGAAATTTCTACATTCTGTCTATCCGACTATTGCTTAACTGCACTTATCTTGGGATTTTGGAACAATATAAATATAAATATTAGGTATTAAAATAAAATTTAATGCACTTGTGGCTAACACAAACAGATTTGTAAGAAGTGGTAAAGGTACAAGATATATTTGGCTTTCAGAAGGATTGCATTTAAACATTTATATAATCATTCGGGAGATATGTTAGGGTTTCCTGGACGACGTCCATCATTAGCTAGTTGCCTAAGTATTATTGCACAATTTGTTTGTGTCAGATATTAACAGAACTATGTGGTGTTTACTTAGTAAACAGTTATCTGTGGTGATTTAAAAAGTAAGCTTTCAAAATAATATTAAAAAATACAGATCCTGTATTAGGGTTTAATTATTGTTACCAGAGTTTTCCATTTAAATGATGAACAGTGCTTCCATTTAAATGATGAACAGTGCATTTTAGTAAAATGATAACATTTATATTTGAAACTTTACTATTTTGATCTACATTTTTGCAAAGACGGTTTTTAAATTGGTAAATAAACTGCATAGGATTATACATAAAAATCTCAGAAGGACAAAATGGGGAGAAATGTACCTAATACAAATATTTAATTAATTCTGATGGGATTCAGTTTTGTCTCCTTTAATAAATACACTGTATTTTGTTAGTTTATCTATTCACTAGTGTAAGAAAAAAATAATACATTCATAAAAAAAAGAAAAGCAGCTTCATATGTAGTCACTTGTGCAGAACATTATTGCAAAATAGAAATGGTAAATTGTTTTAATTATACACAGAACACAGAGAAGAGTGAAAAATAAAAAGACTGATAACAGTTTGCAATGCATGTTTTAAAGAAGGCTCCACTTTCCTTAAATTTCCTACTGATTGAAGTGTGATATGAAAATATCTGTGCTATGATCAGAAAACACATATGGAAAAGTAATGAAATGTTTCATAAATTTCCTTTGCCCCCTATTTAAATTGAACTGACATTGTATGTTTGTATTTTTATATTTATTTATTTTTTTATAGTGAAAATGCCCAGTGAGGAACTAATATGAAGGTCCTGATTCCTTTGATTGCACCTTAACTTTTCCAAAACAATGAACTATGAGTTCTGTCTCAATGGTCCAAGTCTGACAAATTTGTCAGGGCCCTGGGGAGTTTTATATAACAAACAGTCCATGGTGTTTTTTTTTTTTCAAATATTCCCTACCTTTTTAACTATCTTCCTTATAGCTAACTGCCCTTTTGATTGAGAATGCCACTCCTTTAGATACATTCACTATTGGCGAATAGTAAGTGCCAATAAGTTATTTTTTTTAAAGTTTTTTTCCAATTTGTCTTGATTACTTTATGCATTTTGTGCATGTTAAATTACTGCTAAATTACATATAAGTAATATAGACCATCTTAACAATTAACAATAGAACAGGCTTTGCAAACTTTAAAAGTTTAAACCCTAGCTAGGTCAAGATCTGCCAAAGGCATTGGCATGAGCAATTTAAAAAAAAAAAGAATGTCTGGGGTATACGTTAAAGGCATGTTGCATCTCTGATGACCAGGGCACATCTGCAGTTACTATGTAACAAGCAATATCAAATCTGTATTTTTACAAACTGTGGTGGCATTATCTTTCTGTTAGGAACTTGTATAGTTTTATACGTATATTTTATACAAATATTTTTTGCATGATGTTTTTTAGAAGCAAGATGCATTGTTTGTTTAACTGTGATGTTGCTGTGTATGAATACCAGCATGTCCACATTTGCAAACTCCCGCTATATTGCATTTAAATAGTGTATTAGCAAATAGGATAAACAGCTAAGACAAGGAGTCTATCACTGTAGGAATGAGTTGTGGTGAACTGGCACGTAACTGCAAAATATAGATCAAAATAGCCATGTTAGAAAGATAACTTTCAAGTTAAAAAAATTTGAAATATTACCTATCTCTGCTATTATAGTGTAAATTTTGTGATGTTTAACTGAAAAAAAAATCACTGAATCAGCTAAGCTTTCAGTTCAGCTACTGTGGCCTTACTTTTGAAATTCACTGAATTCACTCTGAATAATCACTTTATTAAATTAACAAACTCTTCAGCGTTAAAAAAGCAAACTTCAATAACGTACTGGCAGATTGGTATAAATGGAGTTTAAGAATACATTTAAGGACTAAGAATTGTAAAATAAGAGTAAAAAGACTGGTATTTTAAAGGATAACATTTCTACAGATATATAAAAAATGAATATGTTATGATATTTTACTTCAAACTGTCATTTGTTTAGATGTTAGTTGTTTTTACTCAACATTTCAAAAACAGTTTGCTTTCAAAATGTTTAATTACAGTTTTAGTATGAAAAATATTTCCCACTCATCCAAGTTGGAAAACACTGCTATTATTGGTCTAGACCAGTGGTTCCCATCCTTTTTTGGATTAAGAGACACTTCCAAAGAGTTCCTTTCTTTATAAAGGAACACTGCAGGCATCTTGCTGTATTAGTTATTGGGCCCCTGCACACACTATTATAGGTGGTCACACCAATGAGTAGTTGAGGCAGAGCTTCCACCCATCCATCTAGAGCCAGAAGTTCCTCAGCAGGAACTTCCGTCATCTCTTATTACGTAAGTCCAGCTTTTGACTCTTTAGTTATAATTAATTGCCAGATGAGAACTCCGCTTTTAAAACCGAGACTTAAAAAAAAAAAAACACACACACACACACAAAAACCCCCACAGGACTATATTCAATATATTAAGACCTGGAAGGTGCTTGATTACCACTGGTCTACATTATGGAAGACCCCTAACACATTGTATGTTCATAGTTTTTGTGCAAAATCCCTCCTAATATGCTGCCTTTTATGTCCAAGCTTAACTTGGTAGGTACATATTTATATATACAAAATTGTCAGATTTCACTTGGTGTTGATGCTTTCTTTAACGGATTGAATATTAATGCACTGGATTATTTTTCTTTATTGCAGTGCCATTCTTTTCATTATCCAGTGCTTCCCTTTTTTGAATATGTCAAGGAACCCAATTTACAAAATATTTTGCATGTGAGAGTATACAGCATTATATTAATATTAGGAAATGCTTCATTATTGTGGGCAAAGAAAACCATTATATCACAGTTTTAATATGTGGGTGTAAAATGTACAATGAATCCACATTAGAGACTTAAGCAAAAACATTTTATTACATATAAATTGTGTATCTGAACACTGCTGGATATGTATCAACTTAAATTCTACAATAAATATTCTGGGATCTCCTTTCATGTTGTGCTTATTTTCAACAGTTTTTTTTTTTGTTTACTATATTCTGCTAATCTATTTTTACATTATGAATTTAAGCACTCCCGGGCAGCTCAGCAGAAGTATATTGTTTGAGCACTCACTAGCACCTCTCTGCATAGTCGTCTGTGATTAGGGGTGCCAAAAATGGGCATCATCCGTGAATCAAGTTGTATCACTGGCAATGTCTCTCAGACCCCACTCACCCCTTATGATCTCAAACCTCCCAATGTTGGATATGCTAGTGAAATGTCAGTCTTATTGTTGTGAATATGGTGATAATGGACTAATAGATTTTTTTTTTTTTTTTATCTTGAATAGGAAAATACATGAATTGCTATATCAGGGATCTTTTCCTATAATTGACACAATGGTTTTATAACTGTTCCCTACATGAGAATGGCCATACCTATGCAAAAGTAAATAATGGTTAAAGCTTCACCACAATTGGGTTATTAAGGAGTGGAATACATAATTAAACTTGCCTTGAAAGAGAAATTCTCAGTCTGAGTATCGTCCATGCTTTAAAATAAATACTTTGGGTACCATAAACATAACTTAATCTTTGTAAATGGTTATGGCGGCTAGAGTACTCTGATACCATCATATTTTCCAGTATAAAACCATTTATGAATGGTTTAATATAGAAGTAATACACAAAATCCAGCGCACTCACTGATCCACTAAACAGCAACTTCAATGTTGACAGATTTTAATAGGTTTTAAAAAAACAAAAAACAAAAAAAAAAACCTAATCTAGGCAAAAATAATGGGGTTTTAGTTACATTATATGATCATACATTGCATAAGCCTGTCACAACGTCAATGTACCCCATCTTTGGCAGGTCCTACTCTAACAGCCTAATGTCTGCTCTTATGAGTAAGTGGGGTACATTGACGTTGTGGCAGGCTTATGCACTGTATGATCATATACTGTAACTAAACCCCCATTATTTTTGCCTAAATTAGGTGTTTAAAAAAAAAAAATAATAATAATAAAATCGTTGAAATTGCTGTTTAGTGGGTCAGTGAGTACGCTTGATCTTGTGTATTGTACAAATTTGCCACCATCAGCACCCCATTTATGCATGTTCCAATGTCCAGATGATTTGCTGTCTCTCCTCTGCCTTTGGTTGAGTTCCAAAGTGAGGCAGTTATAGGGTGGGAGCATTTTCATCCAATCAATGACTCACATTGACTTAATCATTAATCCATGCACCAGAGGAGAGCAACATTACAAGTACCCATTTGAGATAAAGTAGCTATGGTGCCCAGATTGTGCCCTTAAGGCTAAAATATAGAAGGATTGATAGAAGAGGAGGGAGGGAAGGTTGTGTGTAGTAGCTATAAATAAAAAGAAGAACATGCATTCAAATTAGTATGTTGCTGTGTTAAAACAGGATATGGTACAAAATATGACCGCTTGCCTCATTCAGTTTTGGTTTGCTAAATATATTGTGTAATTCAGGTTAATATCTCAAAAACTTGCATACAACTGTGTTTTTACAACTGTGTTTCAGTAATACTGAATGCAACAGAAATGGTTAAAGTTCATATAGTGCCTAGAATGGCCCTTAAAGAATGGTGACAATTTTTGTTATGCTAATAATATAATCTATATAGTTTCCCTGTGTGATAGTTTTAAATCAGAGATAAATTAATGCATAACTTTCAGCTCAGTTCACACGGATAAATGACTCGGTAACACGATTTAAATAGCCAAATTAGTAACATATGTAAAGATCAAATGTTGAGCATATGTGACGTGTTTAGTTCACAAAATGGAAACTCTTACTATTTCAAGGAAAATGATGCATATGCATGCCATTACAAGCGAGTGTGTATTAAATGTCATCATGTAACATCTTCTGAGCCATATATTTGCTATCATTTCTATAACACATATACATGATGATCACCAACAGTCAGTACATAATTACAGCTTAATATTATTTACATGTTTCCACGGTTTAGTTTTTAACATGTGGATTCTAGTTACATTTGCCTCCACTGGTGACTGACCATCACTTAGCATGTACCATTTTTCAAATGGGCATAAATGCATACTTCCCAGTCAATTGTCGTATAAAATCTATCAGTACCTAAGGAACAGCTTGTGTCATGCTCGTTTAACCAGCAAATTATGGTGAAGGATAACCTTAGTTGGTAACTTTAGGCAGAAATTTAGCTTAGCTATATTACTCTAAATTTCTCAATTTATTTTTAACTCACTGCAAATTAGTGAACAAACCTGTTAGTGTTTCCACACATTTGACTTGTGGAAGTTCACAAGTATTTATTGGAATACACTGATCAGCCATAACATTAAAACCACGTGTCTAATATTGTGTAGGTCCCCTCATGCTGCCAGAACAGCTCTGAATGTGTCCTGTGGAGACCATTGGTCTTTTCACCTTCTTTTGGATGAAACACAGAAACAGAAGTGTTGAATGTTGACCATAGTTGTTTTTTTTTTTCAACCTGCATTGCTGTATGTCTCTGTTATTGAATGGTGGCTTTTGTTTCCACAGCAGCCTAACCCCTTCAGATGTTGATTTGCCTATTATTCCTGAAAGACCCATCTCCACTCTCGGTAAGCCATCAATAGATTTGTGCATGGCAGAAAAATTTATTTTGGTCAAATCACTGCACCTTAAAAACTAAACTTTGGCTAGTCCAATAGTCTTACATTTGGCTTTTCAGTTTATTGAATATTGTCCATGCAAGAAAATTTGAATCAGCGCAAAAATGTGCCACTCAGTGTATTGCAAAATATAAATATTAAATACACATTATTAATTTATAAATGAAGATTTAGCCCTGGGGAGAGGAAATTCACCTTTAGCGATTCTGTCATGGATTCTCTAGGATTGCAGTTGCTAGTAACTTTTAAAGCATGGTTTTTGGCATAGAACTTACAATTTTAAGCCATGTTGCACTATAGTGCCCTGAGGGTGCCCCCACCATCAGGGTCCCCCTCCCGCCCGGCTCTGGAAGGGGGTAAAACTTACCTTTTTCCAGCGCTGAGCAGGGAGCTCTCCTCCTCTTCTCCTCCCCGTCGGCTGAATGCGCACGCGCGGCAAGAGCTGCGCGCGCATTCAGCCGGTCACATAGGAAAGCATTCATAATGCTTTCCTATGGACGCTGGCGTGCTCTCACTGTGAAAATCACAGTGAGAAGCACGCAAGCGCCTCTAGTGGCCGTCAATGAGACAGCCACTAGAGGATTAGGGGGAAGGCTTAACCCATTCATAATTATAGCAGTTTCTCTGAAACTGCTATAATTATGAAAAAATGGGTTAACCCTAGCTGGACCTGGCACCCAGACCACTTCATTAAGCTGAAGTGGTCTGGGTGCCTAGAGTGGTCCTTTAAGGACCAAACTTCTGGAATAAAATGGAATCATGACATGTCACACATGTCATGTGTCCTTAAGGGGTTAAAGGACACTCCACTGCCAAAAAATAAATAAATATAAAAATCACTGTTTAGGAGATATACCACAAAAGAAAATATGCATGCATTATATATATAAATACATGGAAATATCTAAAGACAGTATGCAAAAGATGCAGATTTCATGTCTATAGCGTTTGCAATCCCTCTTTGGCAACATCAATTATCATGGGCTATGTCTCTGGTGTCTTTTTCTCTGGTGCATTTTGTTGCCCCTTCTTGTAGTTATACCCCTGGAAATGGAAAACACTAGTAGGGTAAGAATAGTCTAATGGGAAGCTTATTTTGTGATTATAACATTATTTTTTTTGGTTTATTTGTTTTGATGCAGTGACTAATGATCCAATCAATCCGTACTGTGATGCAGTTTTCAACCGGCAACCTCAAGCACAGCAATCAAAGGTAAAAAGTACAAAATATGTAAATAATTAAAATATATATAAAATATAAATTCACAGAATATAAAACTAATAGTCTCCCATGGAATGGTTAAATGGCTATTGGGGTCCTGACAGGCCTACTGTGTCTCCTACCTATTTGTGGCACTCAGAAATCTTCAACAATCCTGGTTGGGCTTTTAGGATAGTGACATTATCATTGTTATCATTGGCATTTTTATAGTGCCTTCGTATTCTGCAGTTTTTAAAAAATTTATTGCGGGGATATAATGGTAGTGTACACAGGCGTCTCCAAACTCCGGCCCTCCAGATGTTGCTGAACTGCAATTCCCATGATTCTCAGTCTATCTATTTAATTCATAGAATCATGGGAGTTGTAGTTCAGCAACATCTTGAGGGCCAGAGGTTGGGGAAGCCTGGCATAGAGTGAAAGCTAACTTTTGTCTTTGCAGCTGTTGAGTGGACTGCTGTTGTGTTCCATGGCCTCAAGCCAGCCAGTTTGTATACCGTATATGTAATTTAAGCATGCAAAATATTGGAAACAATTAATTTACCTTGAGTTGCTGTCATTAAGAAGCTCTATTTTGGAAAAATATATTTAAACTGATATTATAGACATGAATACAACTTTAGCTTAATGAAGCAGTTTTGCTGTATAGATCATGCCCCTGCAGCCTCACTACCTGCATGAAAAAAATTTTTTCACCTGCAATAAGATCTTAGCTGACTTTACTTTTAACTCTGTAGATTAAACTTTAATGATACACAGGAAGCTCTTGCTATTATCAAAGCAGGAGATAATACATTCTAAATTAAACAGACTGTGCAATAAAGGAAATTTAAACTTTGGGCCTGGAAGTGCTTAGAAAGGCTGTGTGAGTTAAATGTATGGAGGGCAGTATATACCAAGTGACTTAACTCCTGAGTATTCCACAGTGAGATTTCAGGGGCATGATCTGTACACCAAAACTGCTTCATAAAGCTCAATTTGTTTTGGTGTCTATAGTACCCCTTTTAAGGACAGACATTTATCATGTCATAGCACTTCATTGCTCCGTTGGTTGTTTAAATTGGTTCAGAACTGAAAAGAGATTTGACTATGTTTTTCTTTTATTTTGTATTTCATTATAATGTTTGCTATTTATCTTTTTAAAATACCATTGCTAAAGCAGAACTGGTATTGGAATTAATTAGTCTCCTTTTCGCTTTGTTGGGGGAGATGTAGCTAAGAATTCTCAAGCGTGACAATTAAATTCCATCATTATTTTAATAACACATATTAAAGGGTTCTAGAACGGATCTAAACTGATGGTATTCTTCATAGTAATTCTGCCAGAAGTGAGACAGAACAAAACTGAAAAGATGAAGGAAATATTGATAAATCTGTTCTGTCTCTGAAAAAAAATAACTCATGTTCAAAATTAATAGTTAAGGCACAAAAGAAGCAACAGATGGAAATACCTGTCAGATTTAATAAATTGCAACAAAATATAGCTTAACATTAGATGTAAGAGTATTTGCAACTCTTTCCTAAATCTCCCCTCGTGTGTGTAATTATTTATCCCTGTGTCTGTAACCAAACATAAATAATTGCTATATTTTGTAGAGCCCTCTATAAAATATAGCCTTCTAGATAACAACTATCAAGTACACAAATAACACGGTTAAGGACTCTATAGCAGTTTTGTTTTTTGTTGTTAAAATGAAGATTCCTTTAAAGAGAGTTTTTCTTTCTGTTACCACATAGGATACCAAAAATGCAAAATTACGGACTTGTGCCACTATGCCTATGTTTACACCTGGAGAGGAAAGAGTTCAGCTCAGGTAAGAGATATGTATTTACTTATGTAATAGCATAGAATGAATGGGCCTCTGTTGGTAATTTGTACATTCTGTGAAACAGAAAAACATGGAACGTTTTGTTCTTCCTGTGAATAGCCTATTTCTGCCTCCTAAATAAATGTCAAAAGTAGTAATCTGATACTAAAATGGGCGAAAAACGTGAAAGTTGAGGGGGAGTTATCCCAACTGATTCACAAACACAAATCAATAGAGATACAAAAAATTTAAGGATGGTGGGACTTGTATTGGAAGGGGATTAATTGCTGAGAACACTGAACCTTTACCACTTCTAAATATAAATTAGATGTTAGAAAATGTTTCCATAGTTTAGCAAACATAGCTAACTAGCTATATAGATAATCATTATTATTATTGACATTTATATAGCGACAACTTATCCTTCAGACTAAAACTCTAATGGGGGGGGAGGCAGGTAGTTTATGGAGTCGCCCACGAGAAGTTGCACGTTAGCAGTACGAGTATGATAAGCAGACAGAAGGTCACCAGCAGAGTGGAGTTGCCAGGAAGTGGTGAACCGATTAGTTCAAAAATATAGCAGGGGTAGATGTTTTAAGTGTTTTGTAGGTAAGAGTTAATATTTTTAAAAGAATCCTATATGGTACAAGAAGCAAAGGTAACAATTGACTGAAGTGTAAAGTGTAAGAGGGGTGGAGGCAGTATGGTGTCTGGAGAGACCAGTTAGTAGAGAAATACAAAAGTAATGGGAGAAATTACAAGAGCATAAACCAGCTGCTTAGGAGCATCTTGTGTAAGAAGGGTCAGTCATGTGCAAAATCTTTAAGGCGGAATTGGTAGTATTTGGCAATATGTGAGGCACAAAGATGAGGCTAGAATCAATGATAACATGAAGGCAGCAAGCTGGCAATGGCAGGCTAATCAACTTGCGGGGAGAGTGAAAGAAGAAGATTGTTTTGGACAGATTAAGTTTCAGGAAGCAGAAGAGATTGATGATGGCAAGAGAGGAACTGGAAACTTGTTCTAGGAGCGCAGGAGAGAGATTGGGGAGGTGAGTTATATCTGAATATCATCAACACACAAGTGGCAGAGTAATCTAAAAGAATTAATGTTTGCCAAGAGAGGTAGTATAAAGAGAGAGAGCAGAAGGACACAAAGGACAGAGCCATAAGAGGAATAAGTGTTACCTGAAAAGGAGACACTTAATGAGAAAGACGAAAACACAGCAAGAAGAGTTTGGAGGGGGAATGCAAAGGGCAAGTCATGCCAGAACCTTTGAAGAGAAAATTAGTAAATATATAGTATAGTAGTTAGATGGGAAAGATGTGTCAAAATATTACTTTTTTTAGGAGGAAAACAACAGTAGCATGTTTGAAGGGAAATGTGACAATGCTAGTGGAAAGAGCGCAGTTCAAGAAAGCCGTTAAAGATGGCCCAAGGCAAGGAGAAAGAGATCTGATAATGTAAGAGGATATTGATCAAGGGGACAAGTAGTGGGGTGAGTGGAAAGGAGAAGACAAGACATATCCTATTTAGTAGCCAGAGAGAAGGATGAAAGGGTAGGAGAGGCACAGACCAAGTCAGGTTGATGGAGAGGGGAGCAATGGTGGGAGAATGTTTTACTTAATTGATTAATCTTGTAGGGAGCAAGTTGACGAAGTGCACAATGGTTGGAAGTGTGTCTGCCTTAAGGGAGATTGGTTTAACCTGGTTGCATTGTCCAAAGCCGAGATGAGGGTGGTGTTGCAAAAGAAGATAGCCAGGATGGGATAGGGGAAAGTAGGGATGGTTTCAGTTGCTAAAAGTCAAGAGAAATCATGTTTCTACTATGTTGGTGTTTCTCCTCTGTTAGACTGAGGATGCTGGGTGAGGGTGCTCTTGTAAACATAGCATAAGAGGTGGTGATTTAAGAGAGGAAACAGAGTGCTAGTGAGATTACAGACTGCACATGAATGTGAGAATATTAGGTCAATGGTATTGCCTGCTACATGTGTGGGAAAAGAAGTCCACTTGGATAGCACAAGGGAGGGAGTAATGGAAGGAAGTTTTGAGGCTACATAGGTCAGAGTTGGGTTAATTGGAATGTTGACATTCCCAGGAATTAGTGATGGAGTATTAGATGAAAGGAAGTCAGGGGGCCATGAGGCAGAATGGCCAAAGATGAGGAAAGGGGAGCCTAGGGGATGATAAATAGTAGCAACATTTGCAGAGATGTGTTTGCACAGGCCTAATTGAGTGAACCTCAAATGAAGAGAAAGCGAGGGAAGGGAGGGACAGAGGTTTGAAGGAGCAGTGGGGGGAAAGCAGAAACTCATCCCTCTACACTGACTATCAGATTCTATTAGGAAGTGAGTTAATTGGAGACCACCAAAGGTTAATGAGGCAGTGAGAGCAGTATCTCAGGGAGATAGCTAGGTTTCTGTTAATGCCAGTAAGTTTATGGAATGTAAGATGAATAGATAATGCATTAAACAGATGCAGACACAATTAAAGGGACACTATAGTCACCCAGACCACTTCAGCTCAATAAAGTGGTCTGGGTGCCAGGTCCCCCAGGTTTTAACCCTTCACATGTAAACATAGCAGTTTCAGAGAAACTGCTATGTTTACATTGCAGGGTTAATCCAGCCTCTAGTGGCTGTCTTCCTGACAGACACTAGAGGCCCTTCTGCAACGCTGGATGCGAAAATCGCATTCAGCGTGCAGAATGTCCATAGGAAAGCATTGCGAAATCATTGAGAAATGCCGCGCACACGCATTCCGCTCCACTCGGGAGCTAACTCGGCGGGGAGGAAAGGTGACCAGCACTGAGGGAGCCTGGTGCTGGATTAAAGTAAGTAACTGAAGGGGTTTTAACCCCTTCAGCGCCAAGGGAGGGGGGCCCTGAGGGTGAGGGGGACCTAAGGGTTATATAGTGTCAAGAATACAAGTGTGTTTTCCTGACACTATGGTGATCCTTAAAAAAAAAAAAAAAGATTTTCAAATGTAAAATTCCTGCATTCTATGTCCCCCTAGACTTTACATCTACTGCACTACTACACTGAGTTTTTGGCTCAGACCCGGGAGCACCTCAGCCAGCCATTATTCTCCCTTAATTTACTATGACAGTTTTTGGGGGATTTCTCATAAATCTCTGCACAGCAATGTTTTATGAGAACAGCACAATGATTCTGAGAGTTTCTGTAGAATTAACTTTTGAACTACAACTTCCAGAAACCAATGCTGTGCAGCCATTTAACTCTTCATACATCTGCATTATTGTAGTAAACCGTATAAAAGTGCATGTTTAGGTGTGAAAACTAATAATTATTATTTAAAGCAAAAAGAAATTACTGAATAAAAAAAGTATTACTAAAAAAACAAACACACACACACACACTAACTGTAACCTGACCTATACATTACACCTGGAAAAAGGTCTGGAACTGGAAAATAAAATTTGGGACATTTTATTATTATTATTATTATTTTTTAATGTTGCAGCTTTGTCTGACTATTTATTTATTTTTATTTTTTTTCTCAAATCAATCTCCATTTAATATCCCTGAATAACAAAGCAAAAACCAGATTATTGAAATTATTGCAAATATATTATACATATATACAGAAAGAAATCTGGACTTTCACATTGACATAAGTATTCAGATGCTTAACAAAGTACATAGTTGAAGCACCGTAACACTGATTACAGCCTCAAACCTTCTTGGGTATGATGAAAAAAGTTTTGCACACCTGCATTTCGTTAGTTCCTCCCATTCATCTCTGCAGATCATCTCATGCTTTGTCAGGTTAGATAGGGACTGTCAGTGGACAGCTATTTTCAAGGCTCTCCAGAGATGCTCGAAATGGTTTAAGTCCAGGCTCTGGCTAAGCCACTCAAGGACATTCACATAGTTGACCCTAAGCCACTCTTGCATTGTCTTGGTTGTGTGCTTATGGTCATTGTCCAGCTGGATGGTGATCCTTTGGCTTAGTCTGAGGTCCTGAGTGCTTATTATACATATCTCTATTATTGTTGTGGTTAGCTTTACCTCAACCATGATCAGTCTCCCAGTTCTGGTTGCTGAAAAACACCACCACCATGCTTCACTATTGGGATGGTATTGCACAAGTGATGAGAAGTGCATGGTTTACTCCACACGTAAAGTTTCAAATAAGGGCCAAACAGTTTTATCTTCATTTCGTAAGACCAGATAATCTTTATAAGCATCAGAGTCATTTAAGTTTTTTTTGCAAATTCCAAGCCGGTTTTCATTTGTCTTGCCGTGAAGAGTAGCTTCTGTCTGCCCAGTCTGCTATAAAAGCCATATCGGTGGAGTATAGCACAAACTGCCAGCTTTGCAGTGAGTGTTCCACATGTTTGACCCATTTCCACATGTGATATCAGAAACTCTTGGTCACCTCTCTTACCAAGGCTTAGCTTGGTGAGCGATATTGCTTAGTGTGGCCAACATCTCAAAGGTGATCAAAACAAATGGGATGCATCTGAGCTAAATTTCAAATTACATACCAAAGGGCTTTGTCATTATGGCATATTGAATGTAGGTAATTTAAACTATTCTACCATAAGGCTGCAAAATAAAAAATGTGAAAAAAGTCAGAATATTTACTGAATGGACTGTATATGTAAAATAAAACAAGTATCAACATTTTTTGGAAGAGTGCAGAGTACTCCTAAACATCTTCCATATAAATCAATAACCGGCATGCCCTCCTGTAATGGATCACCAGGCACCCTGACTGGGTACCTCCGTTGAAGGATGCTCCTAGGGCTTCTTGAGGACCCCAAGCACTCGAACCAACACCACAACCACCGCAGGCCGAACCTCTCTTCCTTCAAAGCGAAGCAGGAACAAGTGCTTACCTGAGCTTAGGAGTGATTAAAGCAAGGAAATATGCAGAGCATAGCAATCCCTTGTAGCAGATTCCCCCAATAAGAGACAGAACTCCAAATTGAGGGTGAAGTACAACTGCCTAAAACTTTATTTTACTTGGGACTAGCCCATATGGTCATTACATTAACATTGCTGTGAAAACTCAATAAAATTACAAACAGTCAAATCATAACAGGCAAAATACAGTGACTTATTATAACACAATGGCATATTTTTAAAGAGGGGGGAGACAAAAATTAACAGAAAATATCTCACGTGCCTGCATAATTAGCAATATGCAAATCTACCCGAATATGCAAATGAACCAGTCTTGCTATTCAGGTAGTGCATATTGCTGTTGCTACCAACAGAGGGCACTAGACAAGCTCCACAGCCAAATCCACCTAGTTGGTAGCAAACCTCAGCAGTACAGGAGAGCAGGCAATACATCCCTGGGGCCATAGTCACATGGCAGGAGGCTGGCAATCAGTCTTCTCCAATGTCCAGTGGCGAGGCTGGTTCCGCCACACCTCCCTTTTTCTGTTGTCTTTCTGTTTATGTCCTTCCCTTTCTATCCATCCTTTTCCTATGTTTCATACTGCCTTGAAAAATTATCAACACCTATATTAAAACAGTTTTACTTTCTATAACAGATCTTTCAGTGATCCAGCCAAGGAGAGAAAGAATGATGATGAGGAGGGAAAAACACAGCGAATCACGCAGATTGTGCATAACGAACAGGAAGGTTACTCTACTGTAGATGCACCACTGGCTAGCAATAGGTTTAGCCTACCCTCTCACGTGTACAAAGATGAGTTACTGGAAGACTTGACTATATCTCCCTATGCCAGCTTTACCTCCCTTTCAGATAGAACACGGCCAGTGATGAGTGGATGGCTGGACAAACTCTCACCACAAGGGTGAGTTGAACTTTCACAATGGTAAACTACTATATTTTACTACAATCTACGCTTTTTGTAACCAAGAGATTGAAAGCATGGTGAGGCTAGTAAGGCTCTCAATTGGTGAGACAATGATGTAGAGAAAAAAAGTGAGGTTTGGGACAAGATTTTTTTCTTGATGATTCACAGTTATAGTTAGTTGAGTGTATTTCATGTAAGCAATCCCTCAACGGTGACTTGTCTTTTTCAGATTAGGAAAAAGTTCCCTCTAAAATAAAACCTCCAATGTCTTAAGCACAAAACAGTTTTGCTTTTAGCTTCTACTGACAAAGTAGATTGTGAATTTCAAGTTGTGTGACAGAAAAATCCTCTCATAAAATATCTGCATGTAAATTAAAAACCACTATAGTCACCCAGACCACTTCAGCTCAATGAAGTGGTCTGGGTGCCAGGTCCACCAGGTTTTAACCCTTCAGATGTAAACATAGCAGTTTACATTGCAAGGTTAATCCAGCCTCTAGTGGTTGTCTTCCTGACAGCAGCTAGAGGTGCTTCTGCGACGCTGGATGCGAAAATCGCATTCAGCATGCAGAATGTCCATTGGAAAGTATTGAAAAATGTTTTCGTATGGACTCTTTGAATGTGCGCATTCCACTCCACTTGGGAGCAGACGTCGGAATGGGAGGAGAAGTTAACAGCGCCGAGGGAGCCCGGCGCTGGATTAAAGTAAGTAACTGAAGGGGTTTTATCCCCTTCAGCGCCAAGGGAGGGGGGCCCTGAGGGTGGTGAGTCCTAAGGGTTGTATAGTGTCAGGAAAAAGAGTTTGTTTTCCTGACACTATAATAATCCTTTAAAATGTCAATATAAGCATCAATACTACTATAGCTGATTGTAGTGGTTATAATGCTATGCTTTTTAAGGTACCACTTTTGCTGTATAATAATTTTGGAGCGGTTTGAAAAAGAATTACTCCTGCATTATCCTTTCAAACATATCCATCCTTGTACGGCAATGATAGCCAGAGAAAGCTGGGCTAAAGTGTACTCAGTGTTTTCAGCCTACGTGCCATGCAAGGGGAAATACGCACTGTTTTGGTCAAACTACCCTTAAATAGTGTGACATAAAACTGAGGGAACAACACCTTAAATGAACAGTATAAATGTAGGAAACAAAAACTGCATTCCTAACACTATAGTGTCACTGTACTTACATCTTCATAGCACCCCCCTCGCTTTAAAAAACAAAAAAAAAATTAAAAAAGCTAACGTTTAACTTACCTTTTTTCATTGCTGAGGCGTTTACAGCACTGCTCACCTCTCTGCCTCCCACAACGTCACAGAGAAGATGTGGCCTCATCCATCATAGCCAAGTCCAATGCTCCTCTTAGATGCGGATGTGGGTGCATTCAAGCTCCCACACAGGGTAGCATTGCATTCAATGCTTTCCTATGGGCTTCTACATTACTTGACTGAGTTTTACTTGGTCAGTGCCTCTTGTGGCTGTCCGTAATATAAAAAAATGCAATGTTTTAGCCACTGCATGCAGGCCACTTCATTGAGACTATGATGTTCCTTTAAGATTCATAGCCTCTTTAAGCAGCCACATAGAAAACATTTTATAACAGTATATAAAGATATTCTTTATACTTTAAAGGCACACTGTATCAATATTAATACAAACCTGTATTCCTAACACGATGGTTCATAGTTAGGTTAGTGCACAACCATGTTTGCTCCAAAAATATATAAAAAAAAAAAAAAGGATTTGCTCACATTTTCTCCAGCTCTGGGTCTCCCTCAATGATGCTGACCTGTCCACCTCCCACATTGTTGTTTCTGCAAAGCGGCAATGTTTTACCTTTGAGGGCTAAAATTACAGGACCACTGTATCCAGAGACTTCAGTAAGATGAAGTGGTCTAGGTGACTTTAACGGTCCTTTAATGGATTACATGAGGTAAAAATTATGCCATGTAAAAAACAAAAATAAGGTCCGCTGTGTCTTTAAGACCAAATTTGCAACAAAACCTCAAGTGCAAAATGTACAGTGAAAATATTGCATAAAATATCTTTATATATACATATTTGTGTCTTCTCCAAATATCATGACCATATAGAAGGGAGAGACACAGAGAAACAATAATAGTGTAAATCAGTTAGGACAATAATTAATAAAATGTAATAAAGTGTACACTCACAAAGATATAGCAGAGAAAGCCTGCTCTAAATATCATCAGCTTCTTCAAATATTCCCCCTTGGGAAAATAACTGCGCGGACGAAACGATCCACTTCACAAATTTATTGCACGATCCAGCACTGGTACAGGTAATCCTCCTTTCTTTAGAACAAATATTTTTTCAAGTATAAAAGGCTGCTCACATATAGGGATGTCGACTTGTCCCTCCAATACTGCCGCTATTGCCGCAAGCCCAAACTTCCGGGAGGAGGAGTCACCAAAGGTGCGTAGTGTGTGGTATAACGTGATGACGTGTTTCGCTGTATTCACGCTGAACACGGAGGGACAAGTCAACATCCCTATATGTGAGCAGCCTTTTATACTTGGACGCATACTTGTTATAAAGAAAGGAGGATTACCTGTACCAGTGCTGGATTGTGCAATAAATTTGTGAAGTGGATCATTTCATCCACACAGTTATTTTCCCAAGAGGGAATATTTGAAGAAGCTGATGATAGTCAGAGCAGGCTTTCTCTGCTCTATCTTTGTGAGTGTACACTTTATTACATTTTATTAATTATTGCTCTTTCTAACGGATTTACACGATTATTGTTTCTCCGTGTCTCTCCCTTATATATGGTCATGATATTTGGAGAAGACACATATGTATGTATAAAGATATTTTATGCAATATTTTCACTGTACACAAGTGCACTTTATATCACTTTGCACTCTGCACTTTATTACATTTTGCGCTTGAGGTTTTGTTGCAAATTTGGTATTAAAGACACAGTGCACCTTATTTTTGGTTTTTACATGTTCATGAGTGTTGGTTTGAGCTCTACACGTATTTAGGTGCAGCTTCTTTTTATGCTATATTTCTTAGTATTATATTTGTTTTTACTGTTTTAGACATTTGTTACTAGCGCCTATAATCTACTTGTTTTTTGTGTGTAAGTTTTATGCCAAACTTAAAATGTAATGTAATAATGTAATAGTGGATATATGGAAATATTTGTTTAAAATTACATTTGTAATTGTGTGTTTCTTTAAATTAGGAATTATGTTTTCCAGAAAAGATTTGTTAAATTCGATGGACAAAATCTAATGTATTTCGGTAACGAAAAGGTATGCTATAACTTGGATAGAATATATTGACTATAAATATTCACGTTTTATTAATAGAAGCACCTTTTTTATACAATATCTTTCTCGTTCTCTTCTAATGCTGTACCAAACAGAGATGGACAAAGTTTCAAGGTAACATGTAAGGTGATACTGCAATATCAATTGCAAATACAGGACCATATGTTTTCCCTTTGAAGAATACATTACATATATCTTCATTGCCAACAGCAAAGTTAAAGGAGATCTTCAGATACTTCATGTATAAAAATATTTTTTTTTCTTATCAGTCAGTTTACTAAACCAGTAAAAAAAAATAAACAGAAGCACTTTTTCTCTATCCCGTTGTCATATTCTTCCTGAAAGAAGTGCTAAGCCTTTTTTTTTTTTTTTAAATAACATATTTGTATATCTTCCATAAATCCTTTCTGTTCAGGGGTTTATGTTTTGCAATCTTTCTTAGCTTTCTTTGCTGTTTGCTCTTTTTCATTCCTTTTTTTTACACAAAGTATTGCAAAAATTATGCTAAAAATAATTTTTACTTCTTTCATTATAGTTATAAGAAGGCATATTAAAAACTCTCCTATCTTACCCTTTTTTTACAGTAAAAGTGACTTATATTTTTTTAATTAAGAACTTGTCATTAATTTTTTTTTAAGAATTACACATAAAGGGTTATTCCAACCACCATGACCACTTCAGCTTTTAGAAGTGGTCATGGTGGTAGGAATAACGTGACACATTCAGAGATATTTGCACTTTTCTGCCAGGAGTTAGCTGCATCCCTGGCACATGTGACCCAATGTTAATTCTGTGCAGAAAAAAAAAAATCTGTCATCAGCGTGCACTGCCGACAGATGTTGTCAGCTTCTCCCCTTCCAGGCAGCGCTGACTGTAAGAGGAAGCTTTTGCTCTTTCCTCGATCTCCCTCTCTCTTGAACTACCTCACTCAGTTTTGTACATTGAGGTTTTTTTTAAAATATATATTCAAAGAATCTGGAAAACAGTCCGGTCAGATGCTTTTTTAAAATTAAAAAAAGGCATGTTCACTTTATAAATTATAGTGAAAGTTTGATAGTGATACATAGTTGCCTTCCAAGTACTGTATACATATTTATATTTATATTTTAATACTATTCAATCACTGTAGACTATTTATTGACCAATGAGCAGGGATTTACATACCTAATTTTATACTCTTCTATACAAGTAATATTCTTGTTATGTGATTATAGGAGCTGTATCCTAAAGGGGTTATACCCCTCACATCAATCGAAATGGCTCGTTTAAGCAAAGAGAACAAGTTTGAAGTAGTTACAAAACACAGGATTTTTGTCTTCAGAGCTGAGAGTGAAGGTGAGATTTTATTTGTGAAAATACAATAAAACAAACACTTTTGAAATAGAGAAACGTTATTGAAACAAAGTTGTTTTCTTAAATTGCCAGTCTATTCAGATTCTATATAGGTTTCTATGTGCATAGACCCTAGCTCAATCATTATCACTGATTTTTTCTTAAGTCCATTTCCTGTCTACATTACTGTTTGAATGCCAGTGTCATGCTGAGCACATTCATTGTGTCTTTTATGTTTGAATGGGCTATAAGGAAGACACAAGCACAAAACGTTATTTGCAAATGAAGCAATTATTTCCTTTACCTTCCTTAGAGAAAAAACAGATTGTGTGCATGTGAGAGCAACCAGAACATATTATGGACTCCCAGAATGCATGTTGTGAATTTTAGCAGATGTGAAAAATATTAGCAATCTGATATAAAACTGGAGTTTTGGACCAACAAAAAGCATTACAAAAATTCTACACTAACCAATTGTGAGCATTTACGGTAGAAAATCTGTAAACATAAAACAAATCTGAATAGCTAACTTATATTTTTGCAGTCATTTTGTTAAAGGACAACTTCAGTTCATATCTGACCACTGTTGTTATTGTATGTATCGATAATGGATTCAAAATTTGCACAAAAAAGACTAATAATAATAAAAAAGATACATTTGAAATCCCCCTAGGGATGTGCATTTTCCTGCAGTGAGAATTGCCTGTCTAGAATTCAGAAAAACAGGAAGCTGGTGAGACCTGCCTACCAATCTTCACTTTCTTATTGATTTCTTTAGGATAGATGAGCACAACAACATAAATCCCAGTCCAGCACAGGGAAATATAGTTGAGCACTGTGAGCACTGTAGCAATTTAATTTATGTTAAAACATGACAAACTGATGTGAACAGAAGTCATGTTGTGGCTTCTATAACCTAAATGGATACTCTAAGCAGGAAAACAACTGTCACTGAAGTGGTTTTGGTTTATAGACACGTTTATTGCCATTTAGGAGTTAAATCATTTTGTTTATGCAGCCCTTTTTACAGCTCTGCTCACTGTTACTCACAAAGTCTCCATAAAAAAAAGGTTTACTTCTAATCAGATCTTACAGCACAGTGTGTTTACTCCATAACAGAGGTCGGCAACCTAAGACGCACACCTCCAGTGTGTGCAGAACCCACAGCTAAACTTCCTTTATGCTCTGACGCTTTCTTGAGAGTTAGAGCATTACCGCAGGTTACCATGGCAATGCTCTGTCTTGCCAGAAAAGCACCAGAGCAGAGAAAGAATGATGAGCAGTCAGCACCCATAGAAGGTGCAGACTGAGAGCTGCAACTACCAAACCACCAGGGAACAACGGACATTCATGCTCCCCTCCTTTGCAATGGTAAGAGGGTGAGGGCATAAAAAAAATACTGCAAGGGTCCGGCGAGAAAAACAACCGAAGGCCTTAACCCCTGGTGCGCTGGCAATTGAGGGAGACAGACACCTGTACACCTGCAGCTTCCCACTACAGGGCATCGGCTGAGCAGTCTACAGGGTTGCTCACAGCACGCACAGGACACAGGCGGTAACCATAGTGCCCTAAGGACATCCAGAGGCAGGACCAGGGATGATTGCTTCGCCTGACCCGTTAAAATCACTGGACTTTGGCTCTGCAAAGGGACTATCGAGGGGTGAGTGGGAGTAAGGTGCGGGACCAACACGTGCGAGACTCTGACAAATGCCGCCTATGCTCCCCACCGTACCTGACAACACAGCCTGAACTGTTTGCTCACCCTTTTGTGTTTAAACAGTTAACTGCAAATAGCCTGATTACATACAGATTACTACCACTGCCTACTTAACCTGATATATATTAGTCACAGCTCTATACTAACACACATATCTCTTATACGCTAATGTATAGGATAGTGAAGCTCATATGACATCTTACACAAAGGATCTATCTTGTATGCAGCAGACACCCTGTCTTTTACTTAAATTACTCTTAAAGAATAATGTTTAGACCTAGCATGTTTACACATTGTGCGCCCCAGCATAGCATTGCACTTAACTCTATTCATACACTTAGTAGATATGCACTCAAACGACTGAACAGCGATATCCAGTATAATGTTACATAAGCTTGTTTCCTACCATGTTAATACTTAACTACCTTTAAACATAAAATTTGTGCTAGCTATCTCATATACCTCTCTGTTCAACTGTCTATAATGGGTTGGAGGAATGCCTTTGGGGTACCTCACAAACGACTGTTAAAAGCTTATGCACTACAAAAATAAAGAATAAAAAAAAAATGTTAGACTGGAATACGTATACACCAAAACTACTACATTTAGCTTTAAGGACCATTAAAGTCATCCAGACCAATTAGATCCACTTCTAGTGGCTGTACTCCTTACCCAGTTCAGGTAACGCAGGATCTAATAGAAAAACATTGAATTCAATGTTTTTCTATGTGAAGCATTTGGGGGTGCACATCAGTTTCCAATGAGGAGCATTGTATTGGCCATCGGATCAAGAACCGGATGATGTCACAGACAGACAACAAACCTGCTAGTATTTCTAACGCTATAGTGTTCCTTTAAATTGTTTTCGTGCTTAGAGTGTCCTTCTAATAACAGGTCAGTAATAACTGAGTAATAGAGATCCTATGAAGGTAGTGACTTGTATTGCCTGTACCAGCCTTTTTCATGTTCTCCATACAAGTACCGGAAATGTACTGTACAGGTGCTGGATATGTATAAGTAAATATTTATCACTGATGTATTTAGTGGGTTGGAGGGTTATAGCTGCAACTTTTTTTCTGTAGTTTTTTTCTCATCATTCTAAGAACTGATAAGCATTAATCATAGCTCAGCAATAAGTTGCATCCAATACAGTAAGTGTATGTCCAATGCATGGCTAATAATTCATATAGATCAAAAATAAATGTCTTGTATCTGATCAGTAAGAGTAAATGCTTTGTGCTTTAGACATTGTAATTATCTCAAACTTTACTGCCCGGTGTCTTGTTTATTTCTGATTTATGCAGCTCAACGCAATGAGTGGTGCTCTACTATTCAGAACAGGGTAAAAGAACAGTGCATGCTGTTCCCACGAACACGACAAGGCACCTTTTCATGTAAGAGATCTGGCTACTTGGAGCTCAAAGGTCATAAGTCTAAAATATTTGCCGTCCTTACCACTGATGAGCTGTGGATTCATAAAAATGAGCAGGTAAGAAGTTAGAGAAAGTGTACACTTCTTAAATAATGGCACTCCAGAGCAATGATGGCACACCCTGTAGATCATAAAATATTCTTTATAAACCCATACATCACTTTTTAATAAGTAAACAGGGCCTTTAATCTTTTAAAAGACATGTGAACTGGTGTATTGAATTACTTATTCAGCCTGTGTGAAATAACATCTCTCCATTTGCTTTGAGGAAAGCGCCCCCTAGAACATATTTTGCTTTAAACACTTAAAAAAACATTTCATTGACTCTATCTGCAAAAATAAACCTAATTAAAAAAAATTCTATTCCCAAACAAATAATATTTCTACAATACTACAAGTGGACAGTAAGTTTTTAGTTTTTTTTTAAGTTTATATTTGTATTTACATTTTTCAAAGAAGTTTATATAGCATTTTCAGTAAAAGGGGTGAAGAAAAAAGAGAGAAAAGTCAATGATCCAGGATGTTGATATTAAACTAAATACATCAATTCTGTTTGTTGAATAGGTTAATGTCTTAATCGACCTTTACTTCTTTAGTACAAATACAGCAAACATGCTACTAACTTTATGAATGGCAAGTTTAATGGAGGCTGTAAAGACTCAGATCTGTCTTCTATAGTTACAGGAGAATTTTGGCAACTCAATCTTTCGTTTACAAATGTGCGATTTTACCTACACGCAAATTGTTGATAGGATGTTGTTAATCCTTCTGACTTTTCATACTATTGTTTTTTGTTTGTTTGTTTTTATGGTTGCAGTTTTTCAAAATGGGCATTGGGATATTTGTAATTGACATGCATGGTTCAACAATCCGTTGTGCACGAAACAAGAACTTTGAGTTGATTACCCCACAAAAAATCTTCAGGTAATTAGAAACAATGAACAATATTTATATGACACCATTCTTCATTTAATATGTTTCGACTTCATAATATTCATAATAAAACACAAAAGAACTGCAATGCATTTGCTTACTTTTTTTTTTACCTAATCATTGCTAATAATTAATAAGTTCATCACATTTTACAAGGAATAAACCTTGAAGGGACACAATAGTCATCAAAACAACTACAGCTTAATGTACTGGTTCTGGTGTCTGTAGCATGTCACTGCAGGCTTTTCAATGTAAACGCTGCCTCTTCAGAGAAAAGGCCTTGTTACACCACAGTGTGCAGCACAGGCGTTTATCATCTCCACGCTCTGCATGGAGGCACTGAACATTCCTTATAGAGATTCATTGATTCAATGCATCTCTATGAGGAGAAGCTGATTGGTGCAGCGTTTTGCTGCTCTTGCACAATAGAATTCCTATGCTTAGCTATGGGAGAACATTGAGATCTGTAGCATGTGACAAAAGGTGAGTAAAACTACATTTAATCTCAGAGGAGAGGGGGTCATGGACCTAACGCTGCATCCCAAATGTAATTTACTTTTTTTTTTTTTTTTTTGAGATCAAGGATCTCCCATTGTAGGGATAGTGAGAGATGATTTTCTCTTATCTGATCCGCTAAAGGCATCCCTTAATCAGTGTAGGGTGGAAATCAATATGTATATTAACAAAAGTTTGTGAATGTTTTAAAAATTCCAAGTGCATTAGAAAAGTTTGCTTTTACTGAAAAAATAACTCCTTCAGTGGATCTCACAGGATATTTTAATAACATTTAAATGTGAATTAATTAAATACTGATTAGCATGGTTGATAACATATTTCTATTTAAATGAATATTTTTTCTAAAAAGTTATTTTAAATTGTAAATGGAGATCAAAGAGGAAGCAAATATATGTCTAAGTCATAAGAAAAAAACTACAACAGGATAAATGACATGACAATAAATACAAAGAGAAAATACGGTTCAACCAACAAATAAACAGATAATTTGGCATAGAGATATAAATATATATAAAAGAAAAAAAAACCAAGTGGGTTAAAGGAACACTGACACTCTCTGCTTCCTGTGACTTCGTACAGGAGTCATGGCCTCTTCTGTAATGGCCTAGCCCTAACCCAATACTCCTCATAGAAGAGCATTGGGACCTAATGCGCATGCATTCAGTCTTCCCCATGACCGTGTTTTACTTGCGGTTGCACCTCTAGCGGCTGTTAATAGTTCTAAAACTGCAGTATTTTAAATTTCAGAGTTAAAATGACAGGACCACTGCACATAGTCTACTTCATTGAGATGAAGTGATATGAATGAATATAGTGTCCCTTTTAGAGATGAGATAGGGAATGTACCAAGACAAGTATGAACAGTGAAAGAGTTATAGTTTAAGAGGTATGCCTATCACAGTAGAAACTAGTACAACTAAATAAATAGCAATATGGGGGAAGCATACATTAGATCTTACTGACACACTTTTGCATGGTGCACTGCTTTATGAGATCTGAAAAATGCTCTGTGATAGATCTTGCTAATGTTTTCTGTCTCATGGTGTTTTCCATAATGGCCCAGAATGTTTTGTTGCTCAAAGTAGGCAAGGCTGACAAATTTAGGTCAACGTTTTTTATTGTAAAGTTGCCTTTATGATAGATATTACCTTTATTCACTACCTCCTACTTGCACCATTCAGTGAAGAATTATATTGGTCTACTTTAAAATTAAACATTTTTTTTCTTTACCTTTTTTTTTGTAGCCTGTGATAACCATATGAGATTTAATAGGAGCAGCTATGATCTCTCTGTTTACTTATTTACTGTTTTTATTATTTATTTAGTTTCTCTGCAGAATCAGAGCGAGAAAAAAAGGAATGGATGGAGGCTTTGCTGGAATGTATCTCTGAATCACTTTCTGACTACGAAGTGGCTGAGAAGATCTGGTCGAATAAGGCCAATAAGATGTGTGCTGACTGCAAAGCATTTAATCCTGACTGGGCCTCAATCAACCTGTGTGTTGTAATATGCAAGCAGTGTGCAGGTTTGTGGCGGTTTATGCGTAGTAGAGTTGTGCATTTGGTTCCAGAACAAATCACATCAATGATCCATCAAAATTCCACACTCCAAAACACAATATAAATGTATCACAAAACAAAGGAAATGGGCAATGGATGAGTCATTTTGTTTATTTTGTGTTTCTGATTTCCGTCGGAGAAATGAGCAAATGAGGGGGGAAAAAGGCAGTAAAAAAAAATCTCTATATATTATGATAGGTGCATTTTTGCTCCACTTTGGTTCACCCACATAATTTTTTAAAATATTCAAAAGAAAGGAAAAAAAGAATGAGAAATCCACAAGTACTTTGAGTAAGATTTTTGACGACAAAATTTATGTTTTCATCGTTGAATTAATTTCACCAGAAGGTTACCACATTTATACTTTTTTGTTATTTTGTACTTATAAGGTTATTCATTAAACAACGGATTTGGTCTGGATGGATAGAATCCAATAAAATGGATCAAATTCTATGCCCACTGGGTAGGTATCTAAATAATTATGCATGGGGGGGAGTGGACATGCCTATTAGTGGCATTGTCCAACCTCCCCTCACTGGGTGGCTGGTTGTCCCTAATCCCATTCCTATGGCAAGTCTCAAGAGAAGTGAGACTTGCCTGTCAAGTTACTTTGATTGATAGGTTACAAGCCCATTCTGCGTAGTTCGCTGTCAGATTATCTGGGTTGGAGATTGATTTATTTTAATAGTTGTATCACATATTGTGGAATTTAGTTCAGTCTTTTTTTATGGCTGAAGAAAAGATGAATTCAAAGAAAGAAGATTGTATTTTGTAGTCTGAATGGCCCCATATGCAGCCAGATGAATTTGCTGAGGGCCATTCTGACTAGTGAATTAGCATGTAAGTGTACCGATAGATTTATGCCTCTTGCTTGCTAATTGGCAAAAAGTATCCTTTCCATTCCTTAGATGACAATATTTTCTTTTTTCTGCAGGTCAGCACCGAAGTCTCGGAACCAGTATTTCCAAGGTGCAGAGCCTCAAATTAGACACAAGTATCTGGAGCAATGAAATTGTGCAGGTTTGAAACCATTCTTTTTTTGTACAACAGAAATACTATGGAGATTGGCTTCAGAACAAAAACCTCATTATAATAACAAAGCATTTTGAGCGTTTTCCCTCATCGATTAACTGTAAACAGCAAAACTTCATCCTCACTATTTAGGAGGGGAAAATCCCTATTTGAGGTAAAGAAAACCTTCTGTTTTTGATTGCAGAAGGTTTTTTTTTGTATATCTGTGTACCACCACAGCTCTTAGCTCTACAGTAATATAGATATGTTTTAAAAAGAAGTTTAAATACAATAGCCCACATTATTATTTTAACAGGCTTGCTAAAGTGCATAAATTGAACAACTTGATGCCCTGTAAAGATTCAGGTCAATGAATACATGTCCTTTTTTTCTGCCAAGAAAGTCCCAGTTAATGTCACACTTATTGCTTTAAACATTATTTTATTGGACCAATTTTCTAAGTGGATATTTATTAAATGGAATTCAAAAACACAAATACAAACTAATTCCAAACTGTTACATTTATTTGATTGATTTTTCTGCTAAAAAGTAGAAAATCACTACTCTATATGATATGGTAATGGCCAGGTGAACAGTCTTACAAACCAATGCATGGATTATGAATGTTAATATATGGCGATATTGAATTTAGCAAGTATGATAGCATGAGTACTCGAATTGGGGATTCTAAAAGGCAAAACATCCGGGTCCTCCAGTTAAAAGTGACAATATTCTTCAGGAGTTCCTAAAGGAACAATGATGGTTCGATGTTGGAAAGACATATAGGTGCACCATTGGTTGTAATTTCAACTACAATAATTATTATATGTAAATGAAAAGAGCCCAATATGAACGATGGGCTGACTTGTTGCCTAATCTGAAAAAGTGAAATGTTGTGCTCCTCATTAATGATTGGGTAATGTGTATGTATTCATACAATCATGATAGTATAGTAATTTGGATATTTCTCTATTTTTAAAAAAATAAATAAACAAATTTATTGAAATGTCAGATTATCTGGAAATGTGTAGACTGGCGGGATGACATAAGTACCAGGCGCCTTGGCCTGGTTTCTCTATGTTCCAAATAGGCCTTATATGCTTTATAGCAGAGTTGCAGTTGGAGTAAATCTTAATGCTGTTGTAGACCATCTGGTAACTGTGCATGAGGTTGGACAGGAAGTGGATGGGATCAATTCCCGTCTCCCCACTAACAGTCTTTTACACAGGAAATGCCTTGTCAGAGCAGGGACATCATTCAGAGATGCACTCTTTATATTATAGGATTGTGATTGAGTGATGCAAACTGCATAACAGTTTGTGCATCTATGCTACTAGTCACAGGAGGGTGGCTGGACTACACAATACAACAAATAACTCATTGGAATAACTCACAGATTCTATCACAATACATTAAAAGTAGAAATATGCACATATATATAAATATTCAGTTTTCAATTATAGAAACATATTTTTAAAAGAAATGTTGATGCCTGCAATGCAGTTAATAAATTAAACACAGTCTAGGTGCCTTTTTGTGGGATGGGGAGGGAGAAGCAAGGGGCCTATTAGAATTCTGCTTCTACAATCACCTGGCAGGTAAATCTGGCCCTGCCTAGCACCATAGAATGTGTATTCAGCAATGGTGTTGTACGTAAGTTTGACTATTGCCGTTAAACATTTTTAGCTATTCATCATCTTGGGGAATGACAGAGCTAACCGTTTCTGGGCTGCAAGACTTTTGCCATCTGAGGTACTCAATCACGATGATACAATGGAAAAAAGACGAGATTTCATCACACAAAAATACCGGGAAGGCAGGTTCAGAGCCCCACATCCACATTATACTTCCCAAGAGGAGATACTTAAGGTAATGAATAATAAAGAAAATCTGTGCTTCGTAATGTAAGGTGTCTTGAAAAAAAGTTCTTCAAACATGAAGAAAAAATGTATGGAAGTGTTTTTTCCATGGCTAAATCATTCCTTATTGATTTTACTTTGAAGAGATAATGACAGCTGCATTCTTTTCTTGTGTTTCTTAAGGAAAATGGTTTAGAGTGGATACATGGTTTTAGACCACCTAGGTTCCTAAATGTTTGGTATTTTATCTATTATTTACAATTCAAAAATGTTAATTCATTACAACTAGGATAGGGTGCAAATCCTTGGTCCTAGGTTGAGTCATATATGACCGCATAATTTCCCTACTCACACAATGAGTGGACAACATGCAATTTCTTCATTTGGCTTACAAGTATCAATTCCTTTTACAATTAGAACCATTCTTCCGCTTTTATTTGTTATAGTCCACAGTTCCTCCTTTTAAAGGCAAACGTGTGTTCACCTTTCAAGGAAAAAAGTAGTGGTTCAATAACACTTGTCTGTGGATATCCCTTTTAAGTTTTTGATTTATCCAATCTCATACATATCCACAACTCTGGTTTCATACAGAACCACAGTAGATATGTTATTTCTTGAACCACAGTATATATGTTACTCTCATGATATACAAACATATCCATATAGTCAATATCTACAGAATTCGCGGGGCCTGTGCTGCAAGAGGACATTATGGTTACATTGTTTCGTTCACTGAGTCAGCATGCAGAGTTTCCATTGTGATATTCATCAGCTTTTTAAAATATCATAGTTTCCTGTGATATTCATCAGCTGTTTTTTTTTTTTTTTTAGAACCATGCCAACTCAGCATAATTAGATAGAGATATAGATAAATAGAGGAACTGATAGACTATTTTGATAGATTATGATAGATTATTTTTTTAAGGATTACTCCAAGCGTACTCCATGCACCACAACCACTAGTGGCTATGGTGCCATGATTGCACTGGCACCAATTTTCCAAAAATTTGACAGCTTACCTAGGGTCCGCCAGGCACTGCTTACCGATTCCGAGACAGCCAGAAGCTTTCTTTACTGAGCTAAGCCACGCATTGCTGGGCTGTGACTGCTCAGCTGACACTAAGTAATGAGCTGACCCTGCACTGCTATTCTTAGCTCGGGGGAGCAAATGCAAGATCAATGCAGTAGCATATTTTTACAGTTTATTTACCAAAGCCAAAATACAGGTCACTTAAAGAAAATGTCAAAGTCAATGCCTTAATTTGTGAATGCATTCCTTTGACTATGTACATTCACTGAAGTGGTACTTAATGGACCACTATAGGCACCCAGACCACTTCAGCTCAATGAAGTGGTCTGGGTGCCAGGTCCATCTAGGATTAACCCTGCCTGCTGTAAACATAGCAGTTTCAGAAAAACGGCTATGTTTACATATGGGTTAATCCAGCCTCTAGTGGCTGTCTCATTGACAGCTGCTAGAGGTGCTTCCTCGCTTCTCACTGTGATTTTCACAGTGAGAAGACTCCAGCGTCCATAGGAAAGTATTGAGAATGCTTTCCTATGGACTGGCTGAATGCGCGTGCGTCTCTTGCCGCGCATGCACATCCAGCCGATGACGACCGAAGGAAGAGGAGAGTCCCCAGTGCCGAGGGAGAAAGGTGAGTGTTTAACCCTCTTCCTCCCCCTTCAGTCAGGCGGGAGTGGGACCCTGAGGGTGGGGGCACCCTCAGGGCACTATAGTGCCAGGAAAACGAGTTTGTTTTCCTGGCACTATAGTGGTCCTTTAAACAAATATAAGAAATCTGAACTCTGCATCTTGAATATACATCCTATCACTTTAAGATAGGATGTAGTTAGTTTAGTGTCTTTGACCTAGGGATGCTCTACAATGCTGCAATAATGGGCTGTGGTTGAATCATGTGTGGTGATTATATGCATATGCAGACCAAGTGCAATGACCCAGCATACAGATACAATCCATTTGCAATGAAAAAGCATATAGCTACAATCCAAGATCAAGGAATTTGGCATGCAGATTCATAGGTCTTGGAGTGCAGCTGGGTCTTGTTCATTGCACTTGGATTGTGGCTGTAGTTGCTATGTAAACCAGACACCACAACAGCCTACATTTAATTAGTTGGCATGCTGCTGGTATTCCACTGTGAGCCAGCATGCAGTCGCCAACCAAAATTAAATCAACCAGCAGGCATCTGTAACTGAATTGCAGTTCAGGGATACAGTGTTATACAGTTAAAAAGCATTGTAATTCTTGAGCAACTGCACCAAATAATGACATTTGTAGCTTAACTGCTTAAAGTTGATATGTGTATGGTCTTTGCATTTTTATTCTACAATTCTGATGTTGGAATACTGTTTCTTGATTATTGAAAAATTGAATAGTATCTTCAGAGTTGTGACAGGTGCCTGTGCCTTCTTTTTTATCTCTATTGGGATTTTTCTTAATGTGCAGAAAAAATTAACAGTCGTGTGGACTAAGCAAAACATCAGAACATCTCTCTTATTACAACAGCAACCTTGCAATTGCCCAATAAAAGATCAATACAAGCAGACGTGTCCCCGACAGAATCACAAAACTCCCTTTTTAAAAAAAAACAAAAAACATTTTTTCACTTTTGTGTTTGTAGTTAATTTCGTAATTTGGTTACCTCCTTGTTAGTTGGTGAGTTAAGCTGGAAGCATTTTTTGTTTGTTTTGTAGGTGCTTTGCACTGCCGTTGCAGGACCAAACTTGCTGAAGTCTGTGATGCAATTTTTCTCTGATGCGGAATCTTTGGCAGATTCGACTGGCTTGGACAACACCTCTCAATCAATGCAGGCTGCCGAGAACTGGAGAGCAAGCAACAGCAGCATAAACAGTAATATATGATCAATGCATTGGTTTCCAGAGCTATAACGCTATGACTATCCACCTGACAAATAGTATTATATGGAAGTTACTTTTTGTAAAGCCACTAGACTGTCTATTCTTACATATTGAAATATTTTTATATTCTTAATTTAGTTTCAAAACTGGGTCACCAAGCAAATTACAGTGAGTTCCTATTGGCTAAAGAAACATCATATTTCTCATGTCTCGTGCATCTGCTTACAATAATTTGTAGTAGCAACACTGCCCTTAACCTACACGATGGGGATCCTTCTCTCACTGAGAAATTATGTTATTTTAGTTTATATTGTTTAGTAAAAGATTTACCATTTGTTTATGGTGTAGAGCAGGCTTCCCCAAACTCTGGCCCTCCAGATGTTGCTGAACTTCAACTCCCATGATTCTCAGCCTATCTATGTCATTCATAGAATCATGGGAATTGTAGTTCAGCAACATCTGGAGGGCTGGAGTTTGAGGAAGCCCAGTGTAGAGCTATCACATCATAAAAAAACATCAATATTTAGAATTAGCCATTTAGTAAGTGCTATTTAAGTAATGAAGTTTCCCCAAGAGCATTCATTTATTTATAGTATGTCTACATGTAGCAGAAATAATAATGAGTAATGTATTTGTGTGTCCTTTTTTTCGTGTCTATTAAATATATACAGTGGATGGACTAGCACTAGATGACCTCAACAATGCCAGAGTCTATGACGAGATCATGCAGCCTGTGGTGCATTCTGGGTATCTCAACAAGACAACTTTATTGAGCAAAACTGTTACTGGCAAGAAGACAAAGGATGGTAAGAAACAAACTACGTTCACACCAATGCACATTATTATAAGGTGAAAGAACATAACATAATATTGCTAATGAATCAGCTGGTGAGGTTTGTTGGTGTCATTTCCTGTTCTAATGAAAAAATACAGTAACATTAAAAACAGATGATTTTCCCATACATTCTTTGCACACTCATGCATATAATTAACTTAGACTTCTACTAAAAGTAGATATGCTGATCATTATGTTAATGTGTATTCTCCAATAACAGATTAATAAATGTTGCAAAAAGTATAAATGTTATTGGGTTTAAGGAGAACTGGAAATTACATACCGGTAATTTAAAACAACATTGAAAATTACCTTTAACTTATGTTAAAATGTTTTGACAAATTTGCTCAGTTTTCTTTTAACCCCTTAAGGACCAAACTTCTGGAATAAAAGGGAATCGTGACATTTCACACATGTCATGTGTCCTTAAGGGGTTAATTTTATATTGAAGGAACACTCCAAGTACCATTACAGCTTGCCATAGTGGTTATGGTGTTCAATGTAAACTGGCCCTTTATAAGTAGTCAAACCGATTTTGAACAATTTGACATTTCTTTTTGTATGGAGTGTGCTGCTCCCCACCTCTATTACAAATGACAGAATTTCCTTAGAGGAAGTCCATTTAGTTCTCCTAATCTAAACCATGCATGCATGGCTTAGCTCATTGGCTGAGAGCATCAGTCAGTGAGACATGTAGCAGGGCTTAGTGCAGGAAAGCTAACATAGATTCTGGTATATGAACTTCTGGCAGAGTTGGTAGTGGAGGCAAGGAGTGGCAAACACCAAGAAACTATTCCCTTCTAAATAGTTTTACTACTTGAAACATACCCACTAGAGTGAGCTGTAGTCCTTTTGGTGCTTGGGGTGTTCCTTTAAAGATCTAGCAAATTAAATCATATACAGTTCAGACAAGGCAAAGCCAGGGCAAATTTTGAAAATTAACAAATCATATACAGGCACTGTTTCATTTCTTCTTTGAATGCTTTCTCTATGCTGACAGCTGGTTGCAAAGCACAAAGCTTATAACAATGGTTGAGAGGTATCTAAGATGGAGGTGTCCAGTCGCAGGGAGGAGCCTGCATGAACCTTGAGTGTTGGTCTTAGCTGCTGAGAGAGTGCTTAACTGTCAAAAAGTGTATGTGTTGTGTTTTTGATGGTATGAGTGGCTGAGAATGTGTATGTATATATGGTTACTTTCATATATGAGAGTTAGTTTATATGTAGTTGTCAGTGGCGTGTACATTTGTATATGTTGGTGTCAGTGTGTAAGGTTATGTTTGTGTGTCTTGCACTCAATAGCTGAAAGAGTGTCTGTGTATGATGGTGTCAGTAGCTGAGGATGTTCTGTGTATGTTTGTTTGTATTTGTTAGGATGCACTTTTTACAGGTTTTGGTGTATGAGATTGCATTTTGTGTCAGTGTCTTTGAGATAGTCTTGTAGAAGATATATGGAGGGGATGACAAAGTGCTAAAAACCTGGCTGGATGATGGAATGATGATGATGGGATGAAAAATCTGGTGGGATGATGGATAAATGAACTGAAGTTCATTGGCTAACACAAGACAGCATTTAAGCTGTTTATGTGTCACTGTCAGGACGAACCAGTGGCCCAACACGCAGAATTAAGTCAAACACGTAATAAATAACAAACAGTAACGACGTATTACCGGGCCTTAGAATAGCCGGATATAACATAATAAAGTAAACAGTCACAAGCCGAGATCAGGAATACAGAAATGAACAAATACGGTAAGAACAAAGCCAAAGGGTCAGGGATACCAGAAATATGGGAAGCCAAGCCAAGCCAAGCCAAGATCAATAACCAATAAACAGAATCATGAACATGCTCTCGGATATCCAAGAGGATGGAAACCACGACAGGGCACTGAACAACTGCAGGTTTGGATTTAAATAATCCCTGCTATTTGCTAATTTGGGTCCCATGACTCCAGAACGTGTTTGCACAGCGAAAACATGACTACGCATGCACATACGTACCTCCCTCCTTTAGTGTGACCGCACTGATCAGATGCAGTAACATCGCGGTGCCGATCGAGCACTGTAATGGTGTGACCGCATTGATCTGGTGTGGTCACACTGAGGTGGCGATCGGGCACTGTGACAGCCACACTTAAAATGGCACCATAAATGTAGGAGATCTTCCTCACCGGTTCTGTATATATAGAACTATGATAGGTGGACCAACTAACTCAAGACATGCATGAAAAATTATTAAACAACTGATGCCTAATTTATGTCCTATGCAGAATTCCAAAAATATTGGTGTGTCTTGGAACGATCTTTTATCTTCTATGAGAATGACAAAAAGACAGAGGTTGGGAAGATCGAACCATCAGAAGTTGTCTCTATGGGCATAAGCAAGCATGAAGCATTGAACAGTCCATCTTTGGTTGAACGGTACTAAACCTTTTCAATAACTTGAATAAAATATACAATGCGTTGGAACTGGTGAATATTTGGTGCTACTGTCACCTGTGTGGATCACTCAACACACACAAATATAGTGTAACAAAGTGCAAATAGAAATAGTGGTGAGAGCACTCAAATATGAATAATTTTTTTAACCAATATTGTCATAGACATATACCTAACAAATATAAAAATAATAGACCATAGAGTAATATAGTTGGCACTTATATTAAAACCGCAAATAAATGGTCAAACTCACATATTTCTGAGTCACTTGAAAAGCTAACTCAGACTAAAGGTGTGAAGCAGAGATAAATCTTTGATGCAATCGACTTCTGTAGTGGTCAGGGTAAATCCTTTTTGTCTTTTCGGTATATGTCTATGACAATATTGGTAAAACATTTGTATTCATATTTATTGAGTGCTCTCACCACTATTTCTATTTGCATTTCAATAACTTGTTGGCTCCTACTTTAGGCTTTATACAACATAAGGAAATTAAGAAGAAAAATGTGTGTTTAACAGGACTAATTTTATATAAAGGATGGGGACAAATATAACCTTGACATGTTTAAGAAAATGGATTGAAACCTTTTAGCATTTGGGTAACACTCACTGAAAATGAAACTAATACAGTACAAAAAGAGTGCACAATGTATAAGCATAACTAAAATATGTAGATATCACTTCTTGCCATTTTGGTAGACTGACACATATATGTCAGATAATGTATAGTAATACAGACTCCTGGTATCCTTAGTCCTGTCTAACAGTACTTTATAACAAGAATAGAGTACACCTTTTATATACACAGCAGTCTTACAAAACAGTGAGTTATTTTTAATGAAGGGGGGTGAAGGTATTCCAGCATGGCTTGTGGTTAATAAAGCAGGTGGGGAGTTTATAAGTGAAGGTCCACTTAATCCTCTGACCTCTGTAAATCACATTTTAATGCCACATCTTTGATTGAACACATTAGGGTTTGTGGTTGACTTAGTGCATGCCATAGGACTGGCTTTAGCATGGGCTTAAGTATATATGTGGGATGTAGTCTGGACATATCGTACTATTTGGAAAACCCTTGATCTTTTTGCCATCTGGCAATTCCCCTGCCAACATCTCATGGAGAAAAACAGCAATATTTTCCTTTTGGATATGGACCAGGCATGGACTATTCATGGCATATCAGTTGACTTCATATTCCTTGTAGAGCTGTTTCTGTAACTGGAAATGTAACATAGGTAAAGACAATATGATATTGTATAATCCGTTTTCTAAAAGTATTCATAGTAGATTAAGTAACAGATTATTGGGAATTGTATGTCACCTTCTGCCATACACTCATAAACACCAAAAAGTGTAGCTCCTAGAAAAGACATATATTATAGTATAAATGATAGAAAAACAGTGATAATTTCACCAATTCTTTGAATAAGAATTATTGAGCTTCATACCTTTAATTTTAATTTGATATGTTTTAGGTATCGGTACACATTTGAGATCATCCTATCTTCTGAAAAAATGCATCAATTTGGAACAGATGCCGCTGAAACCCTTCAAACCTGGACATGTGCAATTGGAAAGGTAGGTTTTTCCAGAAATCAAAAGACCTTTTTATGTAAAGGATTATGCACTTTTTTGACTGATGTTGTTCGATTCCATGTAATGAAATGATGAGCAGAGCATACAGGGAACTAGGTAGAAAGTCGCGAACAAAACTTTAAAAAAGAGAGTAGTTCCAACTTCCAAACTGTCTCAAACCCAGTAGAACCATGGCACTTTCTTGCTCCTTTGGGTTACGATACCCATGTCCTTTTTTACTAAACCATGAATTGTGGATAATTGACAAGGGAATTTCACCACAATAGCAGGGCTGGGAACATAGCAGAGTTGGATATTTTTTCTCTTTTCGCTATTTCAGCTTAAAATTTGCAATTAATCAAATATGTACTGTGAATGTTAGTATATAGACATATATACTCATACATTGCAGCATATTTGCTTTTATTATTTGAATATAAATAACACTATAACTAAATAATGCTATATAATGCATTTAATTCATTTCAGCTCTTTACAGAGTACATATCATCTCCCAATTTGCTTTTTATATCAGCTTTAGCCTCAGTTATTTTCCTCTTCCATTATGCCAAATTCCCTCTTTATCTCCTTTTTCTGTTCTATCCGTTAATTTATGTTTCTCTCTGCTAAGGGTAATCTCCCTCTTTTTTCTTGTCTACTTCTTCTCTCCTATTTTTAAAATGCAGACAAATAAACAGAGAATGCTTACGATCGAAATAGGGTTGCTGGTTTGCAGGCTACAGGTTTGGGGCTGTAACATGTAACCTTGAACAGCCCAATGCCCTAACATGCATGCAGTGAAGCACGTAGAACCCTATTCACAGAAAAGATGTGTTACCCGACGTTATTGGGGGCTTACTGTATATAGGAGATATCGGATATAGAATAGTCAGATTCTATACAAGTCTAGGTCAAGTCTAGGTCAGGATTGGACACACATGGATAAACAAATGTAACCAAGGCAAGGGTCAGGGATACCAGAATACACAACAAACAATTAAACAAAGCCAAGTCAGGTAATCAGAAATACTAAGTATAGAGGAACACACTCTCAAAATAACAATAACCACTATGGGGCAATGAAGAGAGGTCACAAAGGCTTGATATAGGCCCCTGTTACCTCTGTTGGTACAACGTAATCGCCTCTGACAAGGGAATCACAGGACGTCTGGCTCGTGAAGCAGGTATGATAATTATATGCATGCAGTGTGTATTTTTGGTGGTGGAATCCATCTAATACTGCGACTAGGTAGCAAGTTGGATACTGCCTTTGTTTCCTTTTATTTTTTGCTACTTGCTCAGTCAGGTTTGTGCATGGTTTCAGTATTTAGATATAATACAGATGAAATTCATGATGCTAGATTTCGTTATCAACATTGTATACTCTGAAGAGAAGTTGGAGCAGCATCTTTAAAATTTTTGATTCTAAGCTATATTTCATTTTATTTACCAAAATTAATTTTTTAGATTCTAATAATTCATTTACTTTAATTATTTAATAGCTAATTTCACCAGTACCAAAAGAAATGGCATAAAAATTTAATGGGAAACTATTACTTATTTAGAAATAATGATCTAAACCTCTCTCCCATTGTGCAGTGGTTCACACCACTGAGTTGCCATTGCCTGTTAGGACATGAGTTCCAGCGTGTTGGGAAGATGCGATACAAGGCAATGCTGAACCCAGATCAATGGATGGAAGGATTTTTTTTGTTGCGAAAATGCCATCTTTTCATTTGTCCTGAAGATCAGGGTGCAGCGGAGGACAGTGTCAATCTACGTCAGCTTCAAGAGCTCAGTAAGTCCCTTGATAAATTGTTAACATTCTTACAAGCATCTATACCAGGTTGTGGCTTAATAAGAGCAATTTCTTCCCTAGTAGCTTTGGGATGGAGTGAAGAATTCATATCCCTGGTGATTTAGGGATACATCCCCTAAATCCACAGATCTTTTTCTCCTACTTTGTCCTGCTACGAAGTGATGATGATGTAATATCCCAATTATCTTTATCCATAAGGGTTAATAGGTGAGATTACTTTAAAAGTAAACCTCTGGTTAGAGAATAAATAATGGCAAGGCTAAACCACTCTACTGGAAAATAAAGAGACTCCACTAAAAATCCCTAATAGTGCAAATAGAAGAGAAATTATTAAATAAAATTTAATAAAGTATCCAGGAGTAGTATATGCCTTAGGGATAATAATTGTGCAATGCTTGTGAATAGAAATTGCAATAAAATGTTAAAATAAAATAAAACAATAATGTCCAATATTAGGTTAGGGTCCAATTGTTAACAGTCTGTTTGATGAAAAGCTATATCATAATAGCAATAAATAGAATAGAATAATAGTCTTTAAAAGTCTTTATCCATAACACAGCATGTTAGAGACAGCTGTAAGGAAAAATAAAGTATTTCCTTGCCATTAAAAAAGGCTTAAGGAAATCCAATAAGTGCTGTTCATTCACTTGAGAAAGATGAGTTCTTTGTTTCCGGGGCAAAAATGTATTACCCTACTCTTTTTCACATACTCCATTCGATTACAAAGAGATAGCACAGGAATATGGTATCAAAGACATTGCCATCTCACTATAATATGTAGCACACAAGCAAGAATGTAGCTATAAGATGTGTGTCTTCATTGGAATCACCTTATATAAGACTGTCTGCTGTGTTCCAGTGTTTAATCTAATGTGGCTATGCATCTTTTCTATTACCAGCTGTATCACCAGTATCGGAGAACACAGAGAAGAAAGATATTCTAATACTTGTCGAAAAAGGACGGTATGTTGTCTATATTGTAAGCTTATGTTATTTTCAATATTTAATGCTTGCAATGAAAGCATCATTTTTATTCAACAGAAACATTGCCAGCAGTATGCTAACAGAAAGGGTTGTGTCCCTACATAATGTGCAAAACAAAGGCCATAAAACAAATTAAAATCAAGCCGAATTGAATGAATTCTCATAATTCTGATGTGATTCATTACATTATATCTAAGGTTCTACATGACATTTTAAAAAAAACATCTATGTGGGCTCATTACTAACCCACAAATACAGTTAAAATTCCCCTGTGTGTTCTTAAAGTTTTATTTGTGCATGCTAACTCAGGTAATCCTCACTACTTACCTAGATATTTTGTAGAGCCTGCAATGTTATTAAGAGTCTGTGTAGTAAGTGTTCTAACAACATTTCTCATGATGTTTCTGATTAATTCTGTGCTGAAATTTTAATCCTGATAATTATTTTTTAAACAAAAAAAATAAAAATAGATTTTGTTGAATAAACAAATGTTATATTTTTAACCAAATGCCCTGACATAGTAACATGTAGGAAACCAGTGCCATCTGCTGGCCACTGTTCCGAATACTCTTTCCCATTCATAGCAGAATCTTACAACTGACAAACATTTGTGTTGAAAGAAACAAATAATTAACTTAATATATTATGATGTAGAGAAATATTATCCAACCATAACCACTGCATATACCCTAATTTACAGCTCTACGATTTGAATGGTCTTGACTATGATTTAACTTATTTGTTGAAAAAAAGTGAACAGACTATTAGCGTACCAAAGCTAATGTAAATATACAGAATTTTTTCCTGGAGATAAAAGTTCCACTAAAAATGCATCTAAATTAATTTGAAGTAATAGTTTAAATATTGTTCCCAAGACTGGTAATATAAACCATCATCAAATTTACCTTTCCTACTGATACATTAAGCAAAACTGGATTCATATAGGATTAGAAAAAGCTGCAGCTCTAGGTCTTTGAAAAAAAAAAGTAATGTAATACCATGCTCTTGTGCAGAGGGAAGGGAGTGTGGAAACTTAAGAGGGACGCACGAGAGCATATCTATTGCTGACTGGCTGACCATCAAAGAGTAAAATTAGAGTGGACTTTGTGCGCTCTGGAAATGACCCTGCTTCTTCTTGACCCCAGAATTATCCTGACATCAGGTGTCACTGTTCTGCTGTCTGCTAAACTCACTAGGTAGCCCACCATGAGCCAGCTTCTGTCTGCTAGTAAGAAGGGAGGCATATGATTAGAAAAGTGAATCCTGAAAAGAGTGGATTCAAAAGTTGGTGAATAGTGATAGTGAGAAGGTAAGAACTGTGGGACTTGTAAGATGGGTACAGATACATTGGGTTGAGCCCTGGAGGAGAATCATCGACATAGGGTGTGTACATTCTTTAAATGTGCAATTGTCCCTCCCGCTTTAAAAAAGGTTTGTTTGTTTGTTTTATTCCAGAAGGTAATCATTAATACTGGTTGTTTATTGTTTTTTTTTTTGTTTTTTTTTTAAGAATACAATTTTTGATAATCATACAAAATAGTTAATACAATTAATAGAATAGACCAGTAGTTCCCAAACTGTGTGCACACAGGAGTGCTGCGGAATGTTTCCCCGTTGCTATGATTATAGCACCGGGGAAACATTGCTGCTCAACAGGGACTTGGGTTGCATTGGAAAAATACTAAAATATTAAGGGCGCCTTGAACCTAAAAGGTTTGGGAACCACTGGAATAGACAATAAGAAAATGTAAACCTGTGAGCATAGCCATAAATGGGAAGGGTTTTCCAATTGACTGGAAATGTCTGGATGGGTGTGAATGTATATATATAGAGAGAGAGAGAGATAGCAAGCAAGAGAGAGAGAAAATACGCTAATGCAGACTTATTGTTTATGGTCTGAACTCAAAACAGCATTACTCAAAATATATATGGTCAATTGGCAACCAGCAGTCAGTCACCTGGTATGCTTTTAGCTTGGTGTACAAGTGTGGCAAATTATACACAAAGTGTGGGTGTGTAAATACAACACACTCTAAAACACCTGTATGGTATCCTCTTTACCCACACCAATAAATCAGAAACATAAAATACATACAATAGGTGGAGTGTGTTTGTTCAGAGAGATGGGTAGGTCATGATTTGATGATACAAAGGTACGTATATATCATAGAGGCATCTTTCATATATTTTTAAGATCAAACAATATTGCACTAGGTCATTTTTTCTTTTCTCCCAACTGCGAATTATACGTACCTCTGTATTATCAAATCACGACCTACCCATCTCTCCACCTATTGTATGCATTTTATGTTTCTGGTGTACAAGTGTGCTAGTCTATAGACTGTAACCACGTTTGAGCAGGGTCCTCTTCAACCTATCATTCGTGTAAGTTTTCTTGTATTTGTCCTATTTATAGTTAAGTCCCCCCTGTAATAATATTGTAAAACGCTACGGAATCTGTTGGCACTATATAAATGGCGATAATAATCTTGAATGACAATAAACATGTCACTAACTTGCCACTGACAAGTGATTCACTAAAACACCTATGTCACAGCCAGACCTCTTCACATACTGGTTTCATGAAGGCAAAAATTGGAAAAAGTGGTGTTTTCTCTAGTGTCCCTGAGAGATAGGATACCAAAGAAGTTATTAAAATTAGTTGGAAACATCCCAAATTCAGATTAGCCCATATAATCCTGGAAACGTAGGAAGTATGGCTATTTTAGTCTTTCCTTTGTCTATGAGATTCTGTAGTTTTTCATCAATTATTAGCACCAGGCACATTAGGTTTTTAACTCAGCACTAGAATTAAGGGTTAGTATCCAACGATACAGGTGCCTGAGAGTTAACCGTATGGGTTAACAATAAGGTCAGTGAGTCGAGGTCAGGAGTAAAGAGAAATCTGATCATCAGAGAAGAGGTGTTATGGCAAACAAGACAAAATAGTGTAGCAATGAACAAACTAAAGCCTGGAACTGAGAAATTAAAAAGGTCAACTGCAAACTAGATCTCAGAAAAAACTCAGAAGTGAAAGATCCACTTTAAAAATGACTATTAATTAATATAGGCTATTTTATCTATGCAGGACATTGTATTTGCAAGGAATCACACGGACTGATTTTGTGGCATGGAGCAATGATATCCAGGTGGCAGCATGCAGCAGTGGAAACATCTTACGAGAGCAGCAGTTAAGCAGGAATGACATTCCCATCATCGTAGACAGTTGCATTGCCTTTCTTACACAATATGGTGGGTGGCTGTATTTATTTTAAAGTCCACTAAGTAGTAGTAGAGAATGATTTACAATTTGAAAATGCATTTTACGTTAAAGTGGTACAACAGACTGAACAGCCATTTAAATTCCAAGTTTCCTAAAAGACAGGTTGCACAATGTATTTTTTAAAACCTTTATACATTTATCATACTTCTTATTGTGTGACACGATCAGTGCATTGTTCAACTGAAATACATGTGTTCCTGTCAGTCTGAAATAAGGGGTGCCAACACTCCTGGGCAGTCACTGCACATTGCAGTTGTCACCATTAATTCTGTGTCTCAGTGTGTGTATGTGTATCAGTGTGTATATCTGTGTATCAGTATGTATGTCATTGTGAGTACCTGTGTGTCTGTATGTGTCAGTGTTTTTACCAGTGTATCTGTATGTGTGTCTGTGTGTATATCTGTGTGTCTGTGTCAGTGTGTGTGTGTATCTGTTTGTCTGTGTATCTGTATTTGTTAGTGTGTGTATCTGTGTATCTCAGTATCTGCATGTGTGTCAGTGCTTGTATCTGTATAAAAAATAATGTGTATAGTGTTCTCTTATCACAAATAGCAGCAGTCCACCTACAAGGAGTTCCCACACCTTGTGAATAACAAGCAGATAAATACAAACAAATGGTGAGCCGCGCTTAGTAATTAAAAAGGATTATACATACAATCAACGGAGGAGGATAATTGTGAGACATATCTTTAACAAAGAAATTTAAAATAGTATAATGCGGTAAGAAATGCAGTGGATATAAAGGCAGTGCCAATAGAACACTCACATTTTCCAGAGCTTTAAATTAGCTCTAATATTGCACGCCAGGACGGAAAAATCCCCGTCCAAGGATATGATGTCAGATATTTTGCGCTGCAGTCAGTAATATATGTGGAGGGAAGCACAGATAGGAAAACCAATGGTGTAGTCCAATTATAAAATGAACATATAATACAGGTAAGTATTCTACTTACAATTTCCAGAGCATGAACCTACTATGGTATGGAGCACTTGGGTGGAATGATCCCCACCTATGGATTTGATGAATATCCAGGAAGCCAGGTGAGAATAAAAGCAGAAATCCAAAAGGCTGGATACTTACTTAGAAAAAAGTACTTTATTTAAACAATAAAAGTGATAGAAAATAGGTACTAACGAAAAAAACTATATGTATATGTACGTGCAGCTCAGCATTCAAACAGCAACACTACACACAAATAAACCGTTGCATGCAAACGTCAACACTACATACAAAAACACCTCTGTATTAACCCCTTAAGACCGGAGGGCGTACTATTACGCCCTATTCTAAGCGGCTCTAAACGCCGCCGGGCGTAATAGTACGCCCTCCGGTCTTTCGGTACTTACCCGGTGGGGGGGACTTCCAGGGAGCCCCCCGCGGCACGTCCGTCCTCCTTGAAGCCCCCCGGCCATGTGAGAGTGGGGTCCTTGCGAGGACCCCACAATCACATGGCCGGGGGTAGCTGCCTCCTGCATTGCCAGCAGGGGGGCTGCCTGTAATGACAGGTGGTCCCCCTGCTGGCTAAAAATAAAATTAAAATAAATAAATAGTGTAAAAAAAAAAATATATACTTAGATCATATATATATAATATATATATATATGATCTAAGTATATATATACACATATACATACACATACGTACACCGTCTAGGTGTATTTTACTATTAATATATATCAAATTACACGTAGACTGATACTGATTAAATATATATAAAATTATTGTTATATATATATATATATATATTTATATATAATATAAAAAAATAAAAATGTAAATACGTTAAAAAATATAATTAAAAAAATAATTAAAAATAAATAATTAAAAAATATATAGATGTGTGTTATTTCGTTCTAACTGTTTTGTGAAATTAATATATATATATATATCAAAATACACGTAGAACGAAATAATATATCTATATACATAAATATATACGTATATATCACTATATATATATACCTATATATAAATAAAAATATTTTTAAAAAATTATATAGATATATACATATATATACACATACGTATATATATATATATATATATACATATATTAATTCTACAGTGTTTGTGACCAAATGGCTACTAAAAAAGACTGGACATACCCCATTTGCAATACCTTGGGTTGTCTACTATTGCAAATGGTATGCCATTATGGGTGTAAATTTCATTCCCAGGCTACTATACAGTCTCAAAGGCAATGTAACCAATCTGGCAAATTTCAATTTCAAATGTAACGTGCTATATTTGACCCTGTAACTTCCCAAAACGCCATAAAACCTGTACATAGGGGGTACTGTCTTACACATGAGACTTTACTGAATACAAATATGTGTATTTTATTTTAGTAAAAGCAAACAGTATTATGACATTGACCGTTAAAATGTCATGTAGAACTAAAAAAATAAAAAATAAATCGTATTTTCTCCCATTTTTTTCATATTAAATGATGTTTCATAGCTAAATATTTGATATTAAATGAAAGCCCTGTTTCCCCTGAATAAAATGATATATAATAAGGGTGGGTGCATTTACTATGAAAGAGGTGAATTACGGTTGGACAGACATGTAGCGCAAATGCCAGGTTTTGTTTACATTTTGTTTTGTTCACAACGTGTACATTTGGCTCCGTCCTTAAGGGGTTAAAACACTAATATTATATATAAACACTGCAATCAAAAGCAAGCACTACACACAAATGCACACCTACATTTAAAAACAAACACTACAACGTAGTCCAACTTGAATATATAAGTTATTTTATTATTACATAATGTCAAAGTGGGTTTATTGGTTGAAAGCTGCCAGGACTTTCTGAAAAATTATGTTTCTGGAAATACTAACAAAATACTAAAAATAAACAGCCCTATGGACAGTGACATTGAAAAGTGTTAACAGTGTCTTTTTTTCCTCTAAACAGGTCTTTGCCATGAAGGAATTTACCGCAAAAATGGAGCCAAGTCAAGGATTAAACTGCTCATGGATGAGTTTCGCAAGGATGCTCGAAACGTCAAGCTTCGTATCAATGACAACTTCATTGAGGATGTCACTGATGTGCTGAAAAGATTTTTTAGAGAGTTGGATGATCCAATTTTCACAACAGAATTGCACCCTAAATGGCAAGAAGCAGCAGGTAAAATAATTGTGTTCTATACCAACTAGTCCCTGCTTTGTATCAGTATATCTTTGACTGGGAAGTCAGTGCAATTCCAACAAAGTCAATATGAGTATTTCATAAATATTTTATCTTTATGCAATACAAGTTTTGTAGGATGAGTGACAGTGCAGCTTTAAATAAAAAATAAATAAATAATGTTACGTTTAATCTAATTATCTGTGAGCAAGGGACAAATATCTTAGTAATGAGCTCCCAAATACACCAGAATGTGCCATAAAGCAAATAAATTGGCACAGTGTTAAAAACAAATAAAATATAATTTAGCATAATACCCTCTAATAAGCCAGGATCAGAAATAAAGTTTTCTTACCTATAATTAGAAATCTTTTCATGAAATTAAAATTGTAGTATTAATTATTATGGATGTCAATTTTCATTGGCAAATTGTTAGAATAGTTAATTTGATAGCACTGAATAATAAAATATGTATTACTACCCTTTATAAGGTGAGGTTATGGAAAACATCTATATTGGCATACAAGAGAGGCATTTACTAGTGTTTTAATGGAGGGTGGGACACTCATTACTTAAAGGGACACTCTAGACCCCTAAAGCACTTTATACAAGACCAGATACACCTCCTTTTGGAAGGGATGTGTGTACAACAAAGTGCTAGAAATAAACAACAGCAGCTCTCATCCACACCCAAAATCCAAAATCTATAGAGTGGTACAAGTAAAACCTACACCTTTAAGTGGAGCGCTAAAAAATTTCTGCAAAATGGCTTGTGGTACATATAAAAGATAAAAAAAATACAATATAGTTCAGGTGGCACGTAGGATATGATAACATAAATGGTGGTGAAGTAAAACACTCACATTTAAAGTAGCCTATATACAAATACTGGCTCCGAAATTGGGCTTTTCTGCTTTTAGGGCAGCATCACACCTCCAATCCGCTGCAAGGTATTTCTCAAGGTAAAAGCGAAGGAGAGAAGGGAACCAATGTGCAGTCTGTTAATAAAATCAAGTTAAAAGGTACAATGAGTATAATGCTCACCTTATTTAGAGTCTTACAATCTGATATAGGTTTCACATATGCATAGGCACACTCTTTTTCTATGTATTTCTCTGCCAGCCATGTTGAGCACATCTAATAAGCCTCAATTCAGGCTTGAATTAGATGTGCACAACACGGCTGGCCGAGCAGTACATAGAAGAAAAGTGTGTCTATGCATCTTTGAAATCTGTATCAGATCTCTCCACTTAAAGTGTAGGTTTTCCTTTACCACTATACAGACCCTAAAGCACTTTAGCTTACTAAAAAGCTTTAAGTGTGAATACCGTGTCCTCTTTTTTCATTTTGAAAAAAAAAAAAGGCAGATTTTAATAGTAATTGACACTTTTATAAATTTAGCTTGTTACAATCACGTGGCTTTCAAGCAGACAACTGGTACTGGTTCTTCCTGGTTTGGTTAGCTCAGTGGAGCTAAACTCAAGAGGCAGCAATTGCCCAGTGGACCTGCCTTGCAAAGACTTCTCATAGAGCTGCATTGGGAAGTCTGCGATTGGACAGCCACAGAATGTCTGGGAGGGGCTAGAAGGGAGGCTTGCAAAGGCTGCAGCATTTGCAAGCTGTCTTTGGAGATACCCCAAATGCAAAAATGCATAATCAAATGCATGCACAATTTATTTTGGATAGATCTACTAAACAGTAAATTTTATTTATATTGTATTTGGGCAGTGGAATGTCCCTTTAAACTACGTTCAAACTTGGTGCTTGGAAATAAGAGGGTGCTTGTATTCCTATCCAAGAAATCCTGTTAAAGTTCAACATTTCATTGTCACGACATGAGAGTAGAAATTACAAGGTTGCTTGTTATAGTGCCTACAGTAGTTCCCTCCTGCTTAGTGGCCACAAAATACTTTATTTTGATAGTTTAAAAAGCTTGGAAGTGCAGTTTCCAGCCTCCCCTCTAAACTCTATGGATAGGAGACTGTTACATTTCAGCTCTCATACCCAGGCATGCAGTGACATCACACACGCATCCCGGTCAGACATAAATGTATGTGTGCATATAGGGGAACACTTGCACATTGTCACTCTTTAATTTTTTTGTGCCAGACCCAAAAAAATAAAACAGGAGGAGGATATTACTTAAACAACTATTTATGCATTTATTTTAATTAATCCATTGCATTGGCATATATCAAGTGAAGGAATTGAAGGGGTAGAAGACTGGCATACATGGTTATGAGATGATTTTCAGAAGAGAAGCTGGCAAACCTATCTCCTAGTAGACTATGTGTTAATTATTGTCAAATTTCAAATTTATTCTTAGCATATAGTGAATTTGTTGTATATTCACATCTGAGGTCAAATATTTTGATTGTATATGTGTGTGTGTATATATATATATATATACAGTTGCAAGAAAAAGTATGTGAACCCTTTGGAATTAAATGAATTTCTGCACAAATTGGTCATAAAATGTGATCTGATCATCATCTAAGTCACAACAATAGACAATCACAGTCTGCTTAAACTAATAACACACAAAAGAATGAAATGTTGCCATGTTTTTATTGAACACACGATGTAAACATTCACAGTGCAGGTGGAAAAAGTATGTGAACCCCTAGACTAATGACATCTCCAAGAGCTAATTGGAGTGAGATGTCAGCCAACTGGAGTCCAATCAATGAGATGAGATTGGAGGTGTTGGTTAAAGCTGCCCTGCCCTATAAAAAACACACACCAGTTCTGGGTTTGCTTTTCACAAGAAGCATTGCCTGATGTGAATGATGCCTCGCACAAAAGAGCTCTCAGAAGACCTACGATTAAGAATTGTTTACTTGCATAAAGCTGGAAAGGGTTATAGAAGTATCTCCAAAAGCCTTGCTGTTAATCAGTCCACGGTAAGACAAATTATCTATGAATGGAGAAAAGTTCAGCACTGCTGCTACTCTCCCTAGGAGTGGCCGTCCTGTAAAGATGACTGCAAGAGCACAGCGCAGACTGCTCAATGAGGTGAAGAAGAATCCTAGAGTGTCAGTAAAAGACTTACAAAAGTCACTGGCAAATGCTAACATCACTGTTAGCGAATCTACAATACGTAAAACACTAAACAAGAATGGATTTCATGGGAGGATACCACAGAGGAAGCCACTGCTGTCCAAACAAAACATTGCTGCACATTTACAGTTTGCACAAGAGCACCTGGATGTTCCACAGCAGTACTGGCAAAATATTCTGTGGACAGATGAAACCAAAGTTGAGTTGTTTGGAAGAAACACACAACACTATGTGTGGCGAAAAAAAGGCACAGCACACCACCATCAAAACCTCATCCCAACTGTGAAGTATGTTGGTAGGGGCATCATGGTTTGGGGCTGCTTTGCTGCGTCAGGGCCTGGACGGATTGCTATCATCGAAGGAAAAATGAATTCCCAAGTTTATCAAGACATTTTGCAGGAGAACTTAAGGCCATCTGTCTACCAGCTGAAGCTCAACAGAAGATGGGTGTTGCAACAGGACAATGACCCAAAGCATAGAAGTAAATCAACAACAGAATGGCTTAAACAGAAGAAAATACGCCTTCTGAAGTGGCCCAGTCAGAGTCCTGACCTCAACCCGATTGAGATGCTGTGGCATGACCTCAAGAAAGTGATTCACACCAGACATCCCAAGAATATTGCTGAACTGAAACAGTTCTGTAAAGAGGAATGGTCAAGAATTACTCCTGACCGTTGTGCACGTCTGATCTGCAACTACAGGAAACGTTTGGTTGAAGTTATTGCTGCCAAAGGAGGTTCAACCAGTTATTAAATCCAAGGGTTCACATACTTTTTCCACCTGCACTGTGAATGTTTACATGGTGTGTTCAATATATCTTTTTCCACCTGCACTGTGAATGTTTACATGGTGTGTTCAATAAAAACATGGCAACATTTAATTATTTGTGTGTTATTAGTTTAGGCAGACTGTGATTGTTTATTGTTGTGACTTAGATGATGATCAGATCACATTTTATGACCAATTTGTGCAGAAATCCATATCATTCCAAAGGGTTCACATACTTTTTCTTGCAACTATATACCGTATTTTTCGCTCCATAAGACGCACGTCACCATAAGACACACCTAGTTTTTAGAGGAGGAAACCCTGAAAAAATATTCTGAACTGTTCCGTAGTGTTTGTTACTATGGGACAGTTTGTTCAGAATATTTTTTTTAAAGGAATTTTTTGTTCTTTACCACACACTCCCCTCTCCTGTCCCATAATGATCTTTAACCCCCCTCCCCTGTCCCATAGTTATTTTAACCCCCCCTTTCCTCTGTCCCATAGTGATTGTTAACCCCTCTTCCCCTTGTCCAATAGTGTTCTCATCCCATAGTGTTCCCCCTCTCCTTGTCCCATAGTGTCCCACCCTCTCCTTGTCCCATAGTGTCCCCCCTCCCCTTGTCCCATAGTGTCCCCCCCTCTCCTTGTCCCATAGTGTCCCCCTTCTCCTTGTGTCCCATAGTGTCCCCCCTTGTCCCATTGTGTCCCCTCCCCTTGTCCCATTGTGTCTCCCCTGTCCCAGTGTCCCCCTCTCCTTGTCCCATAGTGTCCCCCCCTCCCCTTGTCCCATAGTTACTTACCTGTCTTGTAGCGTGGGCTGGCTTCACAGCGCGCTCCGCGGTACAGGAACTTCAATTTCAGCTTCTGGTTTCCGGCGGGACTGAAAGGAAGTGTGCACACTGAGTGTGCACTTCTTTTCAGTCCCGCCGGAAACCGGAACCTGAAATTGAAGTTCCTGTACCGTGGAGCGCGCTGTGCTGCCGGCCCACGCTACAAGACAGGTAAGTAAAGCTTCACATTCGCTCCATAAGACGCACAGACATTTCCCCTCACTTTTGAGAGGAAAAAAAGTGTGTCTTATGGAGCGAAAAATACGGTATGTGTATATATATATATATATATATATATATATATATATACACACACATACACACACATTTAGAATATTTGTTTGCTGAGATTTGTAGAACTTCTTTTTCACCCCTATTTAAGTTGCTGTTTGTCTCCCATGTTAAAATTAGTGTTAGTGTAGGACCCACTGATATTGAGGTACTGTAACGTAGTGATGGGGTTAAAGGGACACTATAGTCACCTGAACAACTTTAGCTTAATGAAGCAGTTTTGGTGTATAGAACATGCCCCTGCAGCCTCACTGCTCAATCCTCTGCCATTTAGGAGTTAAATCCCTTTCTTTATGAACCCTAGTCACACCTCCCTGTATGTGACTTGCACAGCCTTCCATAAACACTTCCTGTAATGAGAGCCCTATTTAGGCTTTCTTTATTGCAAGTTCTGTTTATATAAGATTTTCTTATCCCCTGCTATGTTAATAGCTTGCTAGACCCTGCAAGAGCCTCCTGTATGTGATTAAAGTTCAATTTAGAGATTGAGATACAATTATTTAAGGTAAATTACATCTGTTTGAAAGTGAAACCAGTTTTTTATTTTTTCATGCAGGCTCAGTCAATCATGCCAGGGGAGGTGTGGCTAGGGCTGCATAAACAGGAACAAAGTGATTTAACTCCTAAATGACAGTGAATTGAGCAGTGAAATTGCAGGGGAATGATCTATACACTAAAACTGCTTTATTTAGCTAAAGTAATTTAGGTGACTATAGTGTTCCTTTTACACAATATTACAATATGGTGTAACTGAATCCAGTGGTGTATTTTGGTTTTGTGCTGCCCTATGCATGACTAAACTTATGCACCCCCCTCGATCTGAATGTGCTCCACCCCTTCCGGTCAAGGCCACACTTCTTCCTTTTAAGACCAAACCCTTCTGTAAACTCCACCTCTTCCTTTTTAAGCTCCACCTCTTCATCTCTGTCCTCAAACAGTTTACGAAGCAAACTTTGCCATCAAACTGCTTTCCAATACCATAGTTCTCCCAAAACAACTTTACAGTCCCAGGTTTGTCCCCAACCAGCTAATCCTTGTCATATTTACACACAAACAACTTGCCAGTGCCATCTTTGTCCACAAACTGTTTGCCAGTGCCATCTGGTATATCAGGCCTCTACGCTTTAAATGCATAAACTTAGTATATCGCAGCAATCAGCTATAAATGCCTAAACTTGGTATAGCATGCCGATCAGTTTTAAATACATAAACTAGGTATATCATAGCAATCAGCTATAAATGCATAAACTAGGTATAGCATGCCAATCAGTTATAAATACATAAACTAGGTATATCATGGCAATCGGCTATAAATGCATAAACTTGGTATATCATAGCAATCAGCTATAAATGCATAAACTAGGTATAGCGTGCTATACCTGGCGCTCAGGTCTAAGGGGAGGGCGGCAGACAGCTTAGTAGTGAGTTGTAGTGAGTTGAAGTTGTGGAGGCAAATGGGAGTCAGTGGCATCAGAAGGATTGGTGTCACTCTGTGCAGTAGTAACTCATGATGTGACCCCCTGGATAGCCTCCAGTATTAAACCATACAGAATCCTTAGTGCAATAATGCAATTATTCAGAGTATTTACAATTCCAGGATAGGATACGGTTAGCACAGACCAACATTTAGAAGAAAGGAAAACACTTCACTCCTACACATTTTGATAATTTTACAGACAAGTTATTCAGGCTGGACATGGAAAAGTAGAACTGTTTGGTCTAGCTCTCAGAACACATTAATTTCCAGGAGCAATCTTATTGACACAAAATTACAGAATTCTCAAGTATCCCTCTTTAGGAGAGACAGCACCTATTTTGGACTATAAAGCTAACATTTTAATGTAATTCAGATAGCTAATAAAACTTGCACTCTAGTGTAAGTAAGATAACCAATAAAGATTGCACTATGACTGAAATACATTAAAGTGCAAGCTTTATTACCTAACTGAATTACATAATTCAGCCATAGACAATAAAAGCCATATAGAGAATGTATATATAGATGGGAGCCTTTACGTATAGAGAACAGATATATAGTCTGTGCATATTTAGATTGGATTGTGACATTATATAGACTGCATGTATATAAATAGGAGCATTTTACGTATTGAGAGAACCATATAATCTGTGTGTATATAGGTAGGAGTATGACATTATTCACGTTGTATAGTCTATGTATATATAGATGGGAGCCTGTTATTTATAGAAAACAGCATTATAGTCTGTGCGTATATAGATATGAGCTTTTTCTATAAAGAAAAGGCTCCCAACTTTTTGTTGAACCTGGTTTTTCTATTACAGTATAAACTAGGAGACTTTTACTCAGTTCTCCTTATTTTAAAAAACAAATAGCACTTGCATGATAAGGGAAAACATAATTATTAATTATTAAGGAGCGCAGTTTTGGAACTGAGAGAGCTAAAGGCAGAAAAAAAATCTTTAAAGTTTATTAATTAACTCCCTTGTAATTAAACAAATTAAAGAATTGGAACAAAAAAACCCAACACAACAGCCAAGAAATAAACAGTAAAAGACAAATCAAACCAATTAAATAAAAAATGGGGGGGAAATGGGGAACTAAATTAAATTAGAAACAAGCAAATAAATTAAACAGAATAATAGAATGGAAGATTAGGGAGGACTAACAAATATATATATCCAAACTGACATTATGTGCATTTCCAGGGTCCCTAAAGTCAGGGCAGCACTGGGACGAGCAGAACAGTTTTTGAGTCTGTCACCCATTTAATCCTGCTCACCCATTATGATCCTGCCTTCCCAGACTCCTTCTAACACATTACTAAGGAAGCATGACCCAGGAGGAGAGGCTGCCATAGAAAGCAACCGCGTGGTCTGTCAAGGGGGGTGTCGGCTGTTATGCTGGTGTCGGGAAAGGGGCTGGAAGGCTCCACTAGCTGATGATCTGGAGGGATGTGCAGCAGTTACTGAAAGGGACACTATAGTCACTTGAACAACTTTAGCTTAATGAAGCAGTTTTGGTGTATAGAACATGCCCCTACAGCCTCACTGCTCAATCCTCTGCCATTTAGGAGTTAAATCCCTTTGTTTATGAACCCTAGTCACACCTCCCTGCATGTGACTTGCACAGCCTTCCATAAACACTTCCTGTAAAGAGAGCCCTATTTAGGCTTTCTTTATTGCAAGTTCTGTATAATTAAGATTTTCTTATCCCCTGCTATGTTAATAGCTTGCTAGACCCTGCAAGAGCCTCCTGTATGTGATTAAAGTTCAATTTAGAGATTGAGATACAATTATTTAAGGTAAATTACATCTGTTTGAAAGTGAAACCAGTTTTTTTTTCATGCAGGCTCTGTCAATCATGCCAGGGGAGGTGTGGCTAGGGCTGCATAAAACAGAAACAAAGTGATTTAACTCCTAAATTACAGTGAATTGAGCAGTGAAATTGCAGGGGAATAATCTATACACTAAAACTGCTTTATTTAGCTAAAGTAATTTAGGTGACTATAGTGTTCCTTGAAGTGTTTATGCTGACTGACTGCTGCCTTCTAAGAGAAAGACAGCTTATCCTGTTGCAAATGCTCCCAGTCTCACTCCCTTTCCCTTTTCAAGCTCTGCTTGGGAACAAAAATATCAGTCTGGGGATGACAGCTTGTCACCCCCTTTTTTTGCCACCGTGGAATGTGCCACCCAAGGTGAGTGCCTAATTTGCCTGCTGAAGATCCACCACTGACTGAATCCCCATATTTGTTTTTTGGCATAGGTGATTTTAAGTAGCCTTGTAAAATGTAAAGCTGTATTTTTGAGTATGTGCTGTTTATTATTGTATAGTTTGTATAACTTTTGGTCTTCACAGCAGCAACAATGCTGAGAAATGCATGTTCAGGGTGTGCTACCAAATCCTATTGTTTCTAAGTTATACGATACTAGCCAGGCCTAAATGTTACTTGCCATGACAAGCCCGGGAGATGTAGGCATTGGAACACTTTCTATTCTGAATTTCTATTCACCAAGGCTAAATTTTAACTCGTCAATTGTTAGTGGGAGAGGAGAGCTTTTGAGCCTTGACTGCAGTATATAGTTGAACTGAAATTGACTTTGTAGAGTAGTATTACTTTTTTGCAAGTTGCATACTGTTCATTTCATATTGCTATTCTCATTGAAGCTTTCACAGTATGCAATATATTTTCTTGCTATTAAGATATAGAATTTTAAGTAATATAGAACTGGAAACTGCTGCACACCTAACAACCAATAAATATAGTAAATTTGTCTAGACCGGGCAACAACTGTAATTTGCATTATGTTATAATTTAAAGAATTTGTTTAGCTGTTTTAATATTAGTTGACTGATTTTATTGCCATCACAGAGCACTCAGAAAAATCCAAGAGGTTGGAGAACTACATGGAATTAATTAACCAGCTTCCAAAGGTCAACAGAGCTACACTGACTGCACTAATTGGTCATCTTTACCGGTAAAACACCTAATCAGTTGATAAAATTTGGCTTGAGAGATAGAAGATGTTTAACAAACATGGTTATATGTGCAGAAGACTAAAAACAGGCAGTATTTTTATTGCTTGTCCTCAGCTTTTGGCAACTCATTTTGATACTTCGGTTACACATGCCATTACAATGAGGACATATGACATAAGATAGGTCTCTTGTGCAACCAGGCATATGTTTAAACTTTATTTAGATCTTGTAACAAAGATATGGTTGATGTCCCACTCACAATGTTGTCAAGGCCCAGAGTTTGTGTCACCCCAATAGATTGTGGGAGGCAGTCAGTAAATGAAAAGGGAGTCTATCACAGTTTCTGGCCCCACCATGCCTCCTTTTTTGAGATCCACCAGGCCTTGAATAAAGGTGAGTTTTTACAGCTATTTAAAGCTGCACTGTCATGCCGTACTTACCTTTCTCTAATTGCTTCCTCTTCTCTCCCTATGTCAGGATCTGTTCTTCATTTCTTCCTATCTGCTCTAGTTTTCTTTAAAACATAAGACAAAGTAGGGACTGCTTTGTCTTATGGAGGCTTCCTACGCCTGACCATCTCTGACCAGTGGAGGAGCAAAGTGTGCTCCGCTTCCTGTGGTCAGAGAAATTTTCACACAGTTATTACCTTTCCTCTGTGAAATGCTATCACGATGCTTCCTGTCATTATTCCCGAACGTCCTGTCATTTAGACAGAATGCTGGCAAAACTACAGAATTTCGTCCTAACAGAATGAGAACAGTTTGTTCATATTAGGACGCAACTCTGGACTTTGTTTGGATCGGAATTTCATTTGAATGAATGAAACTCTGATCGTGTTCGTGCTGCCGCTGCATCTTGCAGCCGTTTAGTAGATAACTCCCTAATTCCCACGGTCTTTCAGACAAATTTACTAATACTAAGTAAAGTTTACTTAGTATTAGTAAATTCTGCCCCTTCTTGGGATATAGTCTAGTAAACAGTGAGCAGCCAGTGGCTTATTTGAATTTATCAAATAAAAGGGGTGGGGGCTGGGGGGCAGGACAATAGGTTCCCCCCATTATTATTTAGGGCCCCTACCTACCGCTCAGGGGTTGGGGGCCAGGGGGGAGGACAATAAGTCCCCCTCCCCCCCACATTTTCATTTAGGGCCCTCACCCGCCACTCATAGGTGGGGGCCAAGGAGAACCCTATGTCCCCCATTTAGTTGAATTGCTCCAACTTGCGGGCCACGGGTTGGGCCTCGGAGGGGACACTATGTCCCCCCCGCTTGCAAATAGATGCCCCACCATGGGGCCATTTGTTGGAAGGGGTGGGTTTATTTTTACAACAGACATGACCCTACTCGTGGCATAGCGAGTAGTGGCATTCAGGAGATTTCAGTCTCCCTTATGCTATTATGGAGGTTAGGGGGGGCTTAGGAAGTGGCGGGGAGCACTGTGAGGACCTGGTCAGCCTTTATTTTCTGAAGTGTCACTGTCAGTTTAACAGTCTTAATTGGAATATTTTTGTGTTACTTATACACATTTTTTTCTAAATTAGTTTCCAACTAATTTCCAACTGTGATAAAACCAAAAACATTTGATTAATTTACATGGTACCTAATCTGATTTTTTTCCAGTACATCATTGGGTGTATTTCAGTAAACATACTGAAAATGTTCCATGGTTTTGATACAATGATGATACATTTGTATTCTGTCTCCAGCTGTGCCTGTTCACAATATTTTCTTCCAACCACTAAAACCAATTAATTTTAGTATCCTACATAGCTCCGTATCTAATAGCTGTACGTTTTCCTTATTTTTTCTCTCCCAGTGTTCAGAAATGTGCAGATTTAAACCAGATGTGTACCAAGAATCTTTCACTATTATTTGCTCCCAGCCTATTTCAGACAGATGGGAAGGGGGAGCACGAGGTGAAGGTGATGGAGGACCTAATTGACAACTATGCTTGTGTATTCGGTGTAAGTGTTCCTTGAAGTAGATCAAAGGCATTAAGACATTGCAGTTTTTACGTGCATAGATAAGAAATTAATGTAAGTGAAAATTAAAAGAAAAAGAAGCAGAAAAGTAAATTTACATTATGCATACAGCCCTCTTCTAATTAAAGCTACTTGAACACCAATGTGATCTCTGTCAACAAAGTACTGCAGGAGTTCGGTTGTACTGTGTTGTACTTAAGCTCGTGACTTGCAATCTCAATGTTTTCCAGGGCTAGACAGAACTAGTGAAATATTTTCTGGAATCACAGAATTTTGTGTGTGGAAAAAAGGCCATTTGCTTGTACTTGCCACTAGAAAAAAAATGTCCAGCCCTTCTGTGCATGCATGCAAATACACCATTCTGTATTTGAACAATTTATGTGGAGACATCAAATGTAAATCTTTGTATCATTTTTCTTAATTAAAAAGTGTGCAAACTCTCTTTAAATAACAATATATGCTAAGTCAATGAGGCATTTTTTAGTTATCACACTGGTCGACATATCACTACCATAAATTGAACAAAACGTTAATTTTTTTTCTATTTTCAGATTGACGAGGAGCAGGTGACACAGATGGACTTAGAAAACAGTTTGATTACCACCTGGAAAGATGTTCAGGTAAGAATCATGTGCACAGAATTAAGGCTGCTATATACTCACAGCTCTTTTTTTGTTAACGTTGAAAATATATAAAGAGGAAAAAAATGTGTACTATATAATGAAGTGTACAATGCAAATTTCACCGCAAGATTATTTCACTACAGTAGATATTACATTACCTAAAACATGTATGTTTCAACCTTTGTTTTTCACCTGACAGTTGTCACAAGCTGGTGACCTTATTATTGAAGTTTACTTGGAAAAGAAACTGCCAGACTGCTGTGTCACCCTAAAGGTCAGTAATTTTCAAGCCATGTTTAATAGTGTCAGTTCTGCATTTACACAACAGATTTAGTATAGATCTGTGGTAGAACCACAGGCGTCTGTGCTGTATGTGTGGCATTGCGTTTATCTCATTTAAATATATTTCCACAATTGGTATGTTGCAACGCAAAAATATGATGGTATGCATTTCTTTTTTTTAAATTGACTTTACTATTGATACTGTATTAGTATAGTAAATATGGTTGTTGAATTATATATTTCTGCCTTATATACAGATTGTAGGCCAAAGTAGCTTGCTGGAAGTGTAGCTGACGTCGAGAAGTTTTCCAGTTCTGTCTTTTTAGCCTTAAATTTTAAATTCACTTTAAATTCTCACTTTAGTAAATAGCCCTATGAGTGTTACTGCACTCCCATGAGATGATCCCAAACTTAAATTTTTTTAGGATGAAGTTCAAGCTCCATTTGCATATTAGCCGTTTACAAAAGGCTATAAAGAAAAACACACACGTATATTTTTCATAGCTCTCCCCTTTCCTACTATTTGCCAAGTAAAACAAATTAAGTTTAAACAGAAATTCTGCATATTTGTAACAATGTTAAAGGAAGATCAAATATCCATGTAAAAAGTATGGCTTTGAGTGTATATTTATTGCCAAAGGAAGTCTGTGTTTATTAAAAGACTGGACTGTCATTAGATCATTTATTTAATCTGTAAATGTTCTGGCTAGTAACGATAATATATGAGCTAGATGTATTCTGACTAAAAGATAGCTATGCTATAAAATGTTCTGCTTTTTGGTTTTGTTTGGGCTGACACATCAAGTATCAGTGGTATGTTTACTGTACATACTGGTAACTTTGTACAGACTGAATGGATGTGCTGTGATCTCGAGAATCTAAATATCATATTTAGATTGCTGTCATATTTAGATTGGTATTGATTCGACATCTTCAAACGCTGCATTTTAGGTGTCTCCAGTAATGACAGCAGAGGAGTTAACCAATCAGGTCCTAGATATGCGGAATGTTTCAGGAAGCACAGACATCTGGCTGACCTTTGAAGTGTTTGAAAATGGTGAACTAGGTAAGATTCAGTCAAGTCTACGAAACATCAGATGAGCAAATGACTAACATCACAAATCTTGAAGCACCTTACATAACAATTTGCCCCACAGGCATACTCTCCCAGACATGCCTATGCACACACCCAGATAAACACTGCTACACATATGCAAAGACTCATACTATCAGGCTCATACACAAAAAAACATTCATAGATTGAAACTAACCACTACACACTAGCAGGCACACGTGCAGGTACAGTTTGTTAAAACCAGCTGCAGGCTCTCCTTCTACTCCTATGTGCTAATGACATAACATCCCCAAAGCATTGCAACAGTAGTGCAAGGGGAACTAGCAAATTGATATAGTGCATTGCTCATTGTGTCGCTAATTTTCAGTGCAACACAGTTAGGATACTGAACAGCACTACATTATCCAGATGGGCTTCTTTGCTTAAGCATCATTGCCTGTATTGCTCTGGATGGGGGCCCTGGATAGGCACCTGAGTGAATACATTTTTATTGAAGTTTTACTGCATTCATAACTAAGATAAAGATAACACTGATGCATACATAGAGTCTCAAAACATGTACAATTTTACAAATTACAAAAATACACTGATATCAGTTGCACCTCCTAAGATAAAACCAAAAGTACATAGAAATACGATTGATGCAGTGTTGTTCAAACAATGACTTACTTTATATTCTTTGAAATGTTTTGTTTCTAATAGATATGATGGCTAATTTGTACTAAAATATCAATAGCAAGAAACCAATCTATCAAAATTACAGTTATTCTTCCAGTCTGTCTAGTAGGGAATTATATATATATATATATATATATATATATATATATAATCTATTTAGAAGAAGTACCGCCAAATAAAAAGCATGTATGCATTTAATAATGCCGTTTTCATTGGGGTATATATAAAAACAATTTGCAAAAGCTGTGGATCTCTTATCTGCTGCTTTTTTGTAAGCCCTCCACTTCTTCCACAGCCCAGGCTTTCTGTGGCTGTCCAATCACAGATTTCCCAATGCAGATTAATGAGCAGTCTGTCACGGGTGGCAGTACGGAAACCGGGACCCCTGAGTGCCAGATGATGATGGGAGTCTCAGCGTGGTAATGGACCATCAGGGCCTGGTGCAGGGTAACCACACGCCCCCTGGTGTTGAGCACCAGTGTTTGTGCGGCCACATACCAGGGCCCAAGAGCTAGGTGCTATTTGATATGCAGACCTCCCAGGAACTGGATAGGGAGGCTCTGCAGCAAACATGTATCCAGTACAGAAACAAGGCAAGACTTGGACAGGCACCTAACAAGAAAACAAGACAAGACTAGAAGAACCCGGAGCAGGACAGAAAGCAGAACCCAGAACACGTACACAAGACATGAGGGAAACATGAACAGGGCAGGACAGGACTGTACATGAACTGGGAATAGAAGACAAAATAAAACAAGACCAGAGATGCAAGGCAAAACAAGAGGAGACATAACTAAGTACTATATATGTAAAACATTGGAGATTTAGACATGCATAAATGGCCAAGATGTATGCAGCCCACCACTGTGGCAAAGTACTCCAATTACAGTGTGTTCCTATCTACCTAGATATGCATGACTAAATAAACAATAATAAAACACGCACAGCACTTACCTGCAAGAAAGGGGCAGAGGACTTGCAGCAACCGCCTGCAGGAACCAACTGAAACAAAAGGATAAATGGAAAAGGAAAGGGTGTGGCAACATAAAACAAACATTTAAAGGGACACTATAGTCACCTGAACAACTACAGCTTTATGTAGTTGTTCAGGTGAGATCTATAGCTCCCTGCAGGCAATCAGAGAAAATACAGTGTTTACATTGATTGATAGGAATACCTCCAGTGGCCGTCACTCAGATGGCCACCAGAGGGACTTCCTATCATGCAGGGCCCTAAAAAGGCCCTATACACGTAAGACGTATTAAAATACGTCTGACGTGTGCAGAAGAGAGAAGGCACTGTGTGCGCGACTTCTCTCTTCTGCCTGTCAGCGGGAGGAAGGAGGGGGGCAAAGACCGCGAGCTGAGCTGTCAGTCAGATCAGCTTGCGGCCGCGCACATTCGTGGTAGTGCGCTCAGGACTTCAGAGTATGTGCGGCGAAGCCGCGCATGTGCACAAGGGAGCAATGACGCTTCCAAATGGAAGCATCTGATTGCTCCCTGCTCGTGCCCGCCTGTTTCGTCATTTTGACGAAATAGGGGGCGCGGCTTCACGAGGCTCCCGGCGCTGGAACCAGGTGAGTAAAAACTGCTGCCTGGGGAGTCCCTTTAATAAAAATCCAAGAGACTGGGAATTCCAGTAACGGAATACAGGAATGAACCCTGAAAACCCAGCATAAAGAAAACCAGACATGGAATAGAAAACCAGAAAAACTAAACAAGAATTGTAAAAAGAGTACTGGATACCAGAATCCAAGGCCAGACATCTCCGCAGAACAGTGCAGGATGTGACACAGTCTTTGTGAAGCAGGTTGTTTGGGCAATTGACTGGCTATTGGGTTTAGCTCCACTTAGCTAAACAACAGGAGCGCAACATGATTGGTTGTCTGATTACCAAGCGGGTTTAGCAAGGTTAACTTATAAATGTGCTTTCTACTAAAATCTCCACTTTTATAAAATGAAAAAAAAGAGGACACACTCTTCACACATAAACACTTAAAGTGCTTTGGGTGTTTGTCGTGTTCCTTTAGGTAACTTGTGCAGCATTGCATGGGTCGTTATTTGTTGCAATAAAAAATTGTCTCTGGGTATGGTAAGTGAAAAGTTCAGGTTGGAAAAAAGTAAATTGTGGCTATCATGATTAATTCTGCAATTTCCTTCCCCACTCCATTGATAGATGCAGATGGGAAAGATTTTGAGGCATTTTTGTAATCTCCTAATTCCTGCATATAGATCCCTCAAACATGCTTAGTCTACTCTAACACAATTTCCCATATTACCTATTGGATTTGCATTGACAAATCCTGGGTACCCTGACAGACAGGTCTGTGTATTGTCTTCTATGGCTGTCATTCATTATTAGCATATTTAAAGTGGCTGTTTTTGTCCTAAATATGGGTATGTACAAGTGTATGATGTTGCAAAGAGCATGAATTCTCATTGGATGTGGTGTGGAGTACTGCTAAAAATAAAACTGGCACCAATGAAGGAAATTCCACCACTGTCCATTTGATGAAACACAATGATACCTTTTTATTACAAGCTTCTGTGAAATCTCCAACATACAGTGGTTAAATATGCTCCTAGCAACCGACAGTGACTTTTTGCAACATATAATTGAAATATGAATCTTCTATCAGGTGTCCCATGAGGCAGAGGCTTTAAACCTTCTAATTAACCATAGGGCGCTGTACTGGAAAATTCCCTGATACATACAGAATTTAATGCTAAGAAAGGTACTCTCTTTAAAACATTTTTTTGTTGTTGAAGTGTGTAATGTACAAAGTTAAATTGCTAAAGCCCACCAAGTCACATTCTGGAGGTAGAATCTTGTGCACCACCATCTTTTAACTTCACTGGCAACCACTGCAGATGAGTAAACAGATGCCATACAGGACTTTTGAAGGAATGCCTGAATGATCATGCATTTTTATGACACTTTCTGGAAAATATTGGCATTTGGAAACAGAAATGCTGTGTATGTAGGTGTTTTTTATACATACCTTGACTGCACTTATCGCTCCAGTAAATGCTTCAGTTATATATAATGGAGTGAGAAAATAAGAACAGTGACCACAAGCAAGTTCCTCTTCAAATATTGTCTTATTATATTAATTTAGATATATGTCTACAACTATTATGCATGATTATTAATTGAATGTAAAATGTATTTGTTTCTTAACAACTTCACACACTCTAAACCATATTTGTATGCCAGTTTAATTTATATGATTATCTTTGTTCTACAGAACGACCTTTACATCCAAAGGAAAAAGTTCTAGAACAGGCTCTGCAGTGGTGCAAGTTAGCAGAGCCTAGTTCCGCTTTCTTACTTGTGAAGAAGATTCCCATTGGTGAAGGAAGCTGTCTTTTTACAGGTGAGTGTTTTTGTGATCAACATAGAATAATAATTTTGGATCTAAAATGAAATCTTCACATGGTGATTGACTTACTGTGACATCTCTTGCTCCCATACTAGGTGCAAAAAGAGAAACTCCTAAATGTGGATTGTTAAAGTGCAGGGAAGTGTCCCCAAAGCTGCTGGGATGCAAGTTTCAAGACAGATACTTTGTCATCAGGGATCGAAAGCTACTTGTGCTTAAAGAGAAAAAGGTATGGTAAAAGGCCTTGTCTAAGTAAACATCTCCATTAAAAAAGGGATGTATAGATAGAGTTATTACTTGGCTTGGGAGTGTCTAACCCTTACACTGTAAGTGCAAGTGCAGTGCTAAAAAGTGATATCTAGAAACGGTTACGCTTACCCCTGAAAACAGGCTTTGAGAAGTCAGTTCTCATATAAATACAAAAGAGAAAAAAGACACAATAGTGCAATAATGCTAAAATAATTGAGAATGTGCCTAAACCTGGATATAGTATATGCTCAAAATATATAGAACCTTTTATACTATATGGCTCTGAACGTAAGCGTTTCTGTGCCTTTTTGGCAGCAACAGTACCTCTTCTGATAACCACTTAGTATCTTCACTGGAAGATACTGATTGGCTATCAGAAGAGGTACTGTTGCTGCTAAAAGGGCAGAGAAGTGCTTACATTCAGAGCCATATCATATAAAAGGCTCTATATATTATGAGCATTTTTGCACATTCTCTGTTATTTCAGAATTATTGCACTATTGTGTCTTTTTTTATCTCTTGCATTTATATGATAATTGACTTCCCCCTGCCTGTTTTCAGGGGTAAGCATTACCATTTATAGACTGTACTTTAGCACTGTACTTGCATTAAAGGTGGGGGTAGGGAGGGGGGTATATAACCTAAATATTGAAGTAGTTGTTTGTTTTTTTTAACATTTGTTTTGTGTGATCTTAGAAGTGTCCAAAGAGTGCTATTGCTTCTATATTTGTATATGAGAATATGTTAATTTATTTCTACAAGAAGCACCATTATATTCACACATACTTTTAAACTGTTTTCTTGGAAATATAGTTAATATTCCATACCTCAAATTCACACTTTCAGGGTTATTTGCTAAAGGGAGAATTCAAAGTGAATTTCAAATTTAAGGTCAGAGTAGCTGAACTAAAAGCATAGCTGATTTGGAGATGCTTTTTCCAGTTCATTTGTGGTGACCTTAAATTTTAAATTCACTTTGAATTTATCACATTTGGTTTGTAATTTATGAGAAATAGCGTGGCCTAAAATATATGCAGTAAAAATATCTGCTTTATTTATGTTGTGGTACAGAGTGCTGTTTGTATATTGTTTGTATATTGAGACATGTGCTGGCTTCTGAACATCTGAAAGACTCTTAGGATAATGTTAATCAAATCTTACATTTATGATTATGTAGATTGTAGGTCAAATTTACTATGGGATTTTGGTTTGGTTTTGCAGAGTGCCAAGCCAGAGCGTGAGTGGCCACTTGAAAATGCCAAGACTTACATGGGAATTCGAAAAAAGTTGAAACCTCCATCTCAGTAAGTTCAGCGAGAGAGAATTGAACTGAATGGACCTAATTTTTCTGATGAATCTATTTTACTACATTTTGGAGTGTTTGTTGAGTCTATGTATTATGTTTCGAATTAGTATTGTTAAAGGAACACTATAGTGTTAGGAATACAATCCAGTATTCTTAAAGCTATAGTGCCCCTGTTCCTATTCTTTTTCAGGTCCCCAATCCCCAATACAATTTTAATAAAATAAAAATTTGCTTACCTTATCCAGTGCTGAAGCTCTTTCGGTGCTGATTATCTCTCCCCCTTCCACGTTGCCTACTTGGCCGATGTCAATCCATTGCTCTTCATAAAGGAGCATTGGGGACCTAATGTGGAGACACTGCACCCAGATCTCTACATTGAGATGAAGTGGTCTGGGTGAATATAGGATTCCTTTAATATTAACACTTAATTAAATGTATGTTTTGTAGATATTGAAACTTAAAAGAACACTCTGGGCACCATAACAATTGCATCGTTATTAAGTTGTTATGGTGCAAGGAGGTCCCTGGAGGTCCTCAAAGAGTTAAACTGTTAACAAACACACACTATCTATGCCCATCTTCTTTGGCAGTAGTCTGAAACTTGATTTAGAATACCTTGGACAGGGGCACCACTGAAAGGCACTTCCTGATTCAAACTTCAGTCTATGGCTGAAAGAGATAGGCAGAACAATAAGGTCCCGGATTAAACACAAACTATTTAATCCCTTACGTAAATTGGCACCCGAAGGCTTCCTCCCACCATAACAACCTAATTCTGATTGAGTGTCCATTTAAGCTTTGATATGGATTGTATTTGTGGTGCAAGTCATCAAAAATATGAGCTAAAGCACTGCTGGAAGCATAAAAAAATGTAATGTGCAAAATCCTAAATAATAAATAATTATGTTGCTTCCATTTAGGACAAGTACGAGTATGTATGTGCTGAAACACTGTACATTATGAAATATTTTTAATTGTATGCTGGGGCTAATTGCACCTCCATATCACAAGACTTGGACTTGGCAGACCAGAATTCTGTTTCCAGCTGCCTAATGTTAATTCTGTGCATATTTTGTTTGTCATCAGATATATCTCCCCTCCCTTGAACTTATTGCCATCCCACCACCCACTTAGCCCTAATTACCATACATTCATACTCCAAACTACTCATGTGTATCCATCCAATCATGTACTCCAAACTAATCACATTCATCCATCCAATCAAATACACAAAGCTTTATATATATATATATATATATATATATATATATGGGGCACATTAAGGAAAGGGGCAGCAGAGAGGGTAACGCCAGGTCTGCTTCTTCTGAGAACAGAGTCCAATTATCTATTCGGTAACCAGTGTATTATTTTTGCATTGTAAAACATATTTAATGTGGGTTTATAATTGTAAGACTATAAAAATTTTAACTTGTTTTTCTATTTTTTCCTCAGATGGGGTTTCACTCTATACCTGGATAAACATCAACTGTAAGTACTTTATAAAGCAACTGAAACTGGCATTGTATCTCTGCAGACACTAGAGGGCAGCAGTCTGTATGCCTATGTAAAAGTGACTATAACTGAATCTACAAAAATACTAATAGCAGCCTCTTTAAATATACTTTTTGATGCTGAATGTTAAATGTGGGCATGGCAGAAAGAATGTTTTCTCTGAAAATAATTTTAGCCAATGGGTCATTCGGTTTAGCTGAAATTCGGATGTTAGTTTCAATTAAAGATTTCCATTTAGACAAATGGTATGCTTCAAACATTGCCAAATTCTTTCACTGTTTTTTTAAGAGATACTAAAGATAGATACATGTCCCAAATCTGATATACTTATGTGGCATTTCTCTGTTTATTTATGTATTTAGTTCCAGTACAAAACCTAATTAGGGAGTTAAGTAGTTTCTTAATTCTTTATGCTGTTTAGGCAATAGCGCCCTAATTTAGAGGTTTTTTTTATTAGATAGCTCACTTATTTGATATTCTTAAGTATTGTAAGTTCATATAAGGATAAGAATACTAAATTAGATAGCTATCTGCAAAACATCAAAAATATCTAAATTTGAAATCCCTTATGTTATTCAGTGTCCTTAAATATGAAAAATCATACATAAGGATATCAAATTAGTGCCCTTTTATGAAGAGATTCTATAGTGTAAGGAATACAAATTTGTGGTTCCATGAATAATAAAAAAAAAAAAAAAGAATAATAATTAAAGCAAAATACACCAACAATACAGAAATGCATAAACTTTATGGTACAGCAGCAGGACCGGTGTATTTTATTTCACTGGTGCTTGGTCAGGTCACCGTACTCATCTTCCTCTGTTTCTGATTGTAGTCCTTTTCCATCAGTCATCATATTCCTCTTCTGGTGTTTGAATGGATCAGTAAGTGTGTTACGTTGTGGAATTTAGATTGTATGTTTATCTGGGTACAGTCAGTACATACGGTCTGATTTCCACAACATCACACACTCGTTGACAGTCTAGATGTGTATGTGTAATATGGTGGTTAGGCTGGAATGGATGGCTGTGTTTTGGTCATACTGATAATAGGTGTGATATGGATTGGTAACTTACATGTTTGTGAGAGCAAGAAAGAATGTTACTGTTGGTGTATGTTTGTCTGAAAATCACATTTAAATACACTGGAAAAAACAAACATGATTTAACCACCACCAAAGATAAAAGTGAGCAGTTGATTGCCCGCTCACCTGTTTCAACCAAAGAGCAAAGCTTTTGCACACCTTCAGTCTTTATCTGCCAGCAGTGCTTTTAGTGAATTATTGGCTTTGATGGCAAAGGTAGCAGGAGTTTACGACGCAGCCAGAAGCGAGGAAACATACACTTAATATTGTCTTAATTGACAATGATTCCTGTTTCTGTTATCCTCCAGTACACACCATCATAGATGATTTTTGACACATATCAGCTAGAAGACTAAGAGAAATCTGAATCTAAATTAGTGTCAAAATGTAGAACCCCAACTTGGGCAGTCTGCTCCATCAGATGAGATGACGTGTGAGCGCTGAGGATTCAGTGTATTCCCTTGTACTGAAAACACATGCTCACTTTAGGCCGTGATTGGAGGATATGATAAGGGTGCAACCCTTAGAAGGCTCTACAAGTTTCACATGGAACCTGCTGGTGCTGGGCCAAGCTGCACTACTGCTTGCTGCTGGAACTTATGGTATTACGTTACCTGATTCTTGCACAAGTGCACCACAAAAAAATCAGATACAAAATAATTTTCCTCCTTGGTGGTAGAGAGTGAGACATGCCAGAAGTTTCAAAACTATATTGAGGCACAGACTTAGCAGGGGTACTACTAGCACTAATAACACTACTATTAGGGGTAATGGATGGAATCCGACCTTCCCTTACTTTATAAATTGGAATCCCAGGATCTGTCTTAAAGTTAATGTATTTAATTAAAAAAAAAAAAAAACAGAAAAAAGGCAAGACTACACAGATAAAGTTATAGTATATTTTGGCTTGTTGTTGTTGTGTATATCGTGTTGATTTTTAATTTGGTGTTTGTAGCTTAGTAGTTTGAGTTAAACTGTAATAGTTTGAGTTGTAATTTGGAACTATGCCCTCAATACTGTTCAATAATAAAAAATTTACAAGTGATTTATCTACAAAATTTCTAGTAGCATTTAATGATGACTTTTCTAGATAAATCACTTGGAGACTTTATATTGAATATTGAATATTGACTGATTCGGAAAGCTTAACAAATCAAGGCCTATGGTTTAATATTGTTGGGTTAGTTTTCCAAATGATTTAATATTTTTGGATGAACTTTTTAAATGATTTAATAGTATCAAAATATTTTCCAGTATTTTGATATTTTTTTATATATTGATTTTTTTCATATATAGGTTATATGTTTTGTTATTTTAACATGTTGAAAATAAAATCATTTGGAATATATATATATATATATATATATATATATATATATATATATATATATATATATATATATATATATATATATAAATCAATATATCAAAATATTGCAAAATTATTTTTCATAATAATAAATAATTTGAAAAATGTATCCAAAATATTAAATCATTTGGAAAGCTTATCCAGCAATATTAAATCAAGGCATATGTCTGCTAGACTTACTCTCTTTCAAACAGCCCAGAAATATACTTTTTTTTACACTAAAACTGAAAGAAACTAAGGTTGATATTAAATTGAAGCATATATCCTACATTTTATCTACTAATACAGTAGTGGTGATTTCATTTGTGACAAACTAAATACCTTGTTTATTGTCACAGATGAATTATTTGTTCCTTTTGCATCTACAGGTGCTTGTGTTGCACAGGGCAGCCTGAAATGTGGGACTGGATCACAAGCATTTTGAAGGCTCAGGTAATTTTAAATGTAAATAACATAGCTATTTGTGAATACACAATCTTCGGTATCTTATCCACCCATCAATGAATAACCATACAATTAAATAATATTACACTGGTTATGATTTTAGGTAACTCTATAAAACCTCCCTGGTGGCATGTATATTTCTCGTTTCCACCAGTTTTGTAGAGATTTCGAAGGTCCATGTCTATACTCCATGTAAGATCACATGAAAAGGAAGTGCATAGATCTATATAATAATCTATATATATGCTGATGTTATAATACATATGGATTCTTATTGTTACGATATACCTTTCTTACTGTTTTATTCTACAGCATGATGATCTCCGCCCTGTGATTCTAAGAAGACATTCTTCTTCAGATGTCACCAAGCAGAAATTTGGCACTATGCCACTTGTTCCAATACGAGGGGATGACACAAACACCACCATGGTCTCTGCTAACCAGACATTGGTGAGTGTTATTGTGATGCTTTGTCAGAATGAAAATTAGTTAAGAGGCAACTGTCAGTGGTAGGAACAAAGATGTACAATGTATGATAAATATGATGTCACTAGTCATGAGCAAAAAATACATTTTTGTAAACAAATATAAATTTACCCAATGGTTTCCACCTTCCCCCATCACCACCCCCCCAAAAAAAATGTTATTTTTAATTTGCAGTAATTTACATTGATAGATTAGCATATTTGACTAAGACCGTGGTAAAAAAAACAACAAAAAACATCCATATAAGATATGACTAGTTTGCTGAGGAAATTTGCAAAAAATAACATAGTGGATTTTATAAAGAAAGAAAAGGCAAATGTATTAGTAAAACATTGTGTTGAATTTAGTATTTCAGCTTGTATCACTAAGCTGTCTCAAATGAACTATAAATTACAGCCATGAAGGTGCTATGATAGCATGCATTTTAATCACGGTATGTTATGCATGGATAATGTTAAGTGGATAGTGTTAAATTCAGCATGTTATGCACCAGGAAGAAATCTAAATTTATTTATATTTTTACATATTTTTTTCTTTTAATTTAAAAAGTGGTGTGTTTCTGAATTTATTATGTACAGTGACATTTAAATCTATCCAAAAAATTGTGTTTATATATAAGCACGTTTGTTTTGGTATTGTTCAGCAAAAGATTGCAGCCAGTTTGGGAAAATGAACGGTTTTGTCATTATTTTGATTGCATTTATTAACATAAGAGTGATCTAAAAAGTGATTTATTTCACAGTAAATTCCACAACCTTTTCGCATGAATTTTCACTTCAGAAGGCTTCTTTATTTAGCATGGTGGAAAAAAACAGAAGTGCAACAGAACACTTTTCTGTCCACAATGTTGTAAGAAAGACTGATAAATTCATAGTTTTGCTGAAAATGGCATATATTTAAAAGTGACAATTAGGGCATCAAAGATAGTGAAACACATTACAGATTTACACAACAAATGTTCTGAAAATTTGTTATTAAAGTGTTGTCTCTCCCAAGTAAAGTCTCTCCCAAGTATATTCCTGGATTGTCCCTACATATCCACACAGGTCTAGTTCTCAATTGTTTACTATGGTATTGCAAATGGAATGTGTCCAGTTTTTTTTAGAAACCACTTAGTCACAAACACTGTTTAAATTAGTTTTTTGCACTTTTCACACACAAAAAAATATTACACTAACTTTGGCCAGTTGTAGCGGAGATTCAATATGCCCCAGATTATCTCCATTTATAATCCAAGTGAGGCTCAGGAACAAGTAAATAGTAAATCCATAGGCAAGGTTTCCAGCAGGTAAAAGAACAGCAATATCCCAACAGCAATCCCAATAACTGGACGACACACAGGTTCAGGAGCAGAACTAAAAGCTTTAATCCACAGTCTCCTTTTAAAGCATGCTCCCATGCAAGGGAGGGATTTACAATCATTAATACAGTAGCCAATCCTGTCCTGGTAACCTCCCACACATCTCCTCCCCTCAGCCAGCATCATAATCCCCTTATCCAGTACAGTAATTCCCCCCGTTTCTGGATGTACCCCTAAACGTAGGGGTACCTCTTTAAATCCTACATCCCCGGATAGCCCTGATCTGGGTGAACAACATATCCAAAAATCACCCAGATCAGACCAGGGGTTCGGGAAATGTATGGAGGGAATAAAATGACCGACCGCACTAACTGAGACAGCCGAATGAGGTTCCATGCGAATGGGCCCTGCAGTCGGTCCTGGCATAAGGGAACAAAATACACGAAAGCCTCTAGCTATAGAGGCTAGGGAGGGTTCGCCTGAATCCCCTCGTTCGGTTCTTTCTATCTACCGAACGAGGGGCCGTTCGGTAGTTTAGAACCGAACGGACCGGGCTTGTGGAGGTCTCAGCGGTGTTCGCCTACTCAAGTGTCCGATTTTAGTTCCAGACACTCGACGGCAAAACACCGCTGTTCGGGAGTTTTAAAATGGCCGCCGCCACGTGTTCGTTTGTCGAATGGCGGCCACCCCCGAGAACAAAGGCCGGCTACTTACTAGTCATTTACCCGTTCGCAACAATGTTGCAACGGGTAATTGAGGACACACTTCACACATGGGAGGTCTGGTTGTTCGGTAGTTTCATTCGAATGAACTGAGGGAATGAAACTACCGAACAATCAGAGGAATACAATTCTTTTAAAAAAACATATAACACAGCAGATCACACGAATGCAGTTATGTACAATATATTTGCAGGACAGCCCGGTGCCATCCGCTACACTGCTCCCCCTTGCCCACAAGCCGGCATACACAGTCTGATCCAACACGGATCGGCTTGGGGATGTCCGGGGAGGCTCACGGATCATTTCTCTAGGTCAGTTTGTCTTGACAACCCGTCAGCGTTTCCATTCTGTTTACCCGGGCGGTACTGGATATTAAAGTCAAAGGGCTGCAGCGCCAGACTCCAGCGCAGCAGCCTGGCATTGTCCCCAGCCACCCGGTTTAGCCATACTAACGGGTTGTGATCCGTGAGCAGGGAAAAAGCTTGCCCGTACAAATACGGCTGTAATTTCTTCAGGGCCCACACCACAGCCAGGCATTCCTTCTCGATGGCGGCGTAGCTTACTTCTCGAGGTAACAGCTTCCGGCTGATGTAAGCCACAGGATGTTCTCCGCCATCGGCCCCGACTTGGCTCAGTACTCCTCCCAATCCAAACATAGAAGCGTCTGTGTGGACAAGAAAACATTTAGTTGGATTGTGAGCTGCCATGACAGGGGCATTGGTCAATGCATCTTTCAACAGCTGAAATGCCTGCTCACACTCCGGGGTCCAGGTCACTTGGCGGGGAAGGTTTTTACGGGTTAAGTCAGTGAGAGGTTTGGCCAGGGCACTATAATTCGGGACAAATTTCCGGTAGTACCCAGCCGTTCCTAGGAACGCTAATACCTGAGTCTTAGTCCTAGGGGTAGGCCATTGAGCTACAGCCTCTACTTTGGCTGGTTCTGGCTTCTGCTTGCCGCATCCTACCCGATGGCCGAGGTATTGTACTTCAGCCATTCCTATGCTGCATTTGGCTGGTTTCAGCGTTAAACCAGCGGCCCTAATCCTGTCTAGGACCGCTCCTATATGGGTCAAGTGTTCCTGCCAGGTATTGCTGAAAATGGCAATATCATCGAGGTAAGCGCAAGTATAATCTTGGAACCCATCCAGGAGGCGGTCCACCATCCGCTGAAAAGTAGCCGGGGCGTTTGTCATCCCAAACGGCATGACCTTAAATTGGTACAAGCCGAATGGGGTGACAAAGGCCGACTTAGGGATGGCGTCTTGTGCCAAGGGGATTTGCCAATACCCTTACACAAGTCAATAGTGGTGAGATAGTGCCCCCTCGCCATCCGGTCCAGTAGTTCGTCTATCCTGGGCATGGGATAGGCGTCAGATACCGTCTTCTCATTCAATCTCCGGTAGTCTACACAAAAACGGGTCGTGCCGTCCCGTTTTGGTACTAGCACTACCGGGGACGCCCAGGGGCTGTCAGAGGGCTCAATCACCCCCAGCTGGAGCATCTCATCGATCTCCTTGCGCATGTTCGCCCGTACCGCTTCTGGGACGTACATTAGAGAAGATATCCTGCTTCTCCCTCAACAGCTGTTGTACCTCGCTCCGCTCCTGTGGGCTCAACCGGTCCCCCAGGGTGACTTCCCCTAAGTCTCCAGATAACTGACCCTCTCCCAGCAGATCCGGGAGAGGCAGACTGTCAAACTCCTCTGAGTTAGGCGCGCATATGGCGGTCACTTCCTCAGAGCGCTCCTGGTAGGGCTTCATCATGTTCACATGGAGCATGCGTCGCCCCCCAGTACCAACGCACGAGCCTATTATATAAGTGGTGTCACACCGTTGCTCTACCACCTTATAAGGGCCCTGCCAGGCGGCCTGCAGCTTATCGTGTCGGACAGGTTTTAAAATCAACACTTTCTGCCCGACCTGAAAGCTACGGTCCCTGGCGCCCCGATCATACCATGTGCGTTGGCGTGTCTGAGCCGCCTGCAAATTCTCGCGTACCGTCTGGGTTAAGGCCTCCAGGCGGTCTTGGAATGCCAACACATATGGTATGATGGGGGTACCGTCGGTGCTCCGTTCTCCCTCCCAATGCTCTCTGATTAAATCTAAAGGCCCTCGTACCCTGCGGCCAAACAATAATTCAAATGGGGAAAACCCAGTGGATTCCTGCGGCACCTCCCTGTAAGCAAAGAGGAGGTGAGGCAGGAATTTCTCCCAGTCCTTGTGGGTTTCTGCGAAGGTTCGGAGCATTTGTTTCAATGTACCGTTGAAACGTTCGCAGAGCCCATTCGTCTGGGGGTGGTAAGGGGAACTAATGACAGGCTTAATGTCACAAAACTTCCAGAGGCGCTGCGTGACTTCGGCGGTGAATTGGGTACCCTGATCGGAGACAATCTCCCTGGGAATTCCCACCCGGGAGAATATCTGCATCAGGGCTTCCGCTACTGTCTCAGCCTGTATATTCGTCAGGGCCACCGCCTCTGGATATCTAGTGGCATAGTCTACTACTGTCAGGATAAATCTTTTACCTGATGGGCTCGCTTTATGAGGGGTCCTATTAGGTCAACTGCTACCCTACTGAAGGGTTCCTCGATTATGGGAAGGGGATGTAACTTGGCCTTGCGTCGGTCCCCCCTTTTCCCCACCCTTTGGCATGTATCGCACGTGTTGCAATACCTGCGCACTTCCTGGCTAATTCCAGGCCAAAAGAAACTTTGTGTTAACCTGTGCCGGGTCCTGCTGACCCCTAAATGTCCAGATAGCGGAATGTCATGTGCTATCCGGAGTAACTCTGCCCAGTACCGCTGGGGTACCACTAACTGCCTCACCACGATCGGGTCTGACCCGGCTACCCTCTTATCCGTCTCCCTATATAGCAGCTGTTTGTCCCAGATAAACCTTTCGCCCTCCCCCCCAGGAGTGTCTGCTGTCACCTTGTCCCTATACACCTGCAAGGTGGGGTCAGTCACTATCTCAGCTGCAAATTCGTTAGGAGGGGCCCAGGGAACACAGTCAAGGGAAGGGGAAGGATCTCTTACCTGAACCTCCGGGAGTGTGTTGTAGTCCTAGGTGCAGGCCTGTTGTTGAGTAACCACAGGGTGAGCTTCTCCTGTGGTGGGTGTCTGGGGCTCAAAAGCAGATGTGAGCCTCCCCAGATCGTTCCCCAATAAAACCTCCGCCGGTAACTGCGGCATCAACCCCACCTCCACATGTCCTGCCCCCACTCCCCAATGCAAGTGTACCCTCGCTGTAGGTAGCCGGTATACTGCTCCCCCGGCTACCCTGACGGCCACAGTCTTGTTTAGTTTAGCCTGGTCTGAGACCAGGTGACTCTTTACCAGGGTGATGGTAGCCCCTGAGTCGCGTAGCCCCTGAACTGCTTTACCCTCCAGATATACGATCTGCCTGTGATGCTGGCGGTTGTCAGCATTGGCCTGGACTGGATCCGCCTCGTGCAGTACTTCCCACTGTTCCACAGTTGTAATGGGAACCGCTGAGCCATATGGTGTGGCCATGATATCCTGGTAGTGGTGGGCTGCGGCTGCTCTCGGTGGTGGTGGTGGACCGGGCCGGATCCAGGTGGAACGGTCCCGCAGCTGGGGGCATTCCCTTTTATAATGTCCCCATTTCTGGCAGTGGTGGCAGGGGCCAGACGTGGGCTGGCGGAAACGTGGCTGTGCAGCGGCCGGTGGTGGTGGTGGCAGGGGTCTCGATGGAGCTGGGGTGTAGCTGGTCCCCCCAAAGGTTTTAAAAGGGACTTTTGGAGCTGCAGGTTTTTGCTGCGTGCGTGCATCCAGGTACTCATCTGCCTTCCTGGCTGCTTCGGTGAGGGAGGTAGGGTTTCTGTCTCTTACCCACTCCTGTACCTCGCTGGTTACTCCCTCATAAAATTGCTCCATCAGCACCATTTGTAATACATCCTCCATGGACCGTGCCTTGCTCGCTTGCACCCACCCAAGGGCTGCCCTTTGTAACCTGCATGCCCACTCTGCGTGTGAGTCTTTCTCCACCTTCTTCAAATCTCTGAATCTCCGCCGGTATGCTTCTGGTGTTATAGCATACCTGGCCAATATAATTTCTTTAACTTTACTGTAATTTCTTATCTCTTCATTGGGTACAGTACGATATGCCTCAGCTGCCCTCCCAGTTAACCTTCCTGCCAAAATAGGTACCCAGTCCTCTGCGCTGATCCTATGCAGTGCACACAGTCTTTCAAAATCTTGCAGGAAAGCGTCTATATCTTCCTCTGCCTCCACATATGTTTTAAAAGCCTGGTATGGTATTTTAGGCTTACCTTCTTGTGGCATATTTACTGCAAAGCTGCGTTCTGGGGCTGCTGTTTGATTTCTCAGTATAAATTCCTGGACTTTATTTTTAAAAAATAATCTCTGCTGGAGGGTGTTCCCCATAGAAAGACAGCCGAAATTGTAGCTGCCTCTGGAACTCCCTCTGTTCCGGTGTTTCTCCCGAATTCCCCTGTTCGGGAACCGAATCGCCGTCCATTCGGTACTCCGCCATAAATTCAGTAATGAGTACCGCTTTCTTCTTATTGCTGGCTTGTATACCCCTTGCCTCCAGGAGGTCTTTTAGCGTGGAGCGTTTTAGTGTGGCAAAATCAATCTCCATCCGTACTCCATTTATGCTTGTTCCTCTGTGAGTCTGGATCCCACCGCTGCCAACCAATGTAGCGGAGATGCAATATTCCCCAGATTATCTCTGCTTATAATCCAAGTGAGGCTCAGGAACAAGTAAATAGTAAATCCATAGGCAAGGTTTCCAGCAGGTAAAAGAACAGCAATATCCCAACAGCAATCCCAATAACTGGACGACACACAGTTTCAGGAGCAGAACTAAAAGCTTTAATCCACAGTCTCCTTTTAAAGCATGCTCCCATGCAAGGGAGGGATTTACAATCATTAATACAGTAGCCAATCCTGTCCTGGTAACCTCCCACACATCTCCTCCCCTCAGCCAGCATCATAATCCCCTTATCCAGTACAGTAATTCCCCCCGTTTCTGGATGTACCCCTAAACGTAGGGGTACCTCTTTAAATCCTACATCCCCGGATAGCCCTGATCTGGGTGAACAACATATCCAAAAATCACCCAGATCAGACCAGGGGTTCGGGAAATGTATGGAGGGAATAAAATGACCGACCGCACTAACTGAGACAGCCGAATGAGGTTCCATGCGAATGGGCCCTGCGGTCGGTCCTGGCATAAGGTAACAAAATACACGAAAGCCTCTAGCTATAGAGACTAGGGAGGGTTCGCCTGAATCCCCTCATTCGGTTCTTTCTATCTACCGAACGAGGGGCCGTTCGGTAGTTAGGAACCGAACGGACCGGGCTTGTAGAGGTCTCAGCGGTGTTCGCCTACTCAAGTGTCAGATTTTAGTTCCAGACACTCGACGGCAAAACACCGCTGTTCGGGAGTTTTAAAATGGCCGCCGCCACGTGTTCGTTTGTCGAATGGCGGCCACCCCCGAGAACAAAGGACGGCTACTTACTAGTCAATTACCCGTTCGCAACAATGTTGCAACGGGTAATTGAGGACACACTTCACACAGGGGAGGTCTGGTTGTTCGGTAGTTTCATTCGAATGAACTAAGGGAATGAAACTACCGAACAATCAGAGGAATACAATTCTTTTAAAAAAACATATAACACAGCAAATCACACGAATGCAGTTATGTACAATATATTTGCAGGACAGCCCGGTGCCATCCGCTACACCAGTGTTTGTGTCCAAGTGGCTACTAAAAAAGACTGGACATATCCCATTTGCAATACCTTGGGTTGTCTACTATTGCAAATGGTATGCCATCATGGGAGTAATTCTCATTCCTGGGCTATCATACGATCTCAAAGGCAATGTAACTAATCTGGCGAATTTCAATGTGAAAAAACTGAAAAATGTAACATGCAATATTTGACCCTGTAACTTCCCAAAAAAACATAAAACTGTGCAAAGGGGGTACAGTTTTACACGTGAGACATCGCTGAATACAAATATGTGTATTTTATTGCAGTAAAAGCAAACAGTATTATGACATTCACAGTTAAAATGTCATGTAGAACTAAAAAAAATAACATTTCTTATTTCCTCCCATTTTTTTTTTTTATATTTTATTCATATTAAATTATGTTTCATAGCTTAATATTTGATGTTAAATGAAAGCCCCGTTTCCCCTGAATAAAATGATATATAATAAGTGTGGGTGCACTTAATATGAAAAAGGTGAATTACGGTTGAGCAGACATATACTAAAATTCCAGATTTTGTTTACGTTTTGTTTTGATCACCACATGTACATTTGGCTCAGTCCTTAAGGGGTTAAAATTAAATGTGATATGGGTAGTAACCACTCTGCTCTGCTTTTGCATTCAGAAGTCCGTTTGCTACCCTCTTGCTTGTATGTCAGAAACCCTTAGAATGTTTGAATTGAGGCAAGAGTTGTTTGCATATTTCTTATCATTTCTTATTATCTGATCGACTAACAAACATTTTGTGGTTATCCAAAGTAGCATATCTGGCAATCATATTCACAAAATTGAATTACGTATATTTATCACGCCAAGGAAAAACATTAACATTTTTAATGCAAGAAATAAAATATTTTCACTTTCTCGTAAGTTGCAGTTTTGGACCTCATCTGTTGAGCAAAAGAATTTGAACGCTTTTCCAACACTTTAGGATCTTCAAAATCCATTCATAAAAGACAAACTAGCCAATTTTTCTGATGAAGAGTTTGATAATCTGATCGATATAACTTCTGACAGTCACCCAACCCAAAAATGTCAAGTAGTTTCTCTTATTGCTTTTTGGGGTGATTTAAACGAAGAATACCCAGAATTGTCCCAGCAGGTAATTCACAGATTTCACAATTAACATGACGTAAAGTCATCATATTTTAAATGACACGGAGGCGAGTATTATGCTGCACTATTTCTTAATTTCCATCAGCAGCAAAGAAAAATAACATTAAAACATTATAAAAAACAAAACCAGTAAATAACATGAGAGGTATATCTTCCTAACAACAGGAACAGCCAATCAGCATACTTTCCATAGCATAATAGGCGGTGTCCAGTATGCTACTTCCTCTTTCATGCGATCCCAAACAAGGACAACAAATCCAAGTGAAAAAAGGGGCTCCAATAAGAGGGTATGCAAGCCTTAACCTGAACCTCGAAGTCAAGCTGAAACAGAGAGGGGAATATGATAATATATATGTATAAAATCACATTACATGGAATTATATATATATATATATATATATATATATATATACATAACATGAAATTCAGTTTAGTCTAACCTTAAGCTCTTGACAGTCTTCAACAGGGATAAAACCCAGTTATCAAAAAAGACTTACCGTGAAGTCAACTTACCCAAAGAAGACCAAACCTCCAGGGATGAGAGGGAGGGATAATACTTGCCTTGTGTCACTAATACAATTATGACTTAACATCATGTTAATTGTAAAATCTGTGAGTGTTATTAAGACACAGAGGTTCCTATTATGCTAGTTTAAAGCTGTGAAATTACATTTATGTTGAAAAGTCTAAAGTAGAAAGCACAGAATGTAGACTCTGAAGACCAATCAGCCTCTCTCGTAATATCATCCAAGCAAAAACTAATCGAGGAAGCCTTAGAAGCCGTTGCCCCACGAATCAAATGAGGAGAAAACCTATAGATATCAATGCCTGCTAGAGACATAACCCATTTGACCCACTGGGTAGAGGTAGACACCAGAAGACGTGGCTTTTGTAAGGAGATGAAGTGTTTCTGTTTCAAAGGATTCCGTTACGTAGTGGTACGAAGTTCATACTGCCATAAGCATGCAACCTGTCAGGGAAAGCAGGGTTTATAACTGTTTTAAAGGAGGTTTTTGTCCTCCGAGAAATTTCAAAAAGGGCATCTTCTGGAGTAAAGGAATGAGCTACCACGTTGTGCTCGTATGTCAGAAACACTCTCGCAAGAGATTAAACACAAAAGCATGACCAATTTGGTCGATGGCAGTTTAAGAGATAGCAAAGCATTATCCGGCCAAGATTAGGAGAAAAAAAAATCAAGACAATAGAGACGTTCCACAAGACGGAGTATCGTGGTAAGGGTGGATGAGGAAAGCAAATTCCTCTGAGGAGTTGACATATGACAGGATGTCAACTGACAAGCATCCCATTGAAACTTTGATGACCAGCAGAAGCGGACGATCAATAAGTTTCACAGTGCTTTACCTTCATCATACAGAGAAGAGTCAGAAAATGGAGGACAGACATAAAAGGAGCCGATATGGGATCCATAATTAATTCCATGCACCAACTATGCCATCTACTCAAAGCAGACTTATAAGCCTGTCTTGTGTTGGGTGCCTATGCGCTCTTGATAAGTTGGAGAGTTGATTTCAAAACTCTCTCGACCGACCAAGGTGCCCTGAAATCAACCACCCCATGAGATGCAAGAGGCTTTGGAGAACAAGGGGATGAGGCAGATCATCCGGATCCTGAAGTAGGCAATCGAGAGGTGGAAGAAGACGTGAAAGGTCAAAAGCCGCCTCCTGAAGAGGAGGGATCCATAGTTAGGATGGTAATGGAGAAGCTACAATCATCAGGGTGCCGGATTGGTGATGTAGATGGGAATGGCAACAGGGAATCAGTGCAAAAGGTGGAAAAGTGTAATTCCTTGAAGAAAACAAATCTTGGGAGGAAGCATTTGTAGCCAGTGCTGTCGGATCTGGTCTCCAACTGAAAAAAAACAAAAAATGGGAAGTTGAGCATTTTAATGCAAAGTAAAAAGGTCTATTTCCAGTCCACCCCATAGGTTCCAGATGTCTTGGAAGACCATGAAAGTGCCAGTCACTGGAATCTTTGAGGTGGCATGAATACCAGTACACAGTAGTGTTGGAGAGACCTTGAATATATTCTGCCATGACTGAAATGCCATGCATCAGGCAAAATTGCCAGAAATCTTGAGCCATGTTCGACAGAATTTTGTATTTTGTGTTCCTCCCAGGTGATTGATGTAGCAGACAGCTGACACGTTGTCCACCTTCATAAGGATGGCACATTGGCCTTGAGTTAGGGAGAAACTGTGGACTGCAAACGGGCCAGAAGTTCCAAACAATTAATGTGGAGTGTTGATTCCAGATCTCACCATCTGCCCTATGTGGAAATATTTCCACATCAAGCGGTGTAACCATGCAAACTTGCGTTGGATTCAATGATCAAATCTGGAGCTGTGCAGAATATGGCACATTCATTTTAAGCTTCCATGTGAAGAAGCCACCATTGGAGTTCGCCCTTCGCTTCTGAGTCCAGAGTTACCATATCCATGTATGATGCACCGCCCTTGAGATGAAGCTTGTAATAATTGTAGGGCTCTACTTAACAGATCACTGTCTGGATCCCACCACTTAAGGTGGCACGATCTAATTCTAGATCATCCTCTACTGCTTTAAAGATCTTGGTTGCTGCGCCCAAGATGTCCAGGATTTTATCCCGTCAGTCTCGCAATGAAAACTCTAAGCCTTTAGTAGGCTTCCATCCTGTTTTTCTCCGGAATTGAATGACTGATTGCGTTTTACACGCGTCATCAGGGACTTTGGGGTGTGGTCATTCAATTCGCAATTTATTTCACTTTGCCTTCTCAAAAGGCTTGCATACGCTGGATGCAATATACTTGGCTACATGGTCTGAGGGAGACCACTGGGTGACATAAGTCGTCAGGTTTCGAATAAGGGTTCACCATGAGGGTCCAAAATCCTATTGGTCTCCCCTGGGGCCGCATGATCTACCTCAATCTTGGTAGGTTTAATGGGAAGTGTATCCCGCGTAAGATTTTACTCCTTTTCATCAGTAATTTCATAATCAGGATCATAAAGATTCTTTGACTTCTCCACATAGGACTCCTCAATATCACTGAGTTCAGACTCCGAGTCCAGCTGGGCTTTTTCCCTTTTCCAATGTCTAGCCATTTTTGCCTGGCTAGTGGCTCTTTTTCGCAGTGGTAAATTAGTTGCGCAGTCCGTGACAGGTATGGTATTGTTCATCTCTATTGTTTTGAATGAGTGTTCAGCCTTATATGAGGACTTGAGGCGGAGCAGATCTATCTGAAAGTGAATCAGACATAACTCCCATCACTGACACCAGGGCCTTCGTCATTGCTTTTGACATGGAAGTGTCAATTAAAGCCTGCATATTAGCAGGAGCAGTAAAATCAGCAGAAAAATCTGCCTAATCTCCAGAGATACCTGAATAGGCTTCTAAAGTAATCTGCATGTTTGCTGTAGACCCAGAAGGCAAAGAAAGATCCTGTCAGACTGCATCATAATAAGACAGACAAGCCTAAGGGAATGAATAAAGTAAAATAATACCTAAAGGAAGGGGGTTGAGTAACTCACAAGTAAAAAACAAAGGGAATGAAAGTACAATAGTGAAAATATAGCAATTGTAGTAGTAAAATGCAAGAGCTGTTCGGATGCCACTGTGCCCAAAACCCAACTCAAATTTCAGGCAGTTGGGGGCAGTGCGGCAGCCAGACAGATGACTGAAGGGAAAAAACGTCACGAGAGCGCTGTGCAGGGATAAAGATCCTCAAAGAGGTCTCTGAGCCACAATTGATGGTAATCTTGGGGCCAGGGAGGTCATAGGGGAAGAAATTATAAAAGGATATACAATAAAGTATATAACTGAAGCAAATAAAGTAAATACATCAAATTAAGTTAAAATGAAGTAACTAAATATATTTGTATAATTATAAATAAGAAAATATTACAATTAAAATGTAATAACTATAATATCTATATTTACCACAGTAATGATAATACAAAGTGAAAGATCCCACAGTTAAGAACTATGGGATCCAGTGTCACTTAACTGAGTTGGCAGCAAAGAAAGAGGAAGTAGTATAGTGGACACTGCCTATTATGCTACGAAGAGGATGCGGATTGGCTGTTCCTGTTGCTGGGAGGATATACCTCTCACATTATTTACTGGTTTCTTTTTTATACTGATTTTAATGTTTACTGATGGAAGTAAAGAAAGAGTGTAGCATAATAGGAGCATCCATGTCTTAATAAAATCAAAGTTCTGTCGCCATTTGCCAGCACATACTTGTGTGAAGTGGATTCTTGCTTTACTCTGCAAAAAAAACAAAGTATCGAAATCGACTTGATGCAACTGCAGACATGTGAATACAATTGTCAACAATTAATCAAGATATAAAAAGAATTTGCCAACAAAAGAGAACATTACACTCTGCTCATTAAAATTGTGATTATCATTCTATAGTCAAGGGTGCAGATCAATCAAGTAGAATAAAGGAAATAAACTTACCTTAATCTATCAGTTATCATCCCATACTTTTACCAAATTTGTCTCAGTACCTAGTTTGGTCTGATGCAAGACTGTAAAATATATTGGATCTTGTTTTCATTCATATGTGTTAAAGCTGGTTTGTGTGACGTTTTATATATCAGTTTTATATATCAGTAGCCATCAAAGGAGGCTTGTAATGAATCAAAAGTTAGTTGTTTAGTGACTATTTATTCAGCAAGGGCTTGGGTATGGTATCTTTTAGTAGAGTAGTTGATTGAGAAATTGACAGTGACATGAGGCAGGTATAGGATTGCATGTACAGAGAGCCTGAGGAGAAAGACTCAAGACTTGGATCAAGTTCACATGATGTAGGGAAAATTTTTCAAAGATAATGGACAAGGGCAGACCTTAAATTGCTGTTGAATGAGTCTAGTGTGGATTTTTGTTTCATCAGACAGATCTTCTATTTTGGCTTCATCTGTTATGACACTTTTCCTTCTGATCCATGTGTTGGTGAGTTCTGCAGTTTTCGTCTTTTGTGAGCTGCCTGTGAAAAGAAAAGAGAGGAGTCGATGGTCTATCCAGGGGATAGGGTGATATTTGGCTTACAACAGCTTTCATCTTTGGTGATGACTATATCTAGCTTGTGCCCAGGTGTGTGGGTAGAATTAGTTGCGTGCAAATTGAAGGCAAGTATACACATGAACTGTGTGGCATCATTGCCTAGGTTGTCTTCTACCAAGGAAAAGGGTTTTGTTGTTTATAGTGGTATTCAGGACTTCAATTTTTCTCAGACCTGCGAGGAATCCTCTAAATGATCATTGGGTGAGCATTTAAGAATAGTGAAAGTGTTATCTTATTTCTAGGTTTGCTAGGTTACATTTATCTCAATTTTGGTTTTGGGAACAAGACAGTTTGTACATTTAATTGTTTCATTTTGCATTAGAAGAGCTAATCTCTGTCATAACCACAATCCATCTATACACTAATGCCGCCTTCCTGTCTGGTCTATTCTACATGTCTCTTTTTTTATGTGTCCTTCAATTTATTTCTATTTCTCAGCGTCGTCTACATACACGAAGGACATTGTCTATGTTTTTTGTAAGTATAAAGAAGGTTACACATAGCATGTTTCTCCATAATGCTTTGTCAAGTGCATGATTCTCTCAAAAAGCTGTCCTTAGCTTACCAAGTGTATGTCAAAGAGGTATCCTGCCCAAATTAAACTGCTTAAAGGGTTACTCCAACATTCATGACCACTTATGCTTTTAGAAGTGGTCATTGAGGAAGGAACTAGTACGTGTATCACTTCTGGTTGAAACTCTGCACATACAGAGACATTTGCTCTTCTCCAGGCTGCCTAATGTACAGCTCCCTGGCGACAGGCTTAATGAGCTTCTTCCTTTGCAGGCAGCACGGGAAGTTCACCTCAAGGGGAAAGTGTGTATGTATGTATATGTATATATACATATCATTTGAGTCCTTCCAGCCCTCTCTGCCTCCCTTTAATCCTAAAATGCAACTATTTTTCCCCTTCCTCATCCCCACCCTCCCTTGTCCAATTTCAACACCCCCCGCTAACCACTTCAGAGCTTGCACATGCACTCTGAACCAGTGACAATGGCTTAGTCTTCTGCTTCTCTATGAGAAGTATTTGATTGGACCTCAGAGAGGTAAGAAGCAATGTCTGTGTGGAAACCAACGAGGTGAACTTTGCCTGGCTCTGAATTCCATGTAAGTTTAAAATTGATTTCACAAGACTAAAAGGGGGGCACCTTATTACTAATGCCACATAGTGCATTATAAACATTATATAAAAAGGTTGGAGTAATTTTTTAACTTTACATGTTTACTGTATACACATATATACACAACTGTTCATATTAAAAATAAGTCTGTTGTAAGTCCCATTATGTATTCCTTTTTTCTCAATTTTTTTAACCTTTGTTTTTTTTAATTACATTTCCACAGGGGGTACTGTAATATTAATATTTCCTACTAATACAATTAATATCAGTCTAATGGCCATTTACTGTGCACTTGGCATGTGTTTGTGTTGTTCATATATTTTTCATTTTATGTGTGTATTCATCTGCATGTCTATCCCTACTGAAAGTGTTTAAAAAGTGGCCTCACATAGTTTAGCAAATCATTTTTTGTGTATTAACTTGTCTTTATTCCATAGCCTATGAAGATGCATCATGACTCTCTGGAGGAGCTTCAGGAAAAACAACTAGATGAGGAACACGAACCAGTGTATGAAGAAGTGGGAGCTTTCCAGAGCAAGCCACCACCTGAGGCTGAGTGCAACTTGCCAACAGAAAGGCAGTATTTGCCTCCACCTTTGGACCGATCAAAGAAGCCTCCACTCAACATTGAGCAGAAAAAACATACTGCACAAAATGCACCAGTCCTAACACCCTGTCCTCTTGAAAAAACAGAAACAGACGACTACAATAAAACTCGTTCTTTGGATAGAAGTATTTGTGTGGATAGTCTTAAACATGTGAGTAATGAGAGCACAAAAGTATCTATATCTGATAGAGGAGCTGGTGGTACCTTTGGAAAAACAGCTTCTCTTGAAAGACAAATGGAATCAGGTAGAATTCAAGTAGTTTCTGCAAGAAGCCAAGGAGCAAAAAGTGCCTTAGATCTGAGTTCTTTACCTCCACTATTTTTTGAACCACCTTCCACTTCAGATTCACTTAAGACTCCTGTGTGGAAGAAGACTTCTCCAGTGTCATCTAATATACAGGACAAGCTGCTCCAGGAACTCAGCACCCTTATTTCTAAGAAAAATGAAACAGGATCAGAGCAGCAAGTCACGTGACAAGTTATATGATCTGTTCTTTCTTAGACTAATCTTAATTTTGGTCCTTTATATTTGCACCTGAACTAATGCAAACTGAATTGCAGAATATTAAACAATCTGAATTCTAAACCAAGGTTCAGAATTCTAAACTTGAGTTAGCTTTGGCCACAGTCATGTGCTATGTTCAGTTTGTGGTTGAAAATGATGTTTCAAGTGTATATTCACATCTGAGTTTGTTAAAACTGTTTATCGGCACAACATTACACACAAGTGTAAGAATCTTATGGTAGATTCACAATGTATTTGGGTAAAGATTATTTAATGATATGAAGTCCCTAAATTATACTTTTAAGTAGCAGTTGTGGGTGCTGTAAATGTATTGTAAAATAAATGCCAATGCCACATCCTGTTAGGTTTTGTGTGCTACAGTGCTCAGTGTAGTGGTTTATACTTTCAAACAGAAGTAACACATTTTGAACAGCTTTCACCATTTTCATCTTGGTAACAATACTTTAAATACATCACCAAAAATGTAATGAGCATATATGTATGGAGTTAGCCACTAAATTTTGACAAATAACTTTCAGTACTTTTGGAAAAAAACAATATCGGCAAAGATGGAGATTCTTCCACAATTTTAGTTTTAAGAGTCACATTTACCCATCACTTTACAGATTGATTATCTAGTCATACAAATCAATTGAAGTTACATATATAAAGAGAATATGTGGAGTCATTACGGAAACCAATGGAATTATCATGGTATTGCTGCATTTATAGAACTTTACCCCAGAATTGTTCTTTGTACATATCATCCAATAATTAGTGTATAGTCTATGCACTGTTAGTCATGTTCCTGACAAATATACAGATAGCAGGTAGTAGATTTTAATGTTTTTCTTTTCTTCTATGTAACAACCTAAAGTGAATTGATATATGGCAAATTTGAATCCATGATGCATTTTCTGTATGGATCAAGAATTTTGTGTGCACACATTGATTCCAGGATCACTCACCTGCAGCAAAATACGTATCAAGGAAACAAACATGAACATTTCTGTATCACAATTTCAAAAATGCTCTTATAAGAACTCCTCAGTTTTTTACAGTGATTGCTTCCAAAAGTGTTTTTTGTTATTGTCATTAATGGTTATTTTGTTTGTGGTTTTGTTTAAGCCAGTTGGATTTTTCTTCAGTAGTTTCAGTAGATTGGTTCAACAAACATTTTAGCATACAATTAAACATTATGGCTTTATTTAATATTTTTGGATACACTTTTTACTTGATTTATTATTTTTCAATAATGTTATATTTAAAACAATATATTTGTGTGTGTATGTACACACATATATATATATATATGTATATATATATCACATTTATATTTGTCATATTTTTGACATTTTAATATTATTATTTTTTTTTAAACGTTTATTCAAAAATATTAAATTGTTTAGAAGGCATATCCAAAAATATTAAATCAAGGCCTATATTAGACATATCTAAATATACACATTGATACAGTGGTGTATTTAGGATTTTGCTTGAGCGCCCTCACCCTCCAATTTGAATTTTCCCCACCCCTTCCTGTCAAAGCCGCACTTTGACTGACAGATGCACACTCACTGACAGACGCAGACACTCACTAATAGATACACTAACAATGACAGACACACACTATTACTCAGACGCACACTCTCACTGACAGACGCAAGCACTGACCGTGACACACACACATTCACTTAGACACACACACTCACAGACACACATTCACTCAGACACACACACATACATTCACTCACAGACACACACACATTCACATTTCCACCAACACTCCCTGCAAAATTCCACCCAAGGCAGATGCCTTGTTTGCCTCACGGAAGATACATGCCTGCATTGATACATACTGGAGATGTACAAGGAGAGGCTCCGGATGTATCCTGCCATTCCATGTAACTGTCACGTTCTGTTCCTCGCTGCGGATCATTCTGGCAATGGCTTCTGGTATCCAGTACTCTTTTTGCTGTCCTTGCTTGGTTTTTCTGGTTTTCTATTCATCATCCTTTTTTATTCTAATAAGGTTGTATGCGCCACGGAGGTCAAGTTTAGTGTAAATAGTAGCTGTTCTTAACCTTTCAATTAACTCATTTATCAGAGGAAGGGGATAACGATTTTTAACAGTTATTTTGTTCAAGGCTCTATAATGGAACCAGCAGATATAAATTCCCAAATGTCTGCTTTAACTCATAGAGTGGATACAATTACCCAGGGATTACAAGATTTGCAGATTACCAACGAAAGAATACTAGCCTATGTCAGAGACATACAAAGTCACGCTCCACAAGCCTTTCTTCAATCTGCTAGTGATCCTGCTGTCTGCAACCCAGAAAAGTTTTATGGAGATCGATCAAAATACAGGGAGTTCTTGAATTCCTGCAAATTACTAGTAGCCCTAAAACACATATCTTATCCCACTGAAAGATCTAAAGTCTGTTCTGTGATCTCTTTCCTAAGAGGTGAACCGATGGCCTGGGCACACTCCTTTTTAAAGAATGATGACCCCATATTAGACTCATTGGATGAATTCTTTGAAGCTATGTCTCTCCTATATGAAGATCCTTATAAATAAACTACAGCAGATTTGACCATTAGAACCTTACAACAAAAAAATAGACCTGTGGAAGATTATATCGCAGAATTTAAAACATGGGCTACAGAAACCCAATGGAACGACATAACCTTACGTAATCAGTTCCGTCTCGGGTTATCCGAAGCAGTAAAGGATGAACTCTCCCGAACCGAACTCCCTCCCACCTTAAACACATTGATTCAACTTTCCATTAGTATCGATAGACGACTTAGAGAAAGAAAGGCTGAAAAAGTTCTCTCCAGTTCAATATGAAAAAAAACTGAAAAACCAAGCAAGGACAGCAAAAAGAGTACTGGATACCAGAAGCCATTGCCAGAATGATCCACAGCGAGGAACAGGACGTTACAGTAACAAAAAAAAAAACAAGGAAATTAGTTTTTGAGCTACTTCCTAACTAATATTCCCAAGTATTCTGACACACAAAAAACTATACTCCTTACCTTTGAAAAAAGAGTTGAGGATGTAAAACGTCTCCTCCAAATAGCTCAAGTTTTGATGTACACAAAATATGTTTAGCCCTTCCTCAGATATATGTATTTGCTGCAGGGTGATTAATATAATGTCTCCATCAAATCTTATGCTATAACTGATGGCGTAATGGTGCATAACACATGACCATCAATACATAACTGGAATGTCACTTGGCATCAGTAACATTCTACAGAATAAGGACAAACTAATTGCCTGACAATGGATTTGTTATAGATATTGACTGCCCTCAGGGTGCAAAGATTTTTGGGTACATAGGCGAAGATGCATTTTCCACCCTCCCCCCCCTCTAAAAATAACATCTTCACCTCTGTGCCTCTTAACCAGCCCCTCTCCCCTCCCTTCCCTGTCCCTTAGTGTTCCTCTCCCCGCCTGTGCTGCCTTATGGATGCGCCGGCCCTTACTGCCCAGCGCATTTCAACGATGGTCTGCTGTACAGTATAAAAAAAAAATATCAAAATGCTTAATAAGATAGCTTGGGCTTTTTTTTTTTTTCTGGACATTTTAGAGAAAATAAATTATTATAAGTATCTTATTTTAGAGCAGTAAACTACATTTATAGAGGGTATATATAACAAAAAGCAATGTGAAGTACCAATTAACATTGGTAGATATTATTTTTATTATAAGGTACTATAAGAGTGTAAGTAAGCATCTGGATTGATCCATGTAGGACTTGAAACCGTGATTTGTTTAATTTAAAAGAGACTCATAAATAAATGTTTTCTGATAAGAAAATTAGTTAAAATCTTCTTAGGACATGTGGAATTCAGTTCTTTTGGTTAGTCCTGTCTTTCACTATATTAGTATTATTTGGTCACACATACTTCTGTCCAAGAACATGTGTCAATTTACTAACAGGGCTGTCTCTTTGTGTGTGCAGAAGGTGCACTGCAACTGGCCCTGTGATGGGTGCATTAATACATTGTGTGCAAACAATAAAACCAAAACCTACCTCTACTAGGAGGTAGTGAGTGATACAATGAAGTGCCTAAATTAGAATTCAGCTCTACACACAGTGGAATACCCTTTTTTTTCTTAAATGTACAAGAAATGTGTGGTATACAACGTATACCATTTAGTGGAGCACTATAAAATAGAGTGCAGGGATTAAACTTACCCCATTAATTCAGTGTGACAACAAGCTTGAAAATGCAAAAGTACATATGGAAAAGAGAAAAAAATATAAAGTTTATAGTGCAGCCGGTGATAGGTAAATTAATAGAACCACTCACATGGTCTGGAGCCTATATGCTATTGGCCCCATAAGGAAAACCTTAGCATCTGCAATCTGCACTATAAACTTTATATTTTTCTCTTTTTTATATGTACTGTTTGCATTTTCAAGTTTGTTGTCACACTAAATTTGATGGGGTAAGTTTAAAACCTGCACTCTCTATTTTATAGCGCTCCACTAATTGGGATACGATGTATACCATACATTTCCAGTACATCTAAGATTAATATATCTGCTGATGGCACTCCTGCTCCAGGCCCATATCCAAAAATAGACAAACCGTCTAAAATGGTAAATGCCTAGTAAAGAGATCAAACGATCTCCCCGCCCAAACCTGTAAGAGTGTTCTGTGACACTCCCTGGTCAGTAAAGAGTAAAGAGTCACTGGCCAGCAGGTATCCTGCAAGTATATCAGAGTGTTGCCGTATGTAAATAATACTTCACTACAGCCCCTATGCCACCCTGCACTAGCTACAGCCCATATTATCATTTGTACTTACAACTTCTGCAGTCCCTGTCCCTCCCCTACATCCACTACTCAATGCACTTGCATTGATAGCTTTCCAATAGGCTGCATTTTCCAAAGTTGGCATTATGGTTTTAAGAAAAAAATATACAGATCTGCATTTTATCTTGCACTTTGCCCCACAAACACTAGAGTAGGTCCTGATGTTTAACTTTATTTCCATCTTTTTTAACATGTAAAACATTACTTGCATCTGTAACAACATTTATGTGTCAATTATGTTAGGTTGATTTCAGTAATGCTCATATTAGTTGGGATAAGGTTCAAATTGTACAGCACACACAATGTATTTAGCATTTATACAGTGCTAGCATATTCCGTAGTGCTTTACAATTATACAATGGGGTTATTTAACAACAAATAATTACCAGACAAAGGCCCTACTCAAAGGAGTTTACCATCTGCTTAGCTATCATGATAGAGAACATTGAACTGTGTTCAATGAGAAACTAATGCCAACGGATTATGGAAATACCATGAAGCATGAGACCAAAGGTAAGGAGTGTAACAATTTGTCTGGTACTTAACACAAATACTCTAAAACAGTGACTCCCAAACCAGTCAACTGGCCCATCCACAACCCATGATTTATGTATTTCCCTGTTTCATTCCAATGGAGATATTGACAAAACCTAGACTGCCTGTGGGTTGTTAGGACTGGTTTGCGAACCACTGCTCTAATACATTTACATTCTCTTTTGTTCTCTCAAACTCCCACACTGTCTCCTTTATAAGCACACACATACACACACCTTAATTGCTTCGTGGCAATGTATGCAATAGAATTAGCTATTACATGCAGTGTAAGCATGCTAAGCATATGACCTAAAGGGTTACTCCAAGCACCATAACCACTTATGTATGTTAAAGCTGTTGTGGTGCAAGGGCTTTGTATTTGCAGCTCACACACAGCACATCAGCCTTCAGTTACAGGAGTGTGGGCCAACACTTAAGCAGTCATTTTCAAGTCCAAATTAAAGGGTTGTTTTACCTCTTTTTCACTTTTTTTATTTATAATGTCTTTTCAAGCATTGCTAACTTTGTCTGCCTCCCTTTTATAACCCTGAAACATGGAAAAAAAGTTAACACCTTGAGTCCAGCAACGGGCAAAGCTCTTCTCGTCCTTTACCACACCCCATCTGGTGTCACACCACATCACTCCTTACGTTTTCATGGTCTAATCAAATGTTTCTCATAGAAAATCATTTCATTAGATTGTTATTACCAACTCAGAGCTCATATAACTTTATGATTGGAAATCCAGGATTACTTATCCTGTAATCATCTAACCATTGGATAATACTATTAAATCCTCCCAGAATGAACCCAGCAAAATGTTTTGCTTTCTAACATACTGCATTAAAGGATTACTATAGGGTCAGGAAAACAAACGTATTCCTGAACCTATTGTGTTAAAACCACCATCTAGCCCCCCTGAGCCCCTCCTGCAGAACTCAGACTATGTTAGCAGCTCCATTGGTGATAGCGAACTCAACATTCACATTGGTGCCTGCCTGTTCACCCTAACAATTGCAAGATGTGTGCTGAAGTGCAGGTTGGGGGGAGAGTGGTCTGGGCTGGAGCAGATACACTGAACCACCAGGAAAGGTATTCAAAAACTGGGAGGGATAATATGTGTGCCACTTAGCTGCCCTTTCCAGGCTACCACCTAACATCCTAAATCCCAGCAATCCCCAGCAAAACAACGCACACGCACCTGGTAATTCACCTTATCTACTAGAAAATATCTTTCATCAGACCAGTCAAGCTTCTTCTATTGCTCCACAGTCCAGTTCTGCTGCTCATGTCTTCATGTCTATTTTGAAGGCAGTGGACAGAAGTCATGCAGATGTCATCATGGGTACTTTAACCTGTCCGCAGCTATGCAGCCCCATACTGCGAAGCGCTGTTTACTCTGACACCTTCCATCATGGCCAGCATTACGTTTTTCAGCAATTTAAACTACAGCAGCTCTTCGAGACTTCCCTCCTCATGTGCATCAATGAGCCTTGGGCACCCATGACCATGACAACAGTCCACTGGTTGTCATTACTTGCACCACTTTTGGTAGGTACTAATCACTGCATACCGGCAACACCCCACAAAGTCTGCCTTTTTAGAAATGCTATGACCTGGTTATCTAGCCATGACTATTTGGCCCTTCTCAAAGTCACTCATGCAATTTTGCTTACCCATTTTTCCTGCTTCCTACACATGAAATTCAAGAACTGGCTATTCACTTGCTGCCTAATATATCCCACCACATGACAGGTGCAATTTCAACAATATAATTAATGTTATTCACTTAAAGGACCACTATAGTGCCAGGAAAACATACTCGTTTTCCTGGCACTATAGTGCCCTGAGGGTGCCCCAACTTGAAAACAAGTACCTCAGACAATGACATGACAGATGTGGTGACAAATGCAACATTGCAAATACTTGCAAGTTTAAAAAGAATAGAAACTGCTATGGTTGTGGGAACATTGGTCATAGAAGAAAGAGTAAGCAGAAGTACCTCAAACAGAAATAAACTAAGAAAAAGCTGCTTGCAGTGTGCTGCCCAGTATAATGAAGAAGTGGAAAGGTGAGTGGCAACAATTTATACATTTAACCCCAACATTGCATTCATTATTTCTGCCTTGTAGGACTGTCCCTCGCCTTGCCTCTATTCCAGAACAACAAACAAAGGTTTAAAGAGATGATAAATCTCTCATTATGAAAGTAGATACAGGAGAAACAGTCTCTGTCCTCCCACATGTTAATTGGGACAAACTGGGACTAGAAGGTTCCAACAGCTGTACCCATATAAACATATGCAAAATAAATAATAAAACCTATTGGGTATAGAAACATAGAATGTGACAGCAGACACGAACCATTCCGCCCATCTAGTCTGCCCAATTTTCTAAATACTTTCATTAGTCCCTGGCCTTATCTTATAGTTAGGATAGCCTTATGCCTGTCTCACACATGCTTAAACTCCTTTACTGTGTCCTTTACTACCACTTCAGCCGGAAGGCTATTCCATGCATCCACTACCCTCTCAGTAAAGTAATACTTCCTGATGTTATTTTTAAACCTTTGCCCCTCTAATTTAAGACTACATCCTCTTGCTCAGGCCCGGGTTAACATAGGGGCTGATGGAGCTGCAGCTCCAGCCCCAGGCCCATGGAATAGGCCCATTGATTTAAAAAAAAAAAAAAATTATTTTACACACACTTTTTTTTTCCACACACTACTCTTAGGGATTCCACCTGGCTTTTATTTTATTGGCACAGCCAGTATTTAAGGCTGCCTGGCTGGTGCCAATATTGCAGTGATACTGGCAATACAAATGCTGGTATTTTTCTCAGTATAAACAAGAGATTACTATGCAATACCAGCACTGGCCAGCAGGGGTCGCTGTATGTGGAGACAGGCAGGGTTAGGAAGTTCCAGCATATCCCTCCCTGCCTATCTATACTCACTGATCTGCAGGGGTGCAGCTACACAGCACAGAGAGGCCAGACAGCAACTCTCACTCTGCAGAGACAGTCTACAGCTCAGGGAAGTAAGGGATGGGGTGAAAGGCTTCAAGGAGACATGCACTGAGATACTAAGGTACACTGGGAGACCTTATGGCAGACACTGAGACACTAAGGGACATTGGGAAACATTATGACACAGACACATGGGGATACAGTGTCCCCATGTCTCCCATTCAGTGTCCCTGGTGTCTCAGTGCCCACTAGTCTCCCAGTGCCCCCAGTCTGCCAGTGTCTCACGGTCCCCATGTCTCCTAGTACATCCATGTCTCTCAGTGCCTCAAGTGTCACAATGTCCCCATGTCTCCAAGCTAGTGTCCCTAGTGTTTGTGGCCCTGGTGTCTCAGTGTCCTCATGTCTCCCAGTTCCCCCATGTCTCAATGTCTCAATGCCAGTGTCTCTAGTGTCTGTGTCCCTGGTGTCTGTGCCCCCTTGTCTTCAAGTGTCCCCTATTTTCC